GGGGGGGGGGGGGGTTAATGATTTTTATTATGACCCTATAAAATTCGAGAATCTTACCAAATCTTTTTGCAAATGATTCTCGTACCAGTTTTAATTAAGTCGCGAAATTACGTAAGTATACAAAAAAAAAAATATATATATATATATATATATATATATATATTATGCTACGTGATAACATTGAATTTGCTAAAACTTCATAATACCTACGTAGACTTACGGCCGTGTTATGAAATTCGGCCTGTTCGATGCGGTTGCCAGTTTTCAAAGTATCACGTCTCGTGTCGTCTGACGTGCTTAACGCGCCCGTCTCTGTTACGCAGGTTCTCGCGTTTCTATATCTATAAAGCCGCACCCGACCAAAGTCCGACCTCATCGTCGAGTTGACTCGGTGAAAGGGAATGATCTTAGGTAATATTTACGAGACAAAGGAACTTAGCTTAGGGTACCGACAAAAAATTGGAGGCGCGCATAATTTGAAATGATAGAACAAAAAAAAAAGAAAAAACAAAATTATACAATTTTGTTTTCGTTATACGCGTGACACCCTAATAAGATTCAGCCCTAATTTAGCTAAATAAAAAAAATCCCTCTTTTCCGATACACGCTACTGACCCTGACTATCGGTGCAAAAGCGCGTAACACGCGGCCATTGCATACAAGCAGTTGCATTATGCATCGGAATTCAATGTTAAGACTAGTGCATTGCCGTGAGAACTGAAATCCTCGAGAAGATCCGTAAGAGCGTATACGCATAGTGGGTAATGCTAATGGTCAATTGAAAGTAAGGGAAAACATTGAAACGAAGAGTAAAGAGAGGTTAGGTACCTTCTGATTGTTACAGATACAGCAGATCAATGTATACTAGGCATATATGCAGGTTATAAAATGGTATGGAATCAGGATCCAAAGATCATAGGATCCTCGCCCAAGGCGCACTCGAGACATTAAGTATCCGACGCAAGAGATCAAGAGCAACTGGGTAGGGAAGTCTAGTTCACGAAAGTCCATCTACCGCTTCCTAGATGGCGCCCTAGGCGTCCGCCCGATCCCTTCGGCCTTAGTTCGAATACGAGCCTGTAATTACGGGAAGCTTGCGCTGCTCCAGCTTCGCAGCTGAGACGCCCAGAGCGACTTGAAATTACTCAAAAATAAGACTAAACGGTTAACATATCAAATTACCCTGCTTCCCAGTTCGTGTCGAGTGCCAAGGCCCGTAAGCGCGGCAACCGACGAGTCGGGGGTCGGACTGCGCGGCTCATCTGGGACTCCCAAACGAAACACTACGAGGCTGAAACTCTCGATTCGGGCTGCATCGCATAATATAAGGGGTCTGCTGCAACTCTTGGGTCTAATGTCTTTTTAATTGTTGCATTAGCTTCCATCGGCATAATCCGGCCATCTTTGCTCGCAATTTTTTATATTTTTTTTCTTTACGTACCATCCCGCTAAATAATTACGCCCGGCCCTTTTAGTACGTCCACGTATAAATTGAATTATTCTCAACAGTAACGAACGACTGTTACACTGCGCTGATAGTAATGAACTCTTCGACTATTTACATTTTTTATATGATAACAATGCACTCGGTCGTAGATAAAGAAATACATATAGATACGCGTTCCCTCGCGTAAGAAAGTATCGTGCGTAATCGAATGGTCAATAACCGATGGATTTATTCGCAGCCTCCTGTATTAACAGACGTAATGAAAATCTTTAATAACATTTATCACGAGTCCGCGGTATATATCTACATCTAGATCCATTATAACGAACGCTGATGATTTGATGCATTAAACAAATGCTTCGTGTTAATTATTTATAATTTAAGATATACATAATCGAACGAGTGCAGGTCCAAAGATCAATGGATTTAAATGCAGTAATGATAGAAATACTTATATACTGCAATTATTGAGCACTGCATATATACGAGGTGGAAAATTTTAAATAAGTCCAACAGAGGGAATCGATCTCCAATTCTAAGTGTATCTTATCTAATGCTCTCCCCATGAATATTCATGTAAATTAGCGGACACGACTTTTAGATCATCGCCCGATAAAGTCGGCATCGCGTAGAAGGCGAAACTCACTGTAATTTGCTAATATTCTATAAAATGGTAATAACGGGTGCGGCCATCGAACAAGCCATCATTAAGGTTTCCAACTGACGTGCAAGAAGTTGGGATTTGGTCCACACTGAAGTTTCCAACTCTCGTTTCATCGACCCGTTTCAGGAAAGTAATACGCGTTGGCCAATCGACGCTGGACGTTTATACCGATTGGAAATCATTGAGCGTGATCGGTATGGGTTATAGTACGTTAAGGTTATGTTAGGTTAGGTTAGGTCAGGTCAGCTGCCAACTTTATGAAGACGTCAATTGGCTACAATGGCGTTAAGAGAGAGTCACTCCCAAAAGTCGACAACTGTCGAGTCCGCCTCTCTGGCATTTTCACTATAGAGGGTGACGACAAAAAAAAGGGCGAGAAAAAAAAAGGAGATCAAGGGACGAGCCGAGTGTAAAGAGAGAGAGAGAGAGAGAAAAAGATGAAGGCGACAAATGCGTGAAACGATCCGATCTCACAGCTATGGGGTGAAAAAAAAAACTAAAAAGAGAAAAAAGATACATACATGCATCTCTTCTGGACCGGCTTTGTTCCCGTATAGGACACCCTGTAGAGCTCGCACGGGGAGTAAACGCTGTTTTAATAATGGTGATTAACCCTCCATTGTGCTGGGACGTTTCGTTGTCACCCAGTACATAGTAGCCGCTGATCACGCTTCACTCTATTGACCTGACAGTTCGTCTTTTTTTTTTTCTTTTTCGAATGCTCGTTTCAACGTTATTTTTTCTTTTCTTCCTTTATTCTTTTTTACCTTTTTTACAACTGTCTATCGGCCTATGATATACAACAGACGTATCTGGGACATCCTATAGTGTTATTCATGTGGCGTTATACGCGTTTCATTGACATGCCCAGGCACCAATGTGTCTGGCAATTGTACCTACCGTATATTGGTCATTGCAAAATGGTTATATCATATATGAAATATAAACTGGATTCTAGATCAGAATTTTCTTGGGAAACTTATGGCAATTACATAAATCTGATAATTGAAATTTTTTTTCAAAAATTCTTTTAGTATGAAATTTAGCAACCAGAATAAAAATTAAAGACAGATCGCTACGCTGTGACGTACTTGCCCACTGTGTTCGATACAAAATTCATACTAATTCGGATAATCCGAAAAAATTATCTGCGGACGCCCAGTTACAGGTATCTGTTAGATAAGACCTGCGACCCTTGCGATAATCATATTTGCACTGTCCGTGCAATTACGGCTATCGGAATGATTTGCTTAATTGATTATTGAACCGTGCCGGAAATTGATGAAGGATAATATAAACTTGATCGATACACATTTAATACAGTTCCCCTTCACCCACTTTAAATGCCCGAAGTGTATAATCTAAAAATCCTTGCTCAACCATTTAAAATCTATAGCTTTTCCGCGACTTAAATGCTATTTCGATGGGTCAAATAGTTTTAACGCAAAAAGAAAACAGCACGTGCAAAATAATGGGAGAAAGGGTACGGGGAAAAGAATTGAGGAAAAACTTCGAAAACTTGTCTTAGAAAGTACTATGGGTAAAAGCATATGCTTAGACGGTATATTTTGAACGTGACGAAAGCACAGGCAAAAATTAAAATACATACTATCGAAATACTTAGAAACACGATCAGCCGTCATAAATCATACACTCGACGCGAACCACAATCGTGTCTTGATTGTTTCAGGTTTTTATGTCGAATCGACTATATCCTCTTCACTCGTTGTTTAATCATTTCTGCCTTATAAATTACGTACCGCATTTTTTCTATATAAAATACAGTACCATAGTGTCTATGTTATCGTGCTATTCTATCTATAGGGAGAAAAAATGACTGCCTTGCTCAAAATGGCAATGTATAATTATTCACTGCAGAAAACGAAATCAGAGATCGGTATACCGCATGTCTGTAATACTTGTCTATATAGTTATACACGCAGCCATGTGCTGCCAAGTGAGAAGTAACCGGACCGAGCGTGAAACGTCCGTTTATTTCCAAAGGAATTGTTGGGCTCTTGCGAGTAATAAATTCCGGAAGCTACGTAACTTTGGCTCGATCGATGAAGCCGCCCGCGGATTGGCCGCATAGCATTATCAATAAAAGGGCTAAATTCTGATACCATCAATAATATAGATCCTGCCACTTATCGTAATAAACGAAGGAATAAAATGAAAGGCCACGCTGTCGCTTCGATGACGTCTTGCACCTCGAGTCTTGATATCACTTAAAAGTCTTTGCTGTGACACTTACTGCATAATGATGGGAGTAAAGAAACGATCTAAACTTGTCATTCCAATGCAGCCGGCAGTCATTACCGATACCTGCTAATTGCTAGATAACGTTAGTTAATTAACATGGGAATGGAGCAGCGAGCACGCCTGCGAAAGCTCATTAATTACAGTCTGTTCAGGATTCCAGTCCCCATGGATAACAAGACCACCATAGATCAAAACACGCAGCGATAGCCCTTCCTTTGGGCGTGTTTACTTGGTCGAGAAAAACAAAGTTCTTCGTTCTTGTTTTTCATACTTTCGTGACATTAAACACGTAACGAAATTGTTTTATAAAGATAATCACGCATTCCGATAGACGTTCTCGCAGGACTGTTAAAAGAATCAGATGAGAAAAGTAAATTTTTGAAAAATTTCAAACATACCGATTCAGCCCAACCCTAAAGCCAACACAAGCCCACGTGTCAAAATCAAATTAATCTCTTAATTGGCCGGATACTGATTAATCCGTTAAAAAATATTTTTAAGTGCGCATAAAATTCGTTCAGCGTGCTGGTTCGGATGTAGAAAGGTAAGATTCGTTAAAATCATAAACAAAGACGGCTGGCTGATTTTACAGAATGTCTTAATGACACGACAGGCGAAACAGTGGCTGTAAAATGGATCGATGATATGCGCGATGCTCCCACGCGAAGGGTCATCATAAAGGGTGATAGTCTCCGTAGTTATATTCGTGCCTAACAATAAATGGCTACGTAAAAACGTACGCCATACAGATTACGAGGTATAAGTAAAGGGCGTCTAGTATATACCTGATGCGGATTAGTTTGGCCGGGTTGATGTTTTGACTAGGGAAGAAGCGAAGCCAGCGAGCAATAACACGCAACAAAGATGGCGTCCAGAAGGATTTTTCCGTCGGGACTTGTTCCGCAGAGTGGATACCAGCAGACCGTTCCGTATTTGCTACGGGGCGTCTAGGTAGATATAGAGGCTTTGCCCTTCTCCCTTACACGACTGCCGATTGCAGTAAATTTATGATAATTGTCCTTAGCTGGGAGTCCTGTCAATGGCTGACCTCGTAAGTAAGTAACGTAAGCGTAAGACCACGCGAAGTGCATAAAACAGATTGGCTGACCCTGTTGATTGGATTTCGCTGATATATAATTGTCTGGCTCTGGTTTGAATGGTTACGTGTACTAAAGGAAGGCAATGCAATCTCCCGTGGACGAGATGTTGTTATTTTAAAAAATATCGGAATAATTAGGATACTGCTATACATTGTTTGAAGAAAAATTAAAGCGGTTGGTACGCTTGATAAGAATTATCAAGAGACGACTTAAATTTTACAAAACTTCATAGCGTTCTTAAAGGTCATTTTTTTATAGATAACATACTTTATCTCTTACTTATTTCTCTTATATTTGCGTTCTGAAATACATAATTAGTCAGTAATATCTATTAGCGTAAATGGATAAGGAGTGTTAATTGGGCTAAATAGACGTAATCAAATTGACAGATGCGTCATCTTGTTTTTCCTCTTCTAGTTCTTCCTTTGATGATAACGCGCATAAGCATTGATCGTTACAAAACGTGCGATTACGAAAATATTGCGAAAGATCAACGACTACGTATTTGTTTATCCAGAGCGCAACGGCGCACGTGCTTGCGTTGCCTTAACGCGCGCGATGACTTTATAATATTTTCATACGACGTTTCTACTCTTTGTTACGTTTATTTTTTATTTCAATTTCTCAGTACAAATATTGAGATTAGAGAAAAACTTACCGCCAGGAAATCGATGTGGGAAGATTCTCCCGTGTCTAGAGAGTAGCCACGGGTAGAGTGGATAGCTATCCCTAGGTGGCTGATGAGGATGTGGTGGAGGATGAGGTCCACCAGGTGCCCCACCATGAGAATAAGGTCCGTGTGGAGGTCCATGAGGTGAACCGCCGTGATGGGCTTGGAGTGCCACAGCCAAATTGGCAGCTTGGAAGTGTTGAGCAGCGGCCAGGTTGGCAGCCAGGGCCAGTTGCTGGGTATGGTACTCGCTCTGGCCTGTCTGAGGTCCAGCGGGTCCATGTCCAGGTATACCGTATAGGGATTTGAGCTGTTCGGCTGCCACCGCTGCCGCAGTGGCTGCCCCAGGAGGTGGTGCGAGGTAGTTAGGACTTGGCCTCACCACTCCTGGTGGTGGCTGAGGGTGCGAGCCTACTGGTGAATCATGGGGTATCCTGTGAGGAGGACTAGGACTGTTATTCGGTGTGGATCCTCCGCTATGACTGTGCGATGTCGTTCTGTTGAACTCTAGATGATGCGCCAGTCCCAGAGGATGACTGTTGTGCGAGGGCGTACGCCGTGAATTAGGATAAGATTCCACAGAGGAACTTCGCGACAATGGCCTGTCCGAACTCTCAGAGTGAGCTCCGGGAGACTGTACGATCTGCCGACTCCGCGGCGAGGATGATCCTTCGACATCCATTGGACTTCCATCCCGGTCAATTTCGACGCGTTCGATTCTGTCCAGACGATCCTCCCGACCGCCGCCAACGATGGAGTCGATGCTGAAGCCGATTTTTGGCTTCGAGGGCACCGGGACAATTGGCGTCGGCGCGAGCGGCATCATCGTACGCGCCGCAGCCAGCTTCTCCAGGGAAGGTGTCACCGAGTGTTTATAAAAAATCCCCCAGGAATTCTTTAAGTTTCCCGCATCCTCGGGGTGATCACCCCCCGTCACGGCTGCCTGTCGATGACCTATTTCTGAGTGTCAATTATAATCCCGGGTAAGATTTCTACCGGAGATTCTCTCTCTCTCTCTGTCTCTTCCTTTCTCTGTCTAAGCGACGGACAACAACGAGCGTCAAAGTCACTATAAAGCCCACCTGTATAGGGTTTCCAATCTCTTATTCCCCTGGACTCTTCTCACATTTCCAGTCGTCGCACTTGCCAACCACTGATCACAACAGTACCTTCGATAAATTATATTATTCAACCTGGCACTGTTAAACGTCTACACTGGATTAATATTTGTTATTACTTTCTCAACGTGTACTCGATAAGATTGTCACTCTCAAAGTTTCGCAGTTAAAGCCACTGTGGTACAGAGTCACTGCACGATAATCAAGTACAGAAGCAAGAAACTGACATATTTGAAGGTTAGGAATATCCCGTATCTCGGACCGTCGCTCTGTCCATCCACCAAGTCCCTCAACGAGGTATTTTTCTTAACACAAATACTGCTTACTATAATCTCCTACTCGTAATCCGACCACTCACTGAACTTCACACACTTTATCAAACCCTCCCGATATACTTGTCACTGTCAAATTAGAGCTGGTTCGTATACACGCGAGGCAGAATCCCAGCTCCGCGAGTCTGTCGGATGCTTCTGGCGTGAGCGCTTGGTGGTGTTTGAGAAAATTACGGGCTAAACGCCTCGGACTGTTTGGTGGGAGAACGCTTGCTTTTCCCCCCACCGCAACGCCACAGTGGGGAAGATCCAGCATAGCAGGCGTGTCTCAAGTACCTAAACGTTCCACGGGCGTGTACCACAGTGAATGCTATTGGTCGGCATCGTGTTCTGGCTCCACCGACTTCCCTTTCCATGACGTACTGCCCCTACAAGTGGGGAGACATTAGCTCGCGATGGGCGTTAAACTCACGTTTTTGCCGTGGGATGAAAATGAGTCGTTTAATTAATACGTCTGGACTCTCGAGCGTTTCTTGTCGCTGCTCCTAGGGTGCGCGTCGGTAGTTTGATGCCAGAGGGGCGGCTTCACCAAGGATAATGTCAAAGATCTCCTCGGACGGTTTGCCTCTCGTTAGACAACCAAGGATGGAAGATCCTTCGAAACCCACGCGAGGCAACGCTTCTTGTTCCTTACGTTATTCTTCTCAAGTTACAAAACGCATCCACGCAGGTACCTACCTACAGTTCAGCACCTCCTCGTTGGATAATGGTAAACTGGAATCCCTTAAGAGTCTGTGCCAGGTAGACGCGTGAATCCTTCAACGGGGGCTTTATGTCACGACTAGTTTAACATTATTCGCCCTTAACCAGTCCCTTCTCGAACGAGTTATTTCTCAGCGGCTGACCACTCGCCGTCCTTTTCTACGTTTCGCTCGGTGTTTGCTTGACTGACCAATAATTCCGCAAGACGTTGGCTGGCGCTTTTCATTTTTCTTCATCCATCCATTAATTTTCATATAGTTGCCGGGTCAGTATATGGTAGTTGAGCTAATCCGTTATGGGGGGCGTTGTCGACGCGTAGTTATATCTGCCAGATTGGCAAGGCCGCAATTAACGAGGCATAACCAAACGATCGTTAATTCATGTAATTTTATCTAAGTGTATGAGCAATAGTTTTTGTTCTATTGACGGTAGCCGGAGTCGCGGCAATAATCAAATGCTATATGTTGCTAATCCGTATGGGAGAATTCAACAGTGGAACCGCATGTCACTAACAATATGTATCTTTAAGAGCTATAACGATCAGAGATAAACATTACTGTTTTGCAAGCACAGAATTTCGCAACTACACAAAGTGTTAGTCTTTGCGACTAACGATTTCATGAACTACGTTCACTAGTTGGATCATTACCTTCTCTATTATGACCCCGTTGGTAATTATCTAGCTATTATTTGTGGATTATAATTAATTATTTCCTCGAATACTCCATTCAGTAGATTTACTCAGCGCAATTTCTTTGGTTTTGTAATTAATAATATTCGCGAATTCTATCCTGTCTGTTCCGTCAATTGTTACGTGAATATTCAGGCCGCACGCACTAATCGCAGTTAAGCCTGTCCATTTGATTTCTATGGCGGAACCAACTTCGGGTGTTCCGTTCGTACGGAATAACCCTGTATACAGGAATATACTAAACTATTGAAAATAAGCTACGGCAGTTCCATCTGTCGGGAGAAGTAAAAATCTCAAAGAATATTCAGCCGCTTTCTAAGGGTAGCGAAAGGTTATCGACACTTCAAAAGTCAACGACGACGTTTACACAATGAGATCAATAATTCTATTAAATTAGAACGAAAGTAGATATCTCCTTACATTACGCAGACGCTTATTTGATGACTATCGCTTACATAGGACGCCGAAGGTGATATCTATATAACCGTAAGATATAAGTATTAGTGTTTGCAGATGCAAATATACCAATTAAAATAGCGCCTGCAGTTTCTCGGCCGTGAAATTCCCTGTGAGTTCGCAGAGCGGCGAATTACGATTTTTCGCCACTGATTGTGCCAATTTACGTTCCAATCGGACGGATCGGATCGGGCTCTGGCAATCGGACATTCTCGCCATTAAGAGAAATGCGAGTTAGAAAGGATAGTCGGACTTGGATACAATAGATTGAGCGAATCGGATTGAAATCAATTTCGTAATAGCTTCGCAATTAAAATATATAAATTACGAAATTACGCGATCGACGTATTAAGTAAATCTATAAATTTTATCAATTAGCCAAGAAAATCGAACTAGTGTCTAAACGTTAAAATTATCTAATGAAAATTTATCATCTCGCCAATTCTTCTTTAAGATCTTCTCTCGTCCTTTAAGATGACATTAGCGAATGGTCGACGCGGCCGTATGTCATGTGTGTAGGTGTTCAACTTATGTCCAAGGGTGGGGATATTCAACATGGCGACTGTGCACACATCGTGGTCTGTGGGGAACCAATGCGAGGGCACCGAGTACGCCCGTCCCGTCTCTTCTTCTTATTCTTGTTTCATCGGTGCTTCTCCTCTGCTTGCTTTTCTTGCGCCCTCCGACAGTCTTGTTGCTCTTCTTGTTTCTGCGTTCCGAAGTGGACACGGAGGACGTGCGTGAGGTCTTCGAACACTTTGGTGTATGGATCTTGCCAAGACTTTTCGAAAATTTTCCATGAAATCCTAGATGATTTTTCGAGATCGTTGAGCGACCTAAAAAAAATGGCTGTTACTCTCAAGTATACCTTGGATTAGAAATCCGTTTTATATACATAGTGAAACGGTTGAAGTCGTTAGTGGTACATTGTCATGAAAAAAGATGGCGTCTTTATTTACGATACACCTTTCCTGGATATAACTGAAGCACCGAGCATTCTTATTCGCTATAACTTTTTTCCCTTCCTAAAGTTTAGCGAACTAGAAAAAATTGCAAGTTTTTTTTTGACAACTCATAAAATTTCACGATTATCAATTTCTTATTTGACGTAAAGTCGTATAAGAATCGCATTGATTTACTCGAGCATTGTTCACTTACCCTTGATTCGTTTCTTGTGACCAAATCGAACGGTTGCTTGATTATTCCAACGATGTCGAAAAGTCCTTTTCTCATTCGCGTTCCTTTGTACTCCAGTTTCCACCCCTATTGTTAGTCCTTTTGTTAGTCCACTAAAAAAGAATCCGAATCAGTATTTCTTTGGCTAACGTATTTTTCTTAACAATGCCACAACAATAGGTCCTACATACCTATACTCCTGAAGCGTCAGATAAGAATTGAATCGTTTGCCATGTTATTCTAGATCGCGAAAAGGATCAAAGGGATGACTGAAAAAAAAAAGATTGAAAAAAAATTAACTTTTACCTCGCCTCTCAAAAGACGTTACGACTATCGATTGACAGAATTCATAGTAGCCGATCGTGCCTATACAGGCGTGTATAAGAAACGACGCGAGAATTGAAGAAAATTGAAAGAGCTAAAAGATTGCATTACACAAATGGCGTGGCTAATCAGACTATTTATTCCCGCAGCGGTGTAGCTGGAAAAAAAAATTAAAAAAAGAACAGCATACATTTCATATCAGATTCTAACAAGAAACACCCTGGGTTAGATGGGGTTCTGATATATTTCACATTACGACCACCATTGTCGGGCCACCCTGCACGTATCAATTACCTCCACAATTATAATAACCTTATAATATCAATGTAATGAAAGCACAAGACCATTGAGCACCTTCGGTTCACTTTACACGCAATCCAATGCATTCAACTCCCCATATAAAATTTACCTTTCACCCCCCGCCCCTACTCCAAGAAATTATTCAAACATATGTTCGTACCTCAAACGTTAGCAACCGAATTACTTGCACCCCTATGTGTCCCATTATAAGATTCCCGGATACATCCCTATCTCTCGGATAGACTCCCTGAATTCTATAGAGGATATAGTAGCCATACTTTTCGAATATAAAAAATTATATAAAAAAATGCACCTAAAAATAATAATTATTATATATAAACAATTTTATTTAATCCAAGTATACTTGGACTTAAGTTTAGGTATACCAAGTATAACTTTACGTGCAGAACTTTCTTGTCTCTAAGTGCTGTCGTGCGAGTTGGCTCGTGGCCGTATCTATAACGATCGCGTAAACGAGTACGAAAAGTGGTTGTGTAATAAAAAACAAAAAAAGTGTAGTTTAGAGGAGGAAGGATGCTAAAGCTTAAGGGGTAGGTTATGCTGACATTCAATTACCGACCACTTATAGGCCACTACGTGGATACTCTTGTCCGGCCACTTCCAAGCTAATCGCCCTTAATAAGGAATCTCGGATGCATCAACGTATAAAGGCTTGCGCTTATCCCGGGATCAATAGCCTTGGAATTACACGTGGGGTTCTTATCCGTTAACCCCTTGACGGAATATGACGGTGAAATGGCCGCCACGACTTTACGTTCCGGATAATAACGCATCGCGGGTGGATAATCAATAGGTAACAGAAGAATTTAATTTGCCTTGAAGAAATCGTCGCCAAGAGGTTAAGTCTACTCCTAGCATACAGATATTATCTGTGTACTATCAATATTGTACCTAGACGATCTAACGGGTCGTTATCTATGTTTGAATTTCGCGGTTGAGAGACACTGGATTCGCGGTCCCCGCGGCTTAAATAACCAACCGGCACCTATGATTTTCTTGGAACAAAAGACGATTAAATTGAATCGCAACTCGCGTTCTAAGACACGAGGCATCTGCTGGGAAGAAGAGATGCCAATGAGAAGTAAAAGGAGCTGTACGAAAAGTAAGTAAATAACTAAATAAATAAACGAGCAAATAGCGCTCTAAATAGAGTATCGAGACCGAAGATGGAGCCCTCTCTGATTACCCATGCTCGGGCCCCCATTATACCTTATTACCGTAGTCCGATCTGCTTTATTATGGGTCCACCTCCCTCTTACTGTTCCTACGAAAATAATTTCCGATAAACACACGGGCCCTGTAATGAGGATGGCCCCGAGGTGCTGAATCTCCCTCGGTATTAACGGCTGTTTAGCTAAATTGATCGGCCATGTTCACACTTGATTTTTCGAGCCTTCATCATACACCCTCGTACCACAACTTAGATTTTATCCTTATTGGAAGACTAAGAAAGTACGATATACAGAAAATAGATGAAATTCGTTGAATGTTTTTCTATAATGTTTCACAATCTAACCTGTCATTTCGTTCTTAAACCTCTGTGTAATCTCCGCTGTCATTCTGCTTGCTTCCCGCATACGGAGCGTGGAACGTCGATCCAGTCTGATTTCAGTTGTGGGTGAAATTGCAGAAAAGCTCGTGCTTGCGTGTTTCGTTCAGGCATCATGAAACTCTATCCACATTAATCATGGTCCATGAATATCCATGGACCGTGGAGTAAACCGCGCTGGCGTGCTCTGATGATGGGTAACCATGTGTAATGGAGTGCTAACTAGCGGCCACCTCGCGAACTAACACACCTTCCCCGTAGAGACTACACCACCCGTTCTCTCTTGAGCATGGAGAAAAAAAGAATGAAGACGAGAGACTCGTGCAGGCATGCCTCGTCTCTTAGTTTCTCAAACAAGGGGGCGGTGCTATACAGTTCAGTGGCAGTCAACTACGAAGGAGATACTTCTCTCGGTTGAGGTTAAACCCCGTATTGAAATGTCTGACCAACAGAAGTAGTTTTCTGATCTTTCTGTTTATCCCATTTCATGCAGCTGCTGTCATAGATCTGGAATTCCTTTTTATTTCTAGAGTATTGTGATTCGATTGAAATTTTCAGAAACTACACTGCGTTGTAAGAAGAGATCGATACGGCATTATCGATAGGCTCAACTTGAAATCGCATCAAGAGAAAAAGTGACTTAACTGAGTATCGGTGTAATTTCGTTTGGTGTAATCGGGCGACTGGTTCGCGGGTTGCGTGAAGGCTCTCATCATCATCATCCTGGTGGCGTGTTTGCTCTGGAGCGATGAACGCGGCAACCGGGTAGGGAATAATAATAAAAAGGAATAAATAAAATGGAAAATACGGTCGAACGGAGCCCGTCATTACTGGGTTATTACCTAAGTATCGGCGAGAGAACAGGGCCGCGTGTGTAGACTGAAAAATGTGACTTTAAAGCGAAAACAGACGGAACTTACGCGTGTCTGGTTATCGGTAAGTACTTCTGCTATATCGAATATGCGCATGCGCAGGAATTCTTGATTCAGTCTACTGCATAAGTCACAGGATGGCGCTATCTGTGTAATAAGAGTACTTTTTTAATTTTCAATTACGCATCCTTTTAATATCTCCCTCGGTACCTGAGGGTAAAATTTACAAAAAAAACCTTATATCTCATATCGATAAATCAAAACTTAATTTCAAAATGATATCAATCGAATAGACTCCTCTCTCATACTTCCTCGTCAACTTTCTCTCTCTCTCTCTCTCTTACCACGTATAAGGTACCGCCGTTCAACCGCGAATCCGAGGGCGCACGATTTATAAAGCAAACACCGTCAGCACCCTGCAATCAGTCGATACAGCCTATGCTGGTATCGCGCCCATCATCGCCTCGAATCTTATACCTCGAAGCACGTTTACACCGTACTTAGTCGATACTTCGCTAAGAATAAATTAATAGTTTCAAAGTTAACAGCTGGCATGAACATTCGAAAATTCTACCATAAAGACAAAACATACTAGACGATGCCTTTTGAGAATTAGGTTATGAATGAGTATTATTAATATTTTATACAAAAGAATGCCAGTGATATACATACATAATACAAAGAAGAAAATTAGACAAAATTCCGAACCCTGAACCCGTCGACGATGCAGGGATGCCTATTATCGGCATCCTAATGGGACTTCCATTAATAAATAGCACGTCGATTCGTAGTTCGTGCTTTCAAGATGGGCCACTAGGTAGCACTTATCCGAGTGGCAAATTATCTCAGACCCTCCATCTTCAAAACCAATCCCTCGTGTCCTGTACCTTAATACGCATCTTTCTCAACCTGACTCTCCTAACTCTCGTACGTGTCTCTCGCAGTACAATATATACTGCAACATTCGCTCGTTTCGTTTCCTCGGTTACAACGTGATATATATGGTCCCTCCCATCCGGCGCTGATTACAGGTTGCTCATGTATTAGACCCCCGTCCAAACAAACCGCTTCTATATCTACCAACAGTTTAACCCCGCGGGGCGTGACTGCTGGCTCCGTTAGGTTATGTTATAGGATATATCAGTGCGACCCACTGGAACTCTTGGAAAAACCTATAGGTACGATCCTGACTATGGCTGGTAATTTTTTCAAATGCTGCGAAGTTCAATATTGAATTCTAACTAAAACTTCTAATATCTTATAAGACGCTCGAGTTATGTATATTGTATGGCTTTTTTATATTACTGCTACTCGACTTGTATCCTCCGTCAAATGTTGGCTCTGTCTTTTACCAGCAGCGACAACGGATGGGCCTACAACCAACAATGCACGAAGAATGACTTGCGATCGTCTACGGAGTAGCTCTTGAGATGCCATTGATAGCGTCCAAGAAGCATGCTAGCATTCATCACTATAGACTTATCTTCATGCATATCGCTGCTTGCTTCATTATAGCGGCTAACTGCAAGGTTACATCTTCATGCCCCACACGATCGGACAATAAAATATGTATTCTGTCGTTGCCGTAATTTTATTTTTTATTTATATTTGAATCTAGAATAGAAATGAATTATTCTCAGATATCATTATCCCGATACTTTATTACGTAAGGATTAATTTGATTTTTAATACTTGTACGTTTCATAAATTTACATGAAAACATTTCTCACCGCTCTGTGAAATACTTTTTTGTCGTTTTACCAATATTATTCTATAATAAAAATATTGATCTACCTTATTTTAATTTGTCATAATAAAGGTACGTTTAATATTATACGCTTCGTTAGCTCGGTATATTCGAGCCGTTGAAAATGAATTTTCAGAAAGTGAAAATAACAGTAATTCCCTATTTAGATACCTCCAATTAATCCATCACGGCTATTCGGAAAGTTTAATCGCGTTTAATTAGCAGCCGATATAGTTTAACGTTGGTATACGGATGGAAGCGAGTGCCTCCTATCATTAGGACCATCGTACCCGTACATTACGACGACGTATTACGAAGGCTATTATAACGCGTTGGGAAACGCTAAACGTCAAAGCAGAGAGGTTTGAAAATTAGGGGTAATCTAGAGAACGAGGGGGACCTCCATAGAAATTTTGACTTTTGTAGCTATTTCGGTAAAGGTAGGGATCTGCCCCTGGTGTAATCAACTTGTCAAAATAGTTTCTAAGTCGAGGCGGCCTTCTTGGCTCTAATATATTAGTCGGATAGAGCTGCCAGCTTGGCGAGACAGAAAACAGGCCTGTATGAATCGTCAGAAGGAGCCCCGATTATTGATTAGTGTATTAAAAAGAATTAATTAACATCCAGAAACAACAATAAGAGTTATTAACAATACTGGCAGTAAAAACATTTATTACCTTTAAAAATTTAATATCGATCCGTCGATGGCGTCGTGGCTATTCAATATTAAAATTTGAAATTCATTGGGGACACCTTTGATATACGGCCCTGAGAATAATAGTAGAAGAAAATCGACCGCGTTACGGCGAAGAGGCCGGTCAGGTTAAATGAGAGGGCGTTGATTATGAATTTTGAGCGATTCTTTAATTGTTATACCCTTAATTATCGTTAATTATCCCTCTGTGATTACCGGTTCGTTTCCAATGGGCATATAAAGTCTGCATATGGATATCCCACTGGTCGTTTTACATTCTCAGGATTTTGTGGATCGTCCGGGAATGCTGGGAAATTACTAAAACCACGTCGACCTTGCATAAGATGATCTTCCAGAGTTTTCATAGGGATGCTGGCCAACAGGTCTGAAGAGAATAAAGAATTAAAAAAATTTAAAAGGTATGAAAAAAAAAATTATATATCCCTCAAGAATCCAACTCGACAAGTCGTTTACTCAAATGAGAAGGAGCGAGAGGCCGTCGTCCTCCAGGAAAAAGCATTACGAGGAAGTCACGATTAATGTTCATCTTGATAGATCGCGCGATACGAGCTCACTTCAATTTCGGCTGATACGCCACTTTGTTCCATAACCGTTCATGAATAATTCATAGTACTGAATAATAATATACACGTGCTATAATCGTACAGGACAAATATAATTATAAGCAAGCATACGCGAGCGTAAGTATAGATCATGGGCAGGAAGACTTTACCTAATTATCGTAAAAAAAAATCAAGAGTTGACATACGATTGATGACGTTGCCATCTGAAAAAAACATTTTGACAGAATGAAAAAAAAAAAATATTCAAAATTACATATCTCGTATGAAACTTTTAGAGTCCACGTAAGGCCCATGGACATACAGTTTCACGTTACGCGTACCTTTCCCAATCCAAAAAGTATTCCTAACCTATTATTGTACGATTGCAGTTACACAAGTATACAAGATGTGTACATAGGACCAGCGAATTGGCTTGGGCCATTTTCTGGGACAGGTCCGTGTCGCACCCGAGAGCCAGGTATCTGGCGAGCATCTTGGGCCTTCAATGAATAATGTATGTCTCAATTACAACTGGCTGTAGCCGCTGGATAGACAGAGGAACGTAGAATGAGAAAAAGAGTGTAAGAGGCAGACGCCTCGAGGATTGTATAGAGCGCGTAACAGTAGGTGGATACCATGCACGCATGCTATATATTTGGATAAGTTAGTATACAGGAGAGTAAGCAAGTAAAGGTACAGGAATAAGTAGTAGGTACGGGCGATGATATTTAAAAGAGAAATAAAACAGGGATTAAGAAAGAAAAAAAAAGGAAAATGAGGGAATTCCTGCAGTGAGAGTTGACTACACGCTGTTATGTACTGTAAGCACTATATAGGTATATAATACCGCATAACGTATATTTATTTACACATACACATATACTTATGAACTACCTAGGTAGCTGCTAAGCTGATTAAGCGACACCCTCGTATACGAATCCACGTAATGAGCTTCTATACCGGGTGTTCTTGAAAAATTTTCTTTGTGGTCCTTACTCTATGGGTATATTATACGTTAGAATTGATTCGGTTATGACGTAAGGTACATGCACGCTATTTTTTCACACACTCGTACGTGTACAGCTGTCAACCAATCGTTGACAGTTAACCCAGTGGGTGGTTTATTTCGTTTGAGAAAAATTGTCAGAAAAATTTGCAGTTTTGAAAAGACGTACAAGGTTGTTTATTTATTTTGAATTTTATTAAAATTGAATTCATCGTACGAATTCGTTTTTTTTTTTTGACACTGGGTATTGGTAACTAGTGGTGCGGACTAGGGGATTTTTGATCGTAGAAATTATGGAGGTGTCTCCCGCTGAGTACGACAACGTACGCGAGTCAAAATGTTCAACTACTGTCTTTGCTTTCCATTGCTTTTCACGACCAGTTTTTGTCGTAATGGACGACAGACGATTGGGCATTCCTTTCTACCTGGTGGATGAGAATAATACGTGGAACGTAAAAGATACGTCCGTTTTCTGTACGAATAATGAATTGACTGGGATCGAAACATCGTGTTCTCAAGTCCAGTTATTATACATGAAGTCAGCCATTGGCCGCGTGGCCATTGCACGAATCGATGAAGCTTCTTGGTTTTAGCCATGAAATTAGTGTTAGGCGTAAACCGGCAAAGGTCGTACAGGTAAGTGGAATCGCGTGACATAAAAGAGCGGTCTAATGTTAATTGCAAAGCGAGGGGAAATTGCGCGGGAAATTTGAACGAGCTCCCTCGACCGCGAGCATCGCGAATCGAAGAGAAACGCAGGGGCATAAAAATATGACAAATTAATTACACTCAACGGTCCACTTACAATTTATATATGAAATCTAGCAATTCGTCTTGCGCTCTCAACGTCGCTATAAAATTTGTTTAACGAATTAGACCACGGAGAAACTATAGGGTCTTAAATCTCATTGTTTATAGACAAATATGATTAAACGTTAAAATGTAAGAATTTATGGCGCCCCAATAACGTTCACAACATTTTCACAGTGCATAGTTCACAGTATGTAATCTAAAGCTGTTCTTTGTTTCTAGGTTATGTGTACTAAAAATACAGGTGGCCATGGCGAAGAATCGACGCGTCACGATTCTTTTATTAATAACGACTAATTGGGCCTTCTGAAAATATCTTCACATGTTGGTATGCGCTGGTCGTACTGACGCGACGAATTCCGCAGAGTCGAAAGAGACAGCAGAACGCCATCGTGCATCGAAGCCGTTCGAGATACTTTGCTACTCTGGTAGCATTGTTTTGACTTTCCGAGAAAACGGACCACCTTAGCCGTCCTGCTGCTTAATCACAAGCTGAGTATAACCAGAACCTGTAACAAGTAAGCGCACTAAGGAGTATATCTAGCAAGTGTACTAATTGCACCGTAAAGCCAGTCCCTTTGTCCAGGTTGTACTTTGGACAAGGTACACATTGTAAAGTAAAAAGGTTATGAAGATTCCCAGATTTTAGAAAGCTTTGTCGTTCCGTGTGCGTGCCTACTTGAAGTTATCGTTACCTGTGCCGTAATAGAAGTTGTTACGCTTGCGAAAGAGGCAGCCCTCGACCCCTTTTTTAAGCACGGGAAAATCCTTTGACATTCGTAGTTCGTATACGCACCGACATACGACGACAAAACGCAACTATCGTCCGCTGACATTTTGGAGTCTCGCAGTCGTACGTGTTGCGCATGCGCGAGGATCTGATAGCCGTAACAAATGACATCGTCGAACTGACATCGCGCTATCTCTTCATCTCGGCGCGAACGCACACGAAAATTTATTGACCGCTCGAAGCTTCGAACTCGCATTGTCGGTTGGGACGAGACTTTCTCGTGGTGAAATTAATATGCCGGTAAAAATGCTGCCTCGAGGAACTCTGGTTTTACGACACTATACCGGACATCATTTTTGCGACGGTTAAGGGTAGCTTAAGCGAGCTAGTTAGAAGACATGACGCCGGGTTATGAGTCCAAAGTGGAGATACGAGAAGCTTCGGTTGTAACACGTGTTGTTAACCGGTTCTACCTTAATTGTCTTAAACGCAGACCACAATAATTTTTGTTTTATCTCGTCATGCCTTTGTTTTGACATTGTTCGTTAACCGTTATCGCGCATGCGCATACCTAGCAATGCGGTCAGGATTGCCAAATTTTAATATAGACACACGCCCAGTATATTACGTCCCGTGTCCTGCTCGATTATCATTTAAATATCTTAGAGATCATTGTCGTTGTGATCTTTACGAATCCTTGGGAAGTGATTGAAGAGAAGAAGAGTGACTTTCCCATGCGAGAGCGTGTCACGAGGTGCCCCTTAGAGAATCCATCAACCAACGGTACAAGGCTAAATCCCTCCTGATGTCCCAGGCTCCGAGGATTGGGGTAGATAAATGTAATAGTCCATAGTTCAGCTTGCTAACAAGGTTACCTCCATAGATGCGAGATAACGATTGGTACAGTTGACTTGAGTTGACTCGAGTTCGGTGCGTGCCTATTTATAATGAGGCCTGCTAGGGCTCGATCACCGATTAGGGCATTCTTAGTCGATACTTCATCAATCACCGAAATCACCGCCGATTTCATTGGGCAACATTCGAAACGTTTACTAGTCCCCGTCCGCGCTCGACACGTTCCTAAACCTTTTACTTCAAACTAAAAGGGACCCTTGCTAATGGGAATGTGAGTATTAAATGCAACAGACTTCTCTTTCCTTTTATAATATATATTCACCTATGTTGTGTTTAATGACTTAGGTTGTAGCTGCAACTTTAGCGTTGCTCTACGACTAACGTCCATCAAAATCCATGTCGTGACCGTCAGCATTTAATTTCTTGGTAACTTTATGGACGAGACGTTGGACAAGCGTAATATTTAATCTTGACCGTGTAGATACGTCAAATAGAACTTCTGAGCGTGTTTGTTATCCGTAACGTCTTGTCGCGTTAGTGCGAACGGTGTTGGATATGCTTTGACGTTATTATACATTGTCATTGTAAATCTTGGCTAAAGTGATTTAACAGAACCGAAGTTAATACAAAAAGCAATATTCGCATAAAGGTGTTTAATAATGTGTGTCATACCATAGTCAAGCTCTCATAGGGATTTTTTGAAGCATTCAAATGCGAATGTAGAGTGCGTAAGAGGATGAACAACCTTTTTCATTGACACTCTGCGCTATCTGGTGTTCTGGTAGTTTGATATCCTTTCCTTTTTCCTCAGTCGATCTTAAACGTTTTCTTCGAAATGTAACGTTTAATGTATTTACTGTTAGTAAGGAAGAGAACGATATAGCCTTCCATTGATATGCTTGAGTTTTTGAGACTTTACCGGTAGCTTATTGATGTTGGTGGGGTAGGTCAAGCTGTTAAGTGCGCCATCTCATGACTATAACCTAAACTATTATAGTGTTCACATAGCCTACTATTGGTGTTTGACCATACGTTAGGGTTTTGAAATCACAGGTGTGACGAATAAATATTACTCAATTTTAATATTTCTTTGCAATTGATTTTTTTGAGATGTTATATCTATTTTAATTAATTGCAAATTGTCTCTAGTATGATTATTTGAGATCTGCATTCAGTGAAGTGAGTCTGATTTACTGTAGTTGATTGTAAAAGAAAGTAAGCTTTATTTAAACCAAACTAAAATAAATGGTAAAAAGTATAACCAACCTTTCGGTTCTTTGAAATTGGACGTACAGTCATTGCCCGTTTTGTTTAAACATAAATATTTTCAACTAGCTGAATGCAAGGAAGTTATAAGTAAAAAGAAATTTGCTGCGAGAATCTATCCAATTTGTTCGCTGGAGTATTAAGACGCATGCGAATAAAACCACGTACTTCGTTTGAAACCTTCGCGCAAGTCTTATCAGAGTTCAGATATTTATTTGTTATTAAAAGAAGATATATTTTTTATTGTAATTGTCATGTTTGCACTCGTGTCAATGTATGTATATTGTTACTTAATGTATATGTTTGATTCATAAACAATGCTATTGATTTTGAATAAAATGACTGCAATTTGAGCGTGTAAATTTAAAATAAAAATTGATACAAGAATATGCAGTTTGAGCTTCAGCTTCTGTTATGACGTGCACCATTTTTATTCATGAAGTCATGTGACTTATATAATTTAGATTAGAATGCAAGCCGAAGAAAAGATAAAATCAGAACTAATAAAAACTTGTTTTCCTTAACAGAAATAAATATCATGCTGACATTTACAAACACTAATTTTTACGGCTCTATCAGTGAAATGTTAACAAATATTACATAATATTTGACAACAATAGATTAATGAGAACATTTCAACACCACTTTACGTAAAATTTACCTCATTGTAATTTTTTTATTTCGGAAAGTGTAATGCGCGCATAGTTATTCAATCTGAGCAGAACCTCAGAATGACTGAGATAGCGGCGAATCTTAAGCTTGTGCGGGAAAGAATTATTGCTGCTTCCAGCAAGCGGTCGTCGGTATGTTTTATATCGAGTTTAATAAAATTAAAAAAATGTATTTCGTTCATGTTGTCATCTGTTAATAATCAGACCTTGTCAGTTTTGTGAGGCATCCATAGTGCTTGTCGTGCTTGTTTAAAAAGACATACATAACCTCTTTATTCTTCTTCCTTTTCTTTATGGGATGGCACGCATTACGACAAGCTTTCTTTACAAGCGGTCATAAGCTTTTTGCTCCAAATATTCTTCTATCATTTCTCGTCGCAGAAAGAAGTGCTCAGATATAATTTGAATTATAATGAAAATCAAATGTACTAACAAAATTGCATCTGAATTTGTTATATTTTATTATTGTACATAATTTCCCAATAATAAAAAATGCAAATTTTAGTAGAAAAGATCATCATAAATATTTATTAAAGTTATTAATGTATATATCAAACTTGTTAAATCTTATTCTATGCATGTAAAAATATGTTACCCAATAATATCAGTACTTTATAATTACTTTACTTTTTGAGAGTTTTATGTTTTAAGAATTTATTTGGATGTATATTTGTACTTTCATACATCGTTCTGTTGAATCATATTGAAAATTTATATTATTTGACGTATATGTGTAGATCTTAAAATCCCTTTAAAATTCCTTTTAAAAAATATATATGATTGTATGAATTTATTATGCAATTATATCTTTAGTTTTATATATTAGATTTTGTAGCATATGTTTAAATCTTAATGTTTGTGTTTAGGAATATTCTTATTTTGAGCCTCGACTGGTCGCAGTGAGTAAAACAAAACCTGCAGAATCAATCATTGATGCTTATGAAGCAGGTCAAAGGAACTTTGGGGAAAATTATGTCAATGAGTTGGTGGAAAAAGCAAATCATCCAGATATTCTTGCTAAGTGCAAGGATATCCACTGGCACTTTATTGGTCACCTACAAAAAAATAAGATCAACAAAGTCTTGGGCATTCCAAATCTGTATATGATTGAGAGTGTAGACAGTGAAAAGCTTGCCACTTCTCTAAATAATGCTTGGCCTAAATTTAGGATGAGTGAAGACTCAAGGTTAAAAGTTATGGTACAAGTAAACACTAGTCAAGAAGAAGGTAATCTTATAAGCAGATGCACAAAGTTTTGTATGTAGTTATATTCTCATGTAACAATATCTTTTTAGAAAAGAATGGTTGTGACGTGAAAGATGTTTTATCTTTCACAAAATATGTTATTGAGAATTGTAAAAACTTGGAATTCACTGGGCTTATGACAATTGGGATGTTTGGATATGATCTCAACAATGGTCCTAATCCAGATTTCGTTTGCCTTAAACAATGCAGGGATGACATTTGCAAACAGTTAGCCTTGAACCATGAGAAAGTAGAACTTTCGATGGGTATGTCAAATGATTATGAGCACGCTGTAAGTGTCTGATTTTAAATTATGATTTCATGGACTAAAATAGACATCCCAAATTAAGAAATGACGTTTTCAGATTGAGCTCGGTAGTACAAATGTAAGAGTGGGTAGTGCAATTTTTGGAGAAAGAGCAAAAAAACCAGCATCACACAATTGAAAACTTTTATATAATTATAAGGAACACAAGAGAATATGTGCAAGTAATCTACTTAAAGACAAGCGTTTAATATTCTACATAATGTACTTATATCGGATGTACTTTGGATTTTATGTACATAAGGTGATGACAAGATGATAACATACAACGTCTTAAATACTATCTCTGAAAAATTTACATATACGTTTAGCTATATGCATTAACAGCCCACATTGATAAGTTATACTGTGCTGAATATAATATATTACAAAGATAAACGGCAAGAATAAATTGTTTTTCACAGAAGTACAGGAAAGTCTAACTTACTATTTACAAGTTATACATTACTGAAAATAGGGGGAAGTTTTTAGATAAAGAATGTCAATAAAATGAAGATACTTGACTGGGAAAAATTTATTTTTTAGCATGCAATATTCTTAAACACATAGTTTCATAGCTCTTCAAAGATTAGATACGACCAAGTTCCTTCTCGTAGTCTTCACCTTGCTTCTCAATCTTTCTACTCTTTTGCACATTTCGAAACCCGCAGATATTATTACAAAATTTAATATAATCAATAGAGGTTATGCCCTTTTTCGTGTAAAGTGGTGCTTCTTCGAGTGCATAATCAACTTCTCTTTTCGTGAATTTATCTCCCCAAGTTTGAAGATCATGTCGTATTCTACGTATATATTAAATCAAATTGATATATTCCGTAATATGTAAGTACATAACACGGATCTCATTCTTATTACCTTTCTTCAGCTATCATTCCATTACCCTCATAGTCCCACTTGGACAAGGCTTCCAACAATACAAATTCAGGATCCAATTCAGTTGCCTTGTATCTAAATATTCATAATGGATAATAAGTAAATTAAACACAATAATATTGCTATGATTATTTCTGTTCAAGAATGTATGAGTTTACCCAAATAACATGACAAATGCATCGAAATCAACTGGATCAGGCATTTCGTTTAACATCTGTTGCAATTGCTCCTCGGGAATGTCAGGTTTTCCAAGAGACGCGAACGTAAATTTTAAGTCAGCCAGGTCGATCACTCCATCTTTATTAATGTCAAACAAATGAAAGGCCTGTTAGCAGAAAAATGTGTTACGTTAATTTGAAGAATTTTCTTATCTAGTCTAGTCAAAAATCCGAACGATAAATGCAATGTTCATATAATAGTTATTTATTAAAATAATGATAACATTTTTCAAACCTCTTTGAGTTCAGCTAATTTTCGAAAATCCAATTGTTCTTGGGACACTGGTACTTCCACCTTCTTTTTTGGAGTAATCACAGAATCTACTGCAGTTGCTTGAGATACGTTTTGGGATACTTCTTCCTGAGATTTTTCTGTTTCTCCTTTCTCTGTTTCGTCTTTCAATGATAATTTTTTCTTCTTTCCCTGCTTTTCTATAAATTCTTCCTCCGTTGGTGCAAAATTGATCTCCTGTTTGGCAATAGGAACCTCTGTGGCTTGATTTCCGGTTGTTGGAAGTTCTACATTTTCTACTGGCGGAACAGCGGATGACTTTCTGGAATCTGCCTTTGTCTTTGTAATTTTCTTTTTCTTCTATAAATTAATATGAAGACAAAGTTGATTTCAACGAAGATAGAAATGAAAAATCTAATTTTTATGATTGGAACTATGCAATTTTCTGTTACCACTTTCTTCTCGTCCTTCTCTTTAGTTTCCTTGTTTTCTTGGGAATCCTTAGCGTCGGCCATGTCTCTCAAATTTCAGTTATATTATATTCACGAACTGCCAGAGTGAATCTCGTACCAAGGGATTTTATAGATTCTTAATGCAACCCCCTCCACCCATCTCAAACTTGGATCCATCTCCAGCGGATATAGTTAATCCGCTACACGAAAACATTTTTTTCAGGGGCGGATCTTACAGTTTTCTAAAACTTTAATCGTTTCAACGAATGCAACAGTGTTGAAGGTAGGTTACTCGTTCATGAGAAGTAGCTCAAGATTAAACGTAGATTCCACGAACAGAAGTTGAAGAGTAAAAAGATCTGAGTTATATCAGATAAGAAATGGAGGCCACTTTAATTAAAATCTAGTTAAAACGACCCTGGTCCAGCCTGGAGCATGTTGACGTCTACCATCGTTGTATGCGTTATTTGGCAAATGCTACATAGACTTCCGGTTTTCCACCTGTCTTCAAGACATCATCCAATCTATCATTCAGTTTCCGCTGACGATGAGATCAGATCCTTCAAGTTCCATTCCTGCTGCATCCGCTACGACGTTAAGTTCGTCGTTGGAAATTGAAGTCACTTTGGTTTATCCCTGGTAAGTTTGTGAATTATTTTTTCGTGCATTTTTTTTACTGTGCAATTTAGTTTTGATATGGAAAACTGTACACTCATTTCCCGGAGACGTATCTGATTGTTTCCTATATATGATATTTTTCCTGTATTCTTTTAAATTTAATTCCTGAAAAATAGAGTTTTGATTTTGACAAAATACATAAATTAATTCTGAGATACTATTATCGTCAGTAGTTACTTATTAAAATATGGAAAAAAAAAGAAAATGACGATTCGATATATTTAAATAATTCTGAGCAATTGACTAGTTTGATTTTATTATTAAAAAGTTTGAAAACTTAAATCAATTCAATATTTCTGCAGAAAAGGGAGACTGCATGCTATAGCAGTGCTCGATAAGTTTTAATGTTTATAAATTTTATCACACATTAAAATGCAAATTGTAATCAATTTAAATCTTGGCTCTAGTTTCGATTTCAAGTTTAATCTAGTACGAATGTAGTTGCGGCGCTTATCGAAGCGACTGAAATTTCAAAAACTCCACGTCAGATGTCGCGAGCTTTCAATTCGAATTTTCTATCTAAACCTTTAAAACCTGTAAGTTATCCATCGAGCTAGAGATAAATCACCTCTCGCTAATTTAAAACCTAACTAATTGTACACCTGTATAAAGAAGTTAAAGGTTGGTTTCTAATATTTTTTGACTTTACCCAGTAAAAGCAAATACCAAGATTTGTGCAATGATACAAAACAAAATAAATTCTGCTATTGATTACAAGTAGATACACAACTTCTTTATAATATTCCAAACCAAAGAAACTTATACGTATGAAATTACAAATACCACACGTTTTTCCATATTTTCTTAATTACACAGGTTTTGTATAATATCAAGCGAAAAATTACTCTTGCTCTAAGGTAGACTGCATTAATCATCTCGGAATATACCTAAAGATAAATTTAGTAAACTGTCATCCGAGTATATTTTGGGTACTCGCCAAGTTTAGAATGAAGAGGCGTTTTAGCAGGCGCAATCTAAGAAGACCCGTATCAGTCTTCTGCTGCAACGAACCAACAGAATTTAGGTTAGATAATTATAGATGGCCACCTCACATGCTCCGGGATGCTCATAAAATAGTGCGAATATTTCTCTCCCTTTAATCTTATCTAACAAGACTTCCTACTAGCACGTATAGTCATCGACTTCTACGTTCCACATACCACAATATCATACAAAAATAATAACTATCTCGCTAGGTCATCAAGTCACCGTAAAAACACGCAGGGCTTCCAATAAGAACCCAGTGAGATTCTAAAAATTTCTGAGCCACTTATTTTTAGTTCCCATTTCCACCGCCTTACTTAGCCCTGGATACGTTGAACATCCGCCCTATATCGAAATATAACATTTCGACAACATTCACCAGACTTGGTATTCATTGTCGAACTCTTGCTTGACTTCTTATACAGAAATAAATAGTCGAAGAAGAAAAAAGGTAAGACTCGTACATAGAATCCAAGATAATAAAAGTAGACTACATCCTGAGTAAATATATAGGATGCAACATTTTTCTAAAGCATTAAAAGTAAATCTGAAATATTTAATTAATATAAAAGGAGCATGATGCCTCTCTCTATTATCCGATGGTACCTCAGGACATAAATAAACCCAATCAATCTCTCTCACTCTTGGACACTGGGTCGAAATTACAATCGATCGACTTGGTGTTTTCAATATTTTTTATTAGATGAACGATAATGTATAAGTAATAGTCCTCGGTTAATGATCACCCACACACGGAGCACGTACGTATTAATTTATTCGTCAGTACAATTGCCCTTCGCAACAGTATCTCGGAGATGATTCGTTGTATTAGGATAACCTTCAATAACGGCTCCGATCGAGGAGAAGACGTAAGAGTTTGGCTTGGTGCAGAAGGAATACAGAAAAAAGGAAAGGAAAAAGAAACACGCGCTTACATAGTGACAACAGCAAAGTACACGAATAACGAGGAAAACACTCATCGACGGTGGTCGAATATTCATTGAAAATTCATTCGAGTACTTTACTCTTAAGGTCTCATAGCATTTAGGAATAGTAGTAGGTATAATAAAATGTTAATAACGATGATAGGCATCCGAATCGTTGGTGTGTCGGTTGTCAATGAGCGTATCCTAATTTTTTATGTACGTTATGTTCGTGCAGTTCCGCTTTTACTGTCTCTTTCACTGGGTTTCCTTCTCTTGATAACGAGTACTTGGATGGTTGCTCCACGAAGTGCGATTGTACTGACGAATAAACGATGCCCGGCTCCATCCTTCTCCATGGTCCATTCACGAGGTGCTTCTTTGTTCTTGTCTCTCCTCTCTCTTCTTTCAATCTCTCTTGTTTTTGTCTTCCTCCCTCTTTCTCTCTCCACTGCTCCGCGTCGATCGCAAGATCAACGTTTAGCCTTCCTCTTCTTCCTCACCGGTTCCGGTGAGCATGGCAATCAGGGCTGGGGTGTCGATGAAGCCCTTGTCGTCGATGTACATCTGGTCAAAGGCGTCATCGACTTCCTTTGCGCTGAATTTGTCGCCCCAGGTCATCAGAGCGTGCCTCAGTCTAAAATTATCAAAAGACATTTCGTTAATCTGAGTGCCGTTAAATTTGAGTACCGTGAACAGTTTTGAAATTCGCGACAGGGTATCAGCTGGATGTCATCTCTAATTGATCGTTTCTGTTTTATTTTTTCAAGCATGACTGTCGCGCACGTATTTATCATGGTGCTGGTTAGAATGCAGAGTGGATGGAGAATTTAGTGCGTCAGATATCAGGATCAACACAGCGTGTCAGTCTTAGACCGTACGATTAGAACATCATAGCACTGTGTCAACAAGAGGTATTTGAATTCATTAATGAGTCAATGGACAATTGAAAATATAAAAATTACGAAATGACAAGAATGTGAAAAAAAAATTGTCAAATTTGTCAATGACGTTACTTAATTTCAATCTCGCTTTTCTCTCTTATAATCCAGGTTATTATCTTACTTCTCGCCGTCGATTCTGCCGTTCTCATCGAAGGTCTTGAAGGCATTGATGACAACGTCGTCATCGTCGGAACCTAAGAACGCATAAGACAGATGAATTTTTTCAAAATAAATATCAAACGGAATTACAAATAATTATACAATATCATGTTTTAGATACTGACCTCCGGACATACGGGTGGCGAACAGATTGAGCAACTGAGTGAAGCTGATGGGTGCAGGTGCTTCGTTCACCATCTCGTCCAACTCCTTCTCAGAAGCAATTTTGCCAAGGGAGTCAAAGGTGGCGCGAAGGTCATTCTTGCCAATGATGCCATCCTTATCGTGGTCCATCAGCTGGAACGCCTGCAGATCCAGCCAAAGTAAATTAGGTGCGTTTCCCGGTAAAGATCTCGAGGGAGCTCTTGGCACCGGCGCCACTTTTGGCTTAGGTTTTCTTTGCCGCGCATTCCTCAACGTTTCTTTCCTCGTACACGAGCAACGAGTCTGGTAGAAAAGATTCTCCCTCTTAGGACTATATACTCTATAGTAAACTCTACTCTTTACGTACGAGGATCTAGAGGCGTTTGTCGAATGCGAGTCAAAGAGACTTTTTTTTGTTCATTTCTCATTGTTATACATTTTTTCGCTTTTATTTTTTAGCTCTGTTTAACACGTTTTCATCGTGCTCCATATCAATGATCAACCTACCTCCTTGAACTCAGCAACCTGCTTCTGCGAGAACATGGAGAACACATTGGAACCGGAGCGCTTGGCAGCCTTACGGCTTCCACGGCTGCTGGCTCTAGCAGATTCAGTCGGTGTGGCTGCTGCCGAAGCATGTGTGGAAGGTGGTGCTGGTTCCGGTGTTGGTTCAGGCACTGGTTCTGGTGGTGGCGCCGCCTCCTCCTTCTTCTTGGGCTTCTTCTTCTTCTCCTTATCCGCCTGAAATTCGATTAACCCCTTGCGTCATTGCGTGCTTAAAATCTAATATAAAATGGTGACTGTTGCACCAGTCCTATCTGTTTATAAGCCCTATTCAATTGATTGAAATGTTTAATTGCGAAGGGATGTTCATTTATACACAGCCTTCAAGTGTAAATTAAGATCTAAGCGACCGATCGTTTGAACTTCCAGATTATAGGTAAGGAATTTGATCAACCTCCAGTTTGTAGTACGTAATCGATTCTGAATTTTATTTAGTATTATTTTACCGAATGTTCCTTCTTTTATATTCATCGGATTAGATTAGAATATCGTTTATATTCACCATTTGGATGAGAGTCTTGGGGATTAAAGGGATCGAAGAGGTAACTGTTGAGTGTCGAGAAGCCGAGCGAGTAATGAGACGTTAGACGATGTAATTTTGGTTATTGGACGGTGCGAAGAAACGAGCAAGCTAGTGAACGAGGCGTCGCCCGTTAAGACTTGGACGCGAATCGGTGAACGCTCGAAAATTCGGAAGGCGTCTTCAGCAGTGTCTAATAATAGTACACTCTATCACCCGTGTATTACCGACAAGCGGCCAAGACGTATATAGACCGACCGCCTCGACGCCGCGCAGCCTCTCGAGTTACCATTGTTACGTAATACTCGTATTTTCAATTGTCTCCTGCACTAACATTTGCTTGGCATCCTTTGACAATTCTCCTTCATGAGACCTGGACCTTGACTGGGTCCAATAGACTGTGGCGTCTTCCAGCACTTCAGGAAGCTTAATCATGAATCTAGTTGAGGAAGACTTGTGCATTCTTGAGGAATCGAATGTCGAAGATCAATTTGAGGAACGATAAAAATTCATTAATTTTAATAATTGAAGTTCAACAGATGGAGATAAACGGAAGGAAATAAAAATATGGCGGAAGTCAAAGAAGATGGTCAAAGTTTAAAGCTAATTAGATATAGACCACTGTATCACTTGATGAACACAATTCGTAAAACAAAAAACCAAAATCCATTGTCTCGGCTACTTTCATCAGTTCACCACGATCACTAGGAAATTCAACACACTGCGCGTAATCCTTGAGGACGCTAGTATGGTACGCCCCAGGATCCACTTCGTCATAATCACATAGGAGATCATCGGTATTTCCGTTATTCGTCATCCTCGTTTTATAGACGTTCATACGTCGTGGATCACTATTTCCGAAGTTCCTATCACCAAATTCACTGGAAGGAAGTCCTTGTGGTCCCGCACTATCCTCTTTGCCGTCATATCGTCATCACTTTCCCTTCGCGCACGGTGGTCGTATAAGCATCATCGATTTCATCAATGATAAGTCGCTGATGATGTCATTTATTCCCCATTCCCCCCAGGTACATCACTTGGTCTCTTTCGTTCGGAGGCTGTATTATCGCATCTCTCGGAATTTTTTTCTACTTACCATGTCTACGGTTGGTTTCTAAGAGGATGGTACGAGATGGTCACAACGAACCAACTGTCCAAGTCATAGAGGTGGACTTGTCTAAGTAACTTTCGGGCATCCCCCCACCATGAGGTGCTTGCTGAGCAGGGGTGCCATGCCCGGTACAACGCCAACGCCTATCTGACCATATTTAGTGCGAGCAGCCTCAAAATAGCGCCCTTTCGCCGTTTGAACTAAAACAGTTAGCCGGGACGAAGCAGCCGAGCAGTCCCATTGGACTCCGCGCAGCCAGTTCGCCTTTCAGAACGAAAATATAAGTCAAGGGTGCCTCTGGAAAGTCTTCGCCTGGCTCATAGCACCCACTCCTCGTTGGACCACCCCAACAAGGAAGTTCCTTCGACGGCTCCGTGACCCTCTAACGTGAACACATTTACACAATCGGTACCAACTTGTGCTTGCCTTACTACACCTCTTAGCCCAGGACCATCCATCTTTCCTCGGGTATAGTGACCACTGGTACCAAACACGTGATTTCACCCCTTCACTCTATTCGCTCGGGAGTTTGACAATTCTATCATCATCGTCGACTAAGATGGTTCTTGAGCGCCGATGATGTTCCTTGAGATCTCACGAGTGACGACTTTTCCCTTTTTGTATCTATTTCTAAATAAACCTCGACCTCAGAATTCTCCACGCAAGAGACATTTTTTCATTGCTGCTGATTCATTTTTGTTCCTGCTGGTGAATTTCGATGCGTGTCAAGATATCCCAAGCACGTGGCTGCTGAATATAACTAGCTGACATTTGAATTTCGATCTGACGATAGTTTCGAACAAAATACCCTAGAATTGACGACGAAGATGGTGTTTGTTAATGTGATACGACTTCTAGTAATTCATAATTTATTATCATAACGTGTATATTGCAAAAGATCAAAACAATTTTATCCATAAGCCATTATTCTAAAATTCTTATTCTAATTGGTCCTGGAGTCAGATTAAATTTATTCAATCCACATATAATCTTCGTTTATGTACCTTATGATTTCACAAGGAAAATTCCTGACAGCTCCATTACGCTAACACCAGCCGTCCAAAATTAGCCACCACGTCACGTGGTTTCATCTATACACGATACTCTAGGTAGAAGTTTCGTGCAAGCCGAGATGTTCTCGTATTTCTATTGTCATTGGGAATTCTTCGTGACGCGAATAAAATGCCAAGAAACACCTCCCAAGTCACTGTATTTGAGTATCGACGGTAAATCATCACGGAAGAATCATCTCTGCCAAGTTGCTCTTGGCCAGAGAAATGATCCTGTCCTCGTGCAATGGTACAAGCATTCGAGCCAAATGAAAGCTAGGTAAATTTTACTAAGGGAGAGACAACGTTTATTGCGGGATACGTAAATAACAAATTACACGAAAAGTCTGGAAAAAAAACAAGTCAGTCGGCCAATTTCAAATAACTATTAGATTAGAGACAAAATATTTGAACACCAAGCACAACTACTGAAAGCGTCTTCAATTACGGCGCGTAGTTTTTTTTGAATATTTTTCTTTTGCCGATTTTTTGTCCAACTCCTAATAGTCTTCTAGTGTTTCTCTTCGATCTCCGTCTGAATTTTGTTCTGGCTTTGGACGGTTTTCTTGCGCATGCGCTGTGATCCCTAGATGGAACAGCAGACATGTAATGTACGTATTACGATGGTCTCTAGTTTCCGTACTAGACCCTTAACCTCAAATTAGAAAAACAAAACGGAACACCGCTACCGAAAAACACGCCAAGCACGTATATTTTTGGAGTTCTATATTCAGCTACACTACCGGATTGATGATTCGTGGTCTGACTGTCCTTCTCGCAGATCCGTTAAGGTTTCGACGATGAGGATTACGATCATCTTACCTTCCAACCGGACACTCGATTCTGGATTCTGATTTCAAACCTTCTCTAAATGCAGAGTAAAAATAATAAGCGATTGAACATGATCTGCTGAGAGAAAACTGTGGTATTGTATGCTATTGTTATACAATGAAAACAAAAATTATATACCTGGTGTGCGATAAATTCGATATGGCGGATACGCTTTTTAATACTGATAAGGAGTCTGTGAAGGAGTTGGGAATCTCTGAACGGAAACCGGATGTCACGGATGAGCAATCGGATCTAGTAGGTTCCGGATATCCTTGAGACAATGGCGGCATGTATTGATGCTTCAGACTTGTCCACCATTCTTGTCCATTCTTTTTAGGAATTGACCTTGAATGTCGATAATTTTTTTCCATAATTAGTATCAACTTATCTACAACTTGTTTTTACTTTGTAATTAAATATATGGCATGAAAAATACTCTAAGTTTGGATTGGACTACGCACTGTCTTTGGGCTGGATAAATTTTAAGGTTCACAAGGCAATTTTATTGAAACCTTGATGCTATGATAAATCGATAATGGCAATGGCCACTTGAACTCGATAATAAATTTCACGACTAGGCAGGCGATCCAGACGATCAGTATATAAGAAAAATATATAATAAAGTACACGTCTCTGTGATCCTTGATTAGATCCTGGCTAGGATCTTGAATGCTGATCCGGTTGCTGTCCTTGTTTCTGTAATCAACAGACGAAGGTACGATCGATCAAAGCCAAAGACTATGATTTTTCAATCAGAATTCCGTGTACTTACAATTTACCCTCGTTATCCAGCTGACTTCCTACGCTATAATTGATAGGTCGATTAATGACTTCGCATTCTTTATATATTTTAATCCTGATCACTTACATTTCCTGATTTCTCGAAACTCGATGATTATAAGCAAGATCAGCTAGAAAATTGGTATTCAGTACCCGCTTCTTTTGAAAGGAGCTGTATTTTCTTTAAGAATGATTTTATTTTAACATTTATTTTTGTATATTATTATAATATAGTTACCCAGACAATTTTTTATTTAAATTCTACCTACTTGCATCTGTTGCAGCTGCACACGCAATTGGTTCCGCAATGTTTACGACCACAGCCTCTGGACTTGACTCCTTTTCTCTGCAAACGTTTCGTGGAAATTGGTTTGCACGCACAACTAGAAAATGAGAGGGACAAAAAATAATATCAATTAACAAATATCACACAAATGCACAAATTCATGAAAAATTACAGAAATCTATCCAGGCAATTACAGATGAAGCATGTGGTATTTCTTTTGAATTTTGGTAAAAATTCAAAAGTCAATAGAGTTTTGAAGGAATCGATCACGGTACCAATTGGTAATTGCTTCCAAACCATTTTTTTTAAAAATATTATCATTAAAAGACAGATAATTTTCAGGTCCTATTAAGGTTACCTCCTGGCCATCCAGGTCTTGATGACTATCCAATTTCAATTGTTTTTTGGTAAAAGATGACTGTCGTAATGTCATTAGTTGACCAAAACTGTTGAGACCACGGAGTCGTAAGTACATGTTCGAAATAATAATCAATCTTTATTAATTTTCCATTTCCAAAAATCATCGAATTTTTATAAATATTTTCTAGCTTTCCGATTCTCTGCATTCGGGTCAGGTACCTGAGCCTCTTGGCCACCGTGACCGGTTTATGGGTCATCGTTCTCCACTTCTCGCGGCTCCCACCACGGTCTCAGCGAAATAAGAAAGTACAAGGCGTTATCGTTCTGCTGCCTTGAGGTACAGGTCTACAGTTTCATACGGTACGGAGCCTGACTAAGATCCACTCAATTTACCAATTTACGTGTCAAATAACATTCGCGGTAAATAAAAAAATAGTCGCACCAACGAAATGTCGTGATTTCCTAAAAATAAGCAGAAAGTATGTGGTGGATTCTTGTGCTGATTTGTGGTGAGTGAAAGTGTCGTTTACGGAACATAACTGGAATGTCATACTGATGATTCAGTACTGATCATGATGGATAGTCAGGATAATGCAAATTGTCGATTATCCATATTGTTAAATTTTTCCCCCTTGTGAGAAACCATTTTTATAGAACAATAATAGAAGTATCATATGAAATTAAAGAGTGCAAAGTGAAATATTTTTTTTCATGAAAAATTGATTCTTTTTTCAAATAAAAAGGAACGACAAAGCATATTGATTTAACGGTTCATTCTTATACAGCAACAACCGGAAGTGCACTCAGGCTCGCAGCGTACATCTCATCCGGTGGTCTTCATGGAGAAATACGATTTGAATCAGGTCCAGAGGATACCGTTCGAATTCGATTTGCACTTCAAACCACCCTACAGTATCCAGATCAGTTATGGCTGTGGTCCATTACTCAGTTTCCGGTAGATTACACGACCGTTGACAGTCGTTGCGATGCGCGACATACAGGGGAGACGTAAATAATATATTATTTCTTATATGCCCTAAATTTGTAAAATAACTTAAACTATCATTTACTTGTTTAAACAGTGTCATTGATATGACGGATCTACTTGGTCCTCTGGTGATGCCAGGAAATGAAACAGGCGTCATAGAAGTTCCTGGGTTGAGTCTTACTGGGAAAGAAGGTCTTTGGGGGAAAGGTCTTGTTCTCAAGGATACATATAGTCCTAGGACGATTTGTGCTTCTATTACGGTAAATTGATTTATTCATTTCATAAATCTCATATTTTTTTAATACTGAATACGTTTCTTTCTCAAGGTGTCTGACAAAAATGCTGAAAAAGTCGCCGAAGCTCGTTTCTATGGACCTGTTGCTGGTTCCGTTTGGTTTCGTTGGTTAGGTGGCCAAATTGGCGACAACACCTCTGACACAATAATTTATGCCAATTTACATCACGTTACTAAACAGAAACCAACGACAGTTGATTTTACGGAACATCATTGGAAAATCTACACCAGTGATATATTTGATTCTGGGAAAGGTATGCTTAATCGTTGATTTAAAACCAATAAAACTTATTAACGATGAAGGAGGAAATTTATTGGTTGAAATTTTTAGAAGAAGGAGAGGATAATTGTAATATATTACAAACCGTATTCGATCCTGACAATTTGGGCGAATCCAAGTCGATTGGCGACATTGATACACGGTTAGGAAAGATAAAGGTCGTTACCAATGTCAACAAGAAATTTAAAACGTCCTACAGAGATCCGGAAATTTCGTTATTACCTGCTGATCTTCTTGGACCTTATCGTTCATTGTTTTTGGTCATCTTCCATCCAACTCATGACGACTCCTTTCTGGCCTGTGCTAAGATCAGGCATCATAAACCAATTTTCGCCAAGTAAACTTCTTACGTTACTAGTTTCTAATTTTGAGAATTTACAATATTTCAATTATTTGTCTTACTTAGACATAGATTAATTAATTTCTTTATTGTTTCCTAGAACATTAATTAACTCTCATGGTATCAAGGGAGAAGTTACACTCACTCAGGACATGCCATTTAATCCAACTTGGGTCAACGTTTCTCTAGTTCCTGTAAATAATCTTGAAACAAGGTTACGTTACAATACCAAGATAGCATCTTACAGAATTCATGAGTTGCCCCAAGAGCCAACAAGATCAAGAGCACAGACTGGGGAACCGTGTTTGTCAACAAAAAATATGTACAATCCCTTAAAGATCGACGAGAAGCAAGCTCCTCCACCTGGTATAGGATTATTGTCATCTAAACATCGATCTGTTGGAATAATTTGATTCATATAATAAAAATTATCGGCAGGTCTCGGGACTCAGGATCAGTATGCAATTGGTGATCTAACAGGCAAGCTTCAAGGTCGTAAAGAAGGATTTAATCATAACGATATTGTTCCTGGAAGTGCAAAATTGAATGGAATCTATTGGGATACCTATCTACCATTATCTGGAGCCTACAGTGTTGTTCACAGATCACTTGTTCTTCACAAGTATGGAGTATCAAAAATATTGGTATTATTTAAATTGGAATATATTACAGATTAATAAATATTATCAATTTATTATCAGATATAATGAAACCGATAATAAAGGTGTAATACCTTGGGTCTGTGGGACTTTTGCACTTCATTCACCTTACATTGGTGGACAAATGCCTATGTTCACGGCAGAAGTAATCTTCAGGTATCCTCTTGTTGGAAGAATTATTTTTAGACAGCCAAAAAATGAGCCCCAAATGGACACAACTATTTTGATTGAAAACTTAGTCCATGCTGATGGCAGTTCGCTTAATAATTCAGCTGAGCATAGGTACGCTTTCAAATATATGGTAATTACAGATAATATTCGTAATAACGTTACAATGCTTATATTTATGATTTATTCAGATGGATGATTCACGACCATCCCCCAGGGAAGGATTATTATAATTGGACAGAAAGATGTCTTAGTGCTGGAGGACCTTTTAATCCTTACAAGGTAAATATTTTTTTAAATGTACAATAAAAATTATATAACTGCTAAATTTGTGGATTTTAGGTCGACTGGAATCCAGATCATCCAGAATGGTGTTCATCCAATGAAATAACTGTATGCCGTCTTGGCGATCTTTCTCGACACGGTACACTGGAAATAGCTGGCAGAAAATTGTTTGGTCCACAAATAACACGAAAACTCTTTACTGATTCTTTATTACCTCTTGTTGGATCAATAAATATTCTAGGAAAGAGTTTAGTTCTTTATGACGATCATGGACCCGTTGCCAGAGGAGAGCGACTTGCTTGTTCTATGTAAAGTTCAATGAGAATTCAAGAATAAAATATTAAAAGAGGTATAACGCGATACTTACGAAATAACCTAATATATACATTTTTTAATAACAGAATCAGTGCCGTCCATAGAAGAAAAGCTGTGGTCAAAGACTGGTTTGGTAATGGCCAGGATACATCAGTTAGAGGAAAGTTAGAATTTATTCAGCAAAGCGAATACGACGTTACCGACGTCGAAGTCAATTTGGAAGGTTTGGCTGCAGAAATGAGTGGTTATCATGTTCACATGGTAAATCATAAAATGTCATTATTCAAATATTTGGTCGAACAGAATATAATTATTCATTTTTTAAATATTCGTTTACTTTAGACACCCGTCGAGGTTGATTTGGAATTTCCATGTGAAGCTACAACACTTTATGGTCACTGGAATCCGTTGAATGTTAATACTAGTACTGTACCACCTCCTGCGTCAGGAACTATTGATCAGTACGAGATGGGTGATCTTAGTGGGAAATTTGGTACATTGGATAATAGAAAAAAATATAGTACTATTTATAACGATACTATGCTTCCGTTATTTGGACCCAGAAGCATATTGGGTCGAAGTATTGTAATACACAAAAAAGATAAAAATTTAAGGTCGGTCATAGTAATTATTTTATAAGCAGTTAATCTTCGGCATTCCTTATTCTTTAAAAGTGTAATAAATAAATTCATTTTTTTTTTAGATGGGCGTGTTCGACAATCGAAAGAGGATATGCACCTTCAGAAGCACGAGAATTACGTGCAATTGCGTCATTTCATCATCCCTATGGTTTCGCTTATGGCTATATTAGAATGGTGTTATATTTATTCAATTTATTATGCTACAGTACACTTTCTCTATAAGGCTTTTATTGTGTCCCTCTCATTTCCTTGGAATGTATAGAATTGTACATAAAAGTGAGATACATAGAGGCTTTAGAAAGAATGTCTACTTGCCCATTGAAATTTATTAAACAAGATTTTTCAATACTTTCAGACTCAACTCATATACAGAGATAATAGTCAAAGTGATACAATTATTGAGGTAAAACTTCATCATCCAGGAAAAAATGACCGGAACGTGGTACGTAGGTCATTGCTTACGCATTGTTGATCTGGAAACGTAAAACATAAATAGGCTTCAAATCTGTAAGACAAGTATATTCATTAGAGAGTCAAACAGTTTATATGTTTAATCCTTTTAGACAAGAAATCACAATTGGGCTATTTATGTAAATCCGGTTGGCGTTGATGCATCCGTAAGGGTAAAGGATACACGCTGCGTTGCCGGTGGATACAGATGGAATCCTTATTTCACGCAACTTGCTGATCCTTTAAACGTAAGATTGATGTTTAGGTAGAATGTAATGACATATTACAACGATTTTTGTTTCTAAATTTTTTAATACATGATATTTATGCATTTATTATCCTTAACAGGAGGATTTGTATAAACAAGAATGTGGGCCGGATCTACCTCTGCGATGTCACGTTGGTGATATTTCGTCACGGCTAGGTCCTATTGACATTGGTCTAGAGCGTCAAGTATTTACTGATCCAAATTTCCCATTAGAAGGTACCGTATCGGCAATGGGTAAATCAATTGTTATCATGGATTCAGAATTTGGCAGCAATAGATTTGCTTGTGCAAATATTGAGCCGGATAATGATATTGTAAAATATGCCAATATCAGGAAACCACCCAGATTTGTGGTGTAAGTATACGTAATCGATCAGTTACCGGGACACAAAAGATTAAATTTCCTCAGATCAAATGTCATCTAGTTTGATCTGACCAGATTTGACCTTTTTTCTCGGTTATTCATAAATCGTATGTAACACGTAATCATAATTTGAATAACTTGTATGCTATAACCTGTGCCTATGTATAAAGAATTTTATTTATTTATAGGGCTCAATTTTTGGAAGATGTCAGAGAGCTTATGGGTATTCCGGATTGGATGTTGTCTGTAGACAGTAGAAAGACAAAAATTCTTCACAATGGAGCCTGCATACAATTTTTGCTTCACTTTAAAGGTAAGTCTATTTTACTATGGTATTATAGATTGATATACAACATTTATTTTTATTTATAGGACCGATTGCTAATAAACTTGAGCAAGACTTTAGTAAATTAATGTCCATTGGAAGACTTGATGCACCGACCTTATACATTCCGGGATACGTGCAAACCAAGCGTAAAAGGACCATTGGCCATAGACAGTGTGGCACACGCGATCCTATCGATAAAAGTAAGTTTTATTAGAAAACTACTGTTTATTCAGCAAAAACACGATTAATAAAAGAAGCTGATAAAATTATTTAATGTTATTATTTGCAGGTTATGCTTTATATGGAAGCAACGCTGGTACTGCAACGCAATCTGCATTCTATTTAATATGTAGTATATTATTATTATTAATATGCAATAGGACCCTGTAAATATATTGAAATGATAATTGATAAGTAATGATATTTACATAAATATAAAAATTGAATAAACTTGTTTACAAAAGCAATTATTTAGAAAGTATTTATTATTTGAGGAAGTACTTCCAAACTAGGCATTCTAATTTTCGTTGAGAAATTGAATTAATGAAAGAGAAAAAACAATATAAAGACTTTCACTCACCTTATTCGTTTATTACTGTAATTTCGATGAAACTGATCAACAAATGATAAACCTTGTTTCTAATTGTTGAAAGATTGAACACTGCCATTATTTATTTGGCAGTATCAGTCACATATATTAACGGAATGAATGAATTTTATTATGTATGTATATGACACATGCGTACTATGTGCAATTTCGTTTCTTAACGAAACATAAATAATTCGGACAGTTTACATATGAATGTACTAGCAGCAACAATACGAATAGGACGCATAAGTGCGTTTTTAATTTTGTTAGTATGTTTGTAGCACAAGGAAAACTAAAAAGATGAAATAATAGTACTTTGCGATACAAGTGCAAGAAAGCGAACTTTATAGGCAAGCGGTGAAGTTGGTCGCACGCCGCACACGAGTAACACAACGGCACGACCCGAAGGCGAGTGCTGTTTGTTTTACGAGTGCGGCGAGTGTGACAAACTTCACGAACTGCGTATAATGTTCGCTTTATTGTACCAGTATCGCATAATATTTTCTGTAACGAATGCATGAAAAACGCTACTTTTTGTGCCTACAAACTGACTGGAACATCTCTTCGTTGGAGGAGGCATCCATAAGAAGAGCAAGGAAGGCTTCCAAAGTGAATGCATTTCATGGCAGCGCGCGAGAACAAAATTTAATTTATCGCACTAGTGCGAGAAGAAAGCACTAGTGTGATAATGTAAAATTTGGCCGATTTGCGCATGCGCAGCATTTTTATCTATGGATATCTATGGATAATGCAACAAAGTTAAAGAAGCCAGAAATTATACTTTGCAAACCTACATAAACGCTAGAGGGGGAACCGAAACATCCAGTCGAAATCTAAAGGATTTTTGGTACTTAATATTTTGCTTGGAAATATTTACTAAGAAGTAACATCTCAGGCAACGTCAAAGCGGTATTACCTCTCCATGTAACACATGTCGCTTATTATATCAAACGTGAGAATGAAGACTAATGTAAGAGAATATAGCGTGATGAAGATATGAACGGACCAAGATGCACGCAAGTCTTTCTCGTAAATGAGTTAGAACTGTGAAAGGAAGTTATTATTGTGGGATGAAGAGGTTTGAATGATTGTAGAAAAAAATTCGAATTTGTAGATCGTGAAATTAATGGACATTTAATGTTGGAAAAGGATCACAATTAGAATTTACTTCTTCTTCGACACTCCAACAGTTCGTCCACGACGTCCTGTCGTCTTTGTATGTTGTCCACGTACACGAAGACCCCAGTAATGACGAAGACCTCTATGTGCTCGGATCTTCTTCATTCGTTCCAAATCTTCACGCAATTTAGAATCAAGGTTTGAGCTAGTAAGCTGCAAATAACAGAAAATAAAATTTTTTAACTTGAGTAATTTACATCTTATTGGAATCATTTGTCTAATACTGATAAAATTATTTTTTGATTAACACATTCGGTACCACGGTCTTAGAGGAAAAACGCCCATCATAAACTATGGCCATGTATTTTTTTTTGTATTTCCGTACAATATACTCCGTTGCATATGTGTGACGCCGGACTCACAATAGTCATTTTGAGCGTCACACATATGGGAAGTTGGTAGCGAACGTGTTAAATAAATAACATTGTTTCTAATGATTCTAGTACATTTCAGGCAAAGCATTACAAATAGATGAAATCGCAATATAGTAGGATTGATTCATGACATTCCATGCCTATAATTATGGTTTTATATTGGCTTTGAGTAAAACTAATCTTTTAGATTAAAGTAATTAATTAATTTGTTGTAGTGAAAAAGTTACTTATTATACACTACATATCTTCAATCCTTTCAATACAAAACCTAAATATTTATTTATTGAAAATGTAACAATACCTGTGAATATTTTCCATCAACAATGTCCTTCTGTCTGTTGAGGAACCAATCAGGAATTTTGTATTGACGAGGATTTGCCATGATGGTGACAATTTTTTCCACCTATAACAAAAACCAATCAGAAATTATAAGATTAGTTTTTTAAAAGTAATTTCTTGTCCAAACTGCAGAATACAACTCCTTCTTGAATTTAGCTGTGGACTGTTTAGATTTTTTACATACAGTCCTTTAAAAAGGCGTCGCATTCTGCATTCAGTTTTACCAATTTTTTATACAAATTAGTCAAATAGAAGAAATTCTTTTTAAACAGGGTTTAAAGATAATTTTAATTACTATAAACAAAATACGCAATTGGTGATTCTAAAGCATGTCATTAGCTCTTAACCTCTCCGGTTAACAGAGAAATATCTATAGGACTATAAATATAAAGTATTTAATATGTTACCTCTTCCTCAGAACATTCTCCTGCTCGTTTGTCAAGATCAATATCAGCCTTCTTTAAAACAATATTGGCATATCGTCTTCCTACTCCCTTAATTGCGGTCATCGCAAACATAACCTTACGGTTACCGTCGATGTTTGTCCCCATAACACGGAGAATGTGTTGGAACTTCTCAGGAATTACGAGCGACTGAAATAAAGAAAGTAATATAATGATCTAATAAGGTATTTTATGCAATACGACCACCAACAGATTATTTGACTACAAAAATTATGATACGCGGTACTGAAAGACTTATTTTACTCTTAATGACATTAGTTGTTTTGGTTGTTAGGTTATGAATTTTCGAACTTGTGAAATTCAGGAGATACAATATACAAATACAATTCATAAAAACATTTGACAGATATTTACAAGTATTTATATTCCTGAAAATGTCATGTATAATATATATTCACCATATTCTAGTCACTATACGTTTTATACTTAAGAAATTGTCAAAGTATTACACACTATAATAAAATAAAAATATTCATGTACATAACATTATTGGTCCATTACTAATCATTTTTATTTTATATAACGCTTCAATTGTTTGAGATTTTACTAAAAGTTTAAGATTACGTTAAACATGTTACAAAACTCACCATTTTGCTGAATTGTCAGCTACAAAAAGAGGAATTAACGGAAACGGAAGCTCACTGGTGAGCATAGAAGAAACGTGATTGTAGAGATACTTCTTGCTTTGAGTCAATCTGAAAAGCGACCTCAGCGGTGAAAGGAAGAACTAATTGGAACTAAGTTAAAATACATAAGTGCTTTCTGTTAGAGCCAACTAATAAAGTATAGTGAGAAATAATTGTAACAGAAAAACTGCTGTGATGAGATTAACCAGAATTGGACGTAAAGAATATTAATTTTGTATAATATTTATAATTTGTACCACAGTTCAATTATATCAGCATAAAAACAAGATCGTAGAATTCGTGTAATAAAATACAGAGTAAAATATGCCTAGCCTCCTAACGGTGGTGTAGCAAAGCTATGTCAGTGATTCCCCACTTCTGCCCCTTAATCTAGAATAGTTTATAATAATAACCATATACATATAATAACAACAGTGAATAACAGACATTACCGGGTGAAAAGTGGTCGAGAGAGGTTAGAAAAGGTTGGGCATTCGTTTATAGTGTTTTGACGTTTGTATAACGTTTATTATTCACCTAACCTATCATGTATGCTCTCGAAGATGGTAAGTGTGTTTAGAAAATTAAAGACATATTGAATCGAAGACGATTATATTAGAAACGGATTTTTATTGATTCACCCCAGGTGTTATAAGGTTATGCGTCTTAAGGTTTACACAAACAATGTATGGAGTTAGGCAAATAATTTTAATTTTTATACATATTCCCTCTTAATTTAAAACGTGGATTTATGCTTGATTGCATTTCTTATGTATTCAGATCAATATGATGATGAAGATGCAGAGGAAATTTCATCAAAATTGTGGCAAGAGGCTTGTTGGATCGTCATTAATGCCTATTTTGATGAGAAAGGTCTTGTACGACAACAGCTTGACAGTTTTGATGAATTTATTGAAATGTCAGTTCAAAGGATTGTGGAAGATTCACCACAAATTGATTTACAAGCAGAAGCTCAGCATACATCTGGAGAGATAGAAAATCCTGTGAGACATTTGTTAAAATTCGAGCAGATCTATTTATCTAAGCCCACACATTGGGAAAAAGATGGTGCACCTTCACCTATGATGCCCAATGAGGCCAGACTTAGGAATTTAACATATTCTGCACCTTTGTATGTAGATATCACAAAAACTATATTAAAAGATGCAGAAGATCCTATTGGTGAGATGTTGTTTCAGGTTGATTATTAACCCTTATCACTCCAATTGGCAATACTACTAGAGTAATAAGGGTTAATATATGTGCTTCAACTCAAAAATATCTTTGTTATCAATTTGCTCTTACAGAAACGCAGCATCAAAAAACATTTATTGGGAAAATTCCAATTATGTTACGATCAAAATATTGTTTACTTGCTGGTTTATCTGATCGTGATTTGACTGAATTGAATGAATGTCCTCTTGATCCTGGTGGCTATTTTATTATTAATGGCTCAGAAAAGGTATGATTAAATAATAGACTTAATTATTTATTGAGCATGACCATTAAACTCATTCAATAATGTAGGTTCTTATTGCACAAGAAAAAATGGCGACAAATACAGTTTATGTATTCAGCATGAAGGATGGAAAATATGCATACAAAGCTGAAATCCGTTCATGTTTAGAACACAGTTCAAGACCAACATCCACGCTGTGGATTAATATGATGGCAAAGAGTGGTGCCGTAAGTGTTTTTCTTTATTGCTATTTATATGTAACCTCATGAATTTGAGATAATAATATTCTGCTTACACCTGATTTTTAACTTTGTGCAGAGTATAAAGAAGTCAGCAATCGGTCAACGTATTATTGCCATTCTTCCATACATCAAACAAGAGATCCCAATCATGATTGTGTTTCGAGCTCTGGGATTTGTAGCTGATCGCGATATCCTCGAGCATATTATCTACGATTTCGATGATCCTGAAATGATGGAAATGGTTAAGCCGTCTTTAGACGAAGCGTTCGTTATTCAAGAGCAAAACGTTGCCCTAAATTTCATTGGTACTCGAGGTGCTCGACCTGGAGTAACAAAGGAGAAACGTATAAAGTACGCGAGGGAAATTTTGCAGAAAGAAATGTTACCGCATGTCGGAATAAGTGATTTCTGCGAAACAAAGAAGGCGTATTTCCTCGGTTATATGGTGCACAGGCTGCTTTCAGCCTCCTTGGGCAGAAGAGAATTGGATGATCGTGATCATTACGGAAACAAACGTTTAGATCTCGCTGGTCCCTTATTAGCATTCTTATTCAGGGGATTATTTAAGAATTTAATGAAGGAGGTTCGAATGTATGCACAGAAATTTATTGATCGTGGGAAAGATTTCAATTTGGAGTTGGCCATCAAGACCAAGATTATCACTGATGGCTTAAGATACTCTTTAGCTACTGGTAACTGGGGTGATCAGAAAAAAGCTCATCAAGCTAGAGCTGGTGTATCTCAGGTATTAAACAGGTTAACTTTCGCCTCCACGTTATCTCACTTACGTCGTGTCAATTCACCAATTGGTCGTGATGGAAAATTGGCCAAGCCTCGTCAGCTGCACAACACTTTATGGGGAATGTTATGTCCTGCCGAAACACCTGAAGGGGCTGCTGTAGGTCTTGTGAAAAATCTTGCCCTTATGGCGTACATCAGTGTCGGTTCACAGCCTTCACCTATATTGGAATTCTTAGAAGAATGGTCCATGGAGAATTTAGAAGAAATAGCACCAAGCGCGATTGCTGACGCAACAAAGATATTCGTGAATGGCTGCTGGGTTGGCATCCATAGAGATCCTGATCAATTAATGGCTACGCTTAGGAAACTACGAAGGCAGATGGACATCATCGTTTCTGAAGTGTCGATGATTAGAGACATCCGTGACAGGGAAATCAGGATATACACTGATGCTGGAAGAATCAGTAGGCCCTTATTAATTGTAGAGAATCAGAAGTTACTTCTCAAGAAACGACACATAGACATGCTCAAGGAAAGAGACTACAATAATGATGGGTTTGTATACTTGTAAAAAGTAATCATGCATTGGAATTATATTTCATAAATTTTAAATTAATCGTTGAATTTCACTTTTAGCTGGCAAGAGTTGGTAGGCAGTGGGGTGGTCGAATATATTGATACTTTAGAAGAAGAGACTGTCATGATCGCTATGTCTCCCGAAGATCTAAGACAAGAGAAAGAATATGCTTACTGTACTACATACACCCACTGTGAGATTCATCCTGCTATGATTTTGGGAGTCTGCGCTTCTATCATTCCATTCCCTGATCACAATCAGAGTCCTAGGAATACATACCAGGTAAGAATGAAGAATCTTGTGTAATATAAATCCGATTTACCCCCGTATGATCGTAACACTCCCTTCATTTCCATAGAGTGCTATGGGTAAACAAGCTATGGGCGTTTACATTACGAACTTTCACGTACGGATGGACACTTTAGCTCACGTTTTATATTATCCTCACAAACCACTGGTTACCACCAGATCAATGGAGTATCTTAGGTTCCGAGAATTACCAGCTGGTATAAACAGTATTGTGGCCATTTTATGTTATACCGGATATAATCAGGAGGACAGTGTCATTCTAAATGCCAGTGCCGTTGAGAGAGGTTTCTTCAGATCTGTATTTTACCGTTCTTACAAAGATTCTGAGTCAAAGAAAATTGGAGATCAGGAAGAGCAATTCGAGAAGCCAACAAGACAAACATGTCAGGGAATGCGTAATGCCATTTACGATAAATTGGATGACGATGGAATAATCGCTCCTGGAATTCGTGTATCTGGAGATGACGTAGTGATTGGAAAGACTATTACTCTTCCGGAAACTGATGACGAAGTAAGGATTAATTAAATCTGAAACTTCATTGACGTTGAATATAAACAATAATTTTTTATTTGTATCATTTGCATTACAGTTGGACAGTACAACGAAACGATTCACCAAACGAGATGCCTCCACGTTTTTGCGTAACAGCGAAACTGGCATTGTCGATCAAGTTATGTTAACGTTGAATAGCGAAGGATACAAGTTTTGCAAAATTCGCGTGCGCAGTGTTCGCATACCACAAATTGGCGACAAATTTGCTTCGCGACATGGACAAAAGGGTACTTGTGGTATACAATACAGACAAGAAGACATGCCATTTTCTTGTGAAGGTCTTACACCCGATATTATTATTAATCCTCATGCTATTCCATCTCGTATGACAATCGGTCACTTGATCGAATGCATTCAAGGAAAAGTTTCAGCCAACAAAGGTACATTATAACAAGTTGATAAGCATCACACATAAGAGTTTTACTAAGTTTCTGTATTTATATAGGGGAAATTGGTGATGCGACTCCCTTCAATGATGCTGTCAACGTGCAAAAGATTTCAACACTTTTACAAGAGTATGGCTATCAGTTAAGAGGAAACGAGGTTATGTACAATGGTCATACTGGACGTAAGATTAATGCTCAAGTTTTCTTGGGACCAACTTATTATCAACGTTTGAAGCATATGGTGGACGATAAAATTCACAGTAGAGCTCGTGGACCTGTGCAAATTTTAGTAAGACAACCTATGGAGGGTAGGGCAAGGTTAGTACAAGATACCAAGTTTGATATATTACATTTGATAGAATCATAATTACATATTCATATTTTGTTTTTCTTTTTTTTTTTAGAGATGGAGGTTTACGTTTTGGCGAGATGGAACGCGACTGTCAAATCTCGCACGGAGCTGCTCAATTCCTTAGGGAAAGACTGTTCGAGGTTTCTGATCCTTATAGAATTCACATTTGTAATTTTTGCGGGCTTATAGCTATTGCAAATTTAAGAAATAACACATTTGAATGTAAAGGTTGTAAGAACAAAACACAAATCTCGCAAATTAGGTTACCGTATGCAGCAAAACTGCTGTTCCAAGAATTAATGGCAATGAATATTGCACCGCGACTCATGGTAACATAAGAATCCACTCTTTCGGTAAAACTAACGTTTTATAAAGATAATTTTGAGTAAAAACGTGCACGAATTACATGGCGATATTAGATTCATGTCGACTATTTAAACGCAGAAGGTGATCTTAATGAAGATAGAATTCCTAAATGATACGATATTATGTGATTATAATATTTCTACCCATTAATATAGTATCTGATAATTTTACTCTATGGGAATTCTCAGTATTGTCCAGTCGTATCTTACCGGTTTGTGAATTTCACTATGTCATGGATTCCTCTGCGGTTGAATATAATTGTATAAGCTTAGACGTACTTATTTTCAAAAAAAATAAAAAAAACTATTATTAACAAAACTGTCATTATTTAATAACCATCAACTGCATTTCCGTACCCAATTATTTTGCAGCTATCGAAAATATATGAAAACTTTGAGAAAATTGTCTAACTGTCGAATTTATCAAAAAAAGAATAATGGGCATATCCAACATCTTTTATCTGTATAATTTAATATGATTGAACAGCACAGTGTTGATAATAGGTGTATACTTGACGATAAAATGTATTATGCATTATCAGCTCGGCAGTTTGGTCGCCGAATAGCTGCCACTTATTTCTACTTAAAGTTTATTGTTCGAGTTTTTTTTAATTCTACTAGAAATAATACATCTTTCCAAAATGTATAAGGAATTAAGGTCAATAGCAACAAGTATGAGAACGCATTCTTGAAGAAGTGACAAGATTTATGAGCTTATCAGTGGTAAATCAAGCATTTTCGAGTACGTTATTGAGTAAACTTGTCTCCTTAAGTATCATTGCGATGGTAAAAGTGATGAAAGTGTTTCACATGATATTATCGAATCGACGTATGCGTTATATTTTTTATATTGACTGTTCTTAAATTAATATTTAAGTTGAAGAATGGTTTAAGCTCAGATTAATCAGATTACAACTTGCAAATTATACAGGTAAGCGTGATGTCAATAATAAGTGCAAATTTTAAACACGGAAATTTAAGAATTTGGTGAAAAAAAATCTTAACAGATATTAAAACTAATGTGTTGATATTTGCAAATTTTTTAAAGCAATGAATAAGTAAATGTTTTATTATAAGTATACAGTAGAAATAATCCTTATATTATTAGTCTTGAAGTTACATCTTTATCGTATGCCGCAGATTAAAATAATTATAGATTAGATTATAGGACATTCTGATAATATTTTACAGAAATTAGCAAACAGCTTTATTCTATATATATATATTCGATAAATTGAAAAATTTAATGGACTCATATTAAACAGATATATTTAATTGATTTCGAAAATTGGGATGAATATATCTTAACTCTTATATAGTATATAGATAAAATTTATGTTCTTTTTGTTTACAGACTTATGAAAGCGCAGATACGGATTTATAATGTCAGCACGAAAATTTTTTGCGGAATTATTTGGTAACAAAAATCAAATTGAAATAACCACGGAGGTTGATGATGAAAGACGACGCCTTTCCGTTTCTAAGTCAGGCCGTTTTCGGCAAAAGAATACTGCGCATCGAATTGAAATACAAGAAGATACTTATACGCCGCAGGACACTAGTCCTGAACCGGGAGAAGAGAAGGATCAAAAGAAAACGTCTAGATCTAATACAGAAAGGAAATTGGCGGAGAGAATAAGAAGACAAGAATCTACAATATGAGTGAAATCATATGAATTTGAAGCATACGATTTTGTAACTGATATATCTACATTACCATGTCGCATTATTTTGAATTCAAGGGTAAAGAATAATAATATGTCTAGGAGAATTGTACACTTTATTAATGTACTTGTAATAAAATGATTATCAATGCAATGCGAGATGACTTATAAATTCAATTTTCAAGAAATTATTTTTCACCTTAATAAACTGACGTTCAATTTTATGACAATTATTTCAGGGTAAGGAAACATGATAAAAGTTCCGTGTTATGAACAGAATTGTCTTTTGAAGATACATCGTGTCAAACATACGAGAACTATTTAGTTTTGTTTTTCCTTCTTCCGCTTTAGCTTCTTATTCTATATTGATTTATTCCTATTATTTCTTTTATAAAAGAATCAACCGTTTTTCATTTTTCAGCTTTAGAATCATGAAACTTTCAATCTTGTATAAATTAGCTACATTAAATAGTATGGTAAATATTGTTATCAGTTGAGATATAACAGTTTATTAGATTGCATAACTTTAAAATTTATACAAAATCGTTAAAAGTATGTTTAATTTATTGTATTAAAAAGAGCACTTAGTTTTAATATTTTCGATTTGGCAATCTTTGTACAATGTATATCCAACAATTATTTTTATTATATACATCTTGTAAAATATCAAAGTAATGTAAATAAATTAAGTTGATAAATCATAATATACTCAAGTAGTATTATCTAGTATTTTTGACTTAATCACAATTTTAAAAGTTATTCTCTTACATATCATTAGTAGTTAGTACGGCTTGTAGGGCATATAAGTAAAAGTTGTGTAACAGGGAATTAAGTTTGAATATACCGTGTTCTTGAAATGAAACTGGTATATAAAACGAAAAATTATATTAGTAGTACATAAATATGGTTTGTGGTCAAAATTCTATGTAGATTTTTATATTTATCATTCTGCATTGTAAACATCATTAAATAGAATCCTGAATATATTGCATCAGTTTTAATGAAATTGTACTCATGGTCGAGTTAAAAGATATGTATAAAGCATTTGTCATTATTGATTCAATAGCCTTACATAGCAAACATCTAGAAGACAAAATCTTGCTCGACATACTGGGCAAGTACATTTGGAAGATAGCCAAGTTTCTGGTGCATTTTCATCCTGTCTTGAAGCAAACCTACAATGAGAAAGAAAATGTATGAAATATTAGATTTTTTTTTTCCTATGACAAAGTATGTAACATAACTTACCATTTGGCCATACATTCAATGCACCACATTGGTCTACAAAAACAATTGACGCACGCATCAGGACCTCTTTCTTCACTAACATTTCCACATAATTTGTTTAATTTCACATTTGATGGCACTTGCATGCAGCCGACACATTGCTCCAATTCCTGAAAAAAAATGTATTACCATATATGTTTAGAATTATTTCGATTATGCAAAGAATTGGTTTTTAAAAAAACACCTGCACAGTTTCGTAGTAAGGATTTTCAGACACTTGCTGCTTGAAAGTATCGATGAACCTATCTAACAGTGTTCTGTGAAATGTTACATTCTGGAGCACAGTGATAGGTCGGGATACTTTATCTTGTAGATCTTTAAAATCTAATGCATTTAGGCGTATATTAAAAGTTTCTGCACCAGTTCTTGTGGGTTTCACCTATAATAAATAAAAATTGATAAAACAAACAAAAACTACAAAGGCTTACATACACAGTCATACCTCGATATTAACGTATTGGACTTCCCCCCGTGTTGTAGCAGACATAGCGTGAGTATCACTTCTATTTAAAATTAAGGCAGTATCACTTTGATGAGCAACATACAATTTATAAGGTGTAATTTTTATGATCCAATTATCTGTAGCAACAACTTGAGTAACGCTATTCGAGTCTATCACAATCTTGTCAATCCTGCGATATAAACATTATTTTCATTCAAAGTCCATTTATTGATTTAAATATTATTTGTATTATAATAAACAAGTTTCAACCTTCTATATTCTATATTAATGTCTGAAGCAACAGCCATCCAGGTTGTATTATTATTACAATACACAGCCAGGCTCTGCGCTATTGGATGAGTAGACCAATTGTTAGCTGACCAAGATAATACTTTGTGTAAAGTGTAAGCAGGACCCATCATAGCGCAAACAGTAAAAATTAACCATAGAGGATTGTCATTTCCTAATAATACACGTGCCGCATCTATATGTCCAAGTAGCACTAAGGTAAGGAAATAACCTATAAAGAAACAAAGTGAGATCATGATTACCTCCATTTTAAGGAAACTTTTAAACTTCATATTATAACATAAAACTCTACCAAATGGGAGCATGGAGTGTACAAATAATGTTGCTATACTCCGCTTAATATGGTATTGAATGAAAAATTCGTTTTCGCTTCCTAACCAGCTTGAAAAAATTTCCTTTATGGTTAGACCAGCAGTCACAAATTCGGTTGGTGGATATATGATGCATCCCGAAATTAGAATATAAAATAACGTGTAGAAAAAAAAAGCGGACATTCTTCGATTAGATGAAATATTCTTTTTAGCCCTCGAGTATAAAATGTCAAATTTCTCGAGTTTATACAATGTCCCTTCCGCTCGTTGCGCGTCATAAAAACACCAAATACTAGAAGATACTATCAAAGTGAACAGAGAATAAGTAACATAAATTAAATGTGTAAAATAATCGTTTTATCTTCTCATAGGTAATACTTAAATTATATAATGATATTGGCTATCAAAATAAGGTGTGATAATTATATATAAATGCTCACTTGAAATAAATAAATCATAGTCCATATCATATATATCCCTTCCATAGCCGTACATAGCCGTATACATACTTTACATTTGGTGAAGCATTTCTGATGTTTTCCAAGGCCGAAAAACGTGTCCATCAGCTTCTTTAGCAGGTAAGTATGTGAAATATGCTTGTTTAAATGACATGTTGGGAAATCTACCAAATTCCATAGAACTCCATAGAAAACGAGTTTTCAAAACTCGTGATTTTCGAAGCTCGCTCAACCACAGAGCTTTTACTTGTGCGATCTGAGTAAAAAAAAATTCATTTTTTTTTTCATATTGCAGTTTACATTTAAATATAATTACTCTTATAATGCTCATACTTTAGTATTCATTTGAGTGGCATTATCATATGTTAGGTTTTTTAATTTCTCATTTGAAATGCCAAGTGTTGGCTTCGTTAATTTTTTAAATGGCGTTATTGTCATCATATTCCATGATTGAATAGAGGAGTCCATTATTAGTTCTATAATTAATAAATATACATGGTTTAATTTACTGCAATTCTAATTTCTAGTAGTGAGATATACTTTTATCGTATTCCGAGTAAGCGACTCCCTTTCTATACATTATAAAAAATTGTAGCTGAGGCATCAAATGACAAGCGGGTAATTTAGCCAAAGGAAATCCTTCATTGGCCATTTTTTTCAGCTCTTCCTAAAGAAGTAACATTTTATAATAAAACGATAATTACAGGGGAAAAAATTGACCAAAAGAAAGAAAAGAAAATGAACGTTAATTACAGAGTAATATTTCAGGCAAGCTGATAATAAAGAAGTAAAAAGATGAGTTACAAACTTTACATACGTGCATTATTGTCATTAAATCCTTCTTTTTGTCGATAATATTATTATTTTCGAATTTGTTACTTTTCTTTTGAGTTAAGTTTCTTCCAAGTGTCTTGTGCACTTTAGTGTTATCTTTGAATTTATCGATATTCGTTCTATCTAAATGTTCTTCAAATGGCGATAACAATGTATCATCCAAAATTTTGTTAGTAGTTTTATTCGGCGCATGAAATTCTTTATTCACCACGTTTATGTTTTCTCGTTTAATCTCAGATTTATACTTCGCACCATTGATTGTTGATGTAAGGTGTCCCATATCTTCAAATTTTTTTAACAATTTGGGTGACAAGTTAGCACTTCTCAATTTTCCTGTTACGTCTCTATCCTTTTCATGAGAGAATTGACTTTTCTCAAAATAATTATTGTTTACATTATTCTCGTATCTTTTATTCTCAATGCTACATGCACGATTTTCTAACTCATTATTATTGTCAATAATTTTCATTCCCTGTTTTTTCATTTTCATTACCCTGTTAGTTGGCAACGGGCCAGGTGTAATATTCATCGGAGACCAATGCCTGTGGGTGCAAATACATGGTATTTCTTCTTTACTCGGCGCAGGTGTAATAACCGGTGTATGCATTGTTACTCCCGATACAACATAACGAACAGGACCCATTGAATAATTTTCTGCTACTCCTGTTATGCAATATTTCACTTCATCCGAATATTCATCTTCCTTTGGGATTCTCTTGATATCAGAAATCATAAGTTTAGTATCAACCGCCATTGGTCTAGATGTTTCCACGATATGCGTAAATGGCTGCTTCTTGCAGGTTTTCAGGCGTTTCTGACGTTCTATTCTCTTTTTTTTTTCTTCTTCTTTTTTCAAAACTTTTCTTTCGTATTTACACTCGCAAACTGGTTTCATTATTTGAAGTTTTCTTGGCGTCGCACGACAATGATTCTTTGCGAATTTGGCACATTTTAACCAGCAAGGTAAATTGTCTCCGGACTGTACAAAATAATCTATTAATCCTTCATCTTTAAGTGTATTCGACCATTCCTTCGATTCTTTAGACTCTGTTGATTTCTTTTCTTTACTATTTTCAGTTGTTATATATTGATTGATGGGTACACTTTCTTCAGTGGTACTATCCTGTTTTATAATAACCAACTTTTCATTGCCAAAATTGCATGATTTTATATTTTTGGCCTTTTTAGGTAACAAACTTTTTGGTCCTGAAAACTGTTCTACATATTTAAAAGTATTGTCAATTTTCTCTCTAGCACACATTTCATATGGTGATTTATACAATTCATATTCTGGCACATATTCGTCACTGATTCTCGGACTTAGTGGAGGTGTAACGTACGTTACACCTTCTATAAGCTGAGTTATTTGTTGTTTTTTCTTATTTCCTTCTTGATTGATCAATCCACCTATATTGTATAGCAATATTTTCTTTTTCATACGATTTTCGCGACAACGACAGGGTTTTCCTCCTGGTCGCAATGGTATTGTCTGCATTGGATAACTTGGCTCGGCAAGATATACCAACGTTTTTTCAGCTGGTAATTCTTGTTCTGATTTTGTTTTCCAGCCAAATGGTCCTTCCTTGATCAATTTACTTTCACTAATTTTTTTGTCATTCAATGAACAGTTGTCAGTGTGCAAGGATTGAAATAATTTATCATAACTGTTGGAATTTATTTTACACATTTTGGGTACCTCTGAAATAATGGCTGGCTGTATGTTGAATTTTTCTAAAGACTGTAATATTTTATTTGACTCATCCTTAATTTCCTTTATCTTTTCGAGTTTTTCATTTATATCCAATTTTTGAATTTTATTGGTATTCGATGATGACTGTTTACGGGTTGTATTGAGTAATTTGTCGTGTAATGTTTTATTCCCCAATAATTTGTTTTTCACACCATGCCCGTTTGTGCCATTTGTATATTTGGGTAATTTTTTGGTATCTTCTTTCGAGCGTTTATTTTTCATTTTTGTTACATCAAACGTTTTTTTACCGTTTAGATTGGATTTTACACTTTTTTCTTGGTGCGATTTTTGATATGATTCGTTGATGTTATTTTTTCCTATATTAGTTGTTTCCCTTATCTTACTAGTATTAATATTATTTTTATATTTTAACTTTGTGTTCTCCATCATTTTAAAGATTTTATTATTTTTTCTTTGTTTTACTTTATCTTGATGTTCCACATCGTGAAACTTATATTTCTTTCCCTTTTCCTTATTGTTATGTTGTTTGAGTTTGTTTTTTACGTTCACCTTTGTGTCTAAATAATTTTGTTTACTTGCAAAGATCTCGCCTCTTTCTTTAGTTTCCTTACGCGCATAAGTTTTTGAAAAACTTGAAGGATTAGCAGGTGTAAGTTTCAGCGTTTTCTCATACTCGTCAAAAGTCTCTTCCACCGTTGGAGCAGTACGGAACAAATTCCACTGATTATCAGATTGACAAACCGTCTCGTCCTTTCTCTTATCAGTTTCTTTTTCACCAGTCTCAGGCACTGAATCCTTTAACCAGTCTAAATTCATTTCACAAAACTTGTCACGATTTACGTTCTTTTTCTTCTCATCATTCTTGTTCATATTGGTTTCCTGCAGTGTCTTTTTCTTACTAGTGCCTGTTTCATCCTCCTCTGCTTCTTCTTCATCTTCTTCATCTTCATTTTCATCCTGTGCACGTTTTGGAGTGGGGACTATGGTGCCCCAGGGTGCACCACAAACGGAACGGCCTGGTTTCTCCCCACACGGAGGAGCCTATTAAAAAATATAAATTTTATATAACATCATCTTCCCTACACAGTAACTATATATTATTACATTTAAGAAAGCATATTTACTTTCAATATTTGACGAGCTTCCTCTTCTCTGGCTGCCAACTCTTCAGGATCTGGTATATTAACAGCACCCCAAGGTCCACGACAAATAGCCATTCCATCTTCATCTCCACAAGGCTGAAAAGCCGATAGACTGTACATCTTCTTATGTGGAACATCATCCGCTTCATTCAGCTTTCCGTGCTTTCTTTTAAGTTGCTTAACAGCATTATTAAAGGGATTTCTTCTGCAACATCTATCCTTTGGTGACTCCTTGCATGAATATGCAGACGGTTCTTGGGATCTGTATTTTTTTCCAAAACACAATTCATCCTTCTTCGTCCATGCGATGTCATCCGTACTTTCTCTCGGCGTTATATCCTCATTAAACATTTGATGAATGGTACAAGCACATGGTGGAATATTTTTCAATGTCTTTGGAGCTGATGTTTTAGTAATGGTTTGATGTGGAATGTGTTCAATATCTTGCGTCACTCCAGAGATGTAAAATGTCGTTTCTCCATTTTCATTTGTGATTCCATTAATGATCAGTTGCTTGCTCATATTATCCCGTGAGGCAATGACTTCAAGTAAATTTATATTAGACATACATGGGCTTGGAGCTGGTGAATGCATTGCCATTGAACCTACGATGTATCTGTAACGTTGAAATATTGTTAAGAAAAACAGGAAAATCTCACATATGACATATTTATTCAAGTAAAATCTTTTTATCGTGATCATCAGCCAGTTTCAAGACAGAAATATGACACACATACACACAGTGACAGCATCAAAAATGACGGATTCCAAAAATAAAAAACATTATTCTTTATTTTCAATTAAATCATGAAGATATTGGCGCAGCCATTCTCTTTGCAAAACAAACAATCTGGCTCAGCTAGATTTACGATTTAAAAGGGGCGTAAAGCCATTTGTATGTACATTTGTCATATTTCTATAGTTCAGAACTGATTGATGAGACGCACTTTTATGTGATGACACACTTTTTCTCATTGCTGTCTTCTGCTATCGAATCTATGACCATGTAAGGGGTTTTAGTCTGATGCCACTTCATATGTGATTTTCTGGTTTGTCTGCAGGAACAGCAACTGTCGCATGTTGGTTCTGGTATTACTAGTCTCATTGTTGCTTCAACACTTTTTATTAATTTGCTTGCTTCTTTCTCAATTTTAAGAAATTCCTCATCAACATTCTGCAGCCACTCCTGCCAGTTCCTAGACAAATTCTGTCTGCCGCTGGGGTAAATTTTTTTTGGACCATTGCCAAGTTTTAGCTCAGTGAGGAATTTGTCATCGCTGTCAGTTGGCGTCACGTTTGCTATTCCGTTCATCACGAATGATACCGGAAATTCTGGAGGATCTTCATTTTCAAAAACTCCTGACAGTACGTAATGAGTATCTTTCTCTCCCAGCCAGGATCTCTTTTTTTGATCTGGAGTGTTTAAGGTGCCTAGAATAATTTAAAATAAAGTAAAATAATATACTGTTAAAAGTAATAATAATAATGTTCATTCTTTTAACGATAGTTATTGTACCACTGATTGTATATTCCACAGAACCTGGATTTCCGCCAAGACCAGAAATTGCGAATTCAAATTTGTCTTTTATCGTTGAATCAAAATTATTAATGTTCATTAATTTTTGACCAATTGGTTTCTTTTCACATTCCGATAACATTGGCAAGATATTTATGTTTTGTTTTTTACTTTCTACTGTATTAATTTCTTGTTTTTTATGATCAACTTTGAATGTGGTTTTTTGTGAAGGATTTTCATGAGATTTATATCCCTGCTCTGCTATGAATGCACTTTCTTTTCTTGTTAAATAATCTTTCTTGGGTGGTGGCATTATTATTCTGGGTATTGGAATCAGTTTGCATGTTTTACGCCATTTGATGAGCTTGTTCCGATATGCCTTCCAATTCGGTCGCATAAAAAGGTTCTCGCTGTATGGCGAAATACAATTACGTCTTAATTTTGTAATTGGTGGTTTGGCTGGAAAATGAAATATTGAAAATTCGTGACTTAGGTATTACAAAAAAATATGGCAGGTTGAAATTTTATTGGTACAAAAGAAAGTATTACGTTTTGGTGGAATCCGTGGCATTTGTACTGGAGGTAATCGTTTATTCAATTCTGTTACAGTTTCTGGTAATGCCAGAAACGCAATGGCTGACAAGATGATTCTCTCGTTGCAATCATATTCCTTTTCTGCTTTGAAAAATTATAGTATATGGGTCACAACAGTTAATAGTTTATTTTCTATTAGATCATACTATAAATATTTAAGAATAAGGGTAATAAAAAAATAAATTGGCAAAAGGAATTAACTGTATTGTTCTTTTTCAAAGTAATTCCCTGTAACTCTCTTATAAATCTCCCGAAGAAAATCAATTGGATCGAGTTTCGTCAGAGACTGTAAATGTCTAATTGTAGAAGGAGATATTTCTACGAAGGTAGAAGTGATCCCAATCGTGGATAAGGCTTTTTGTGTACGATCTGTAATTCTCTCCTCGTAGTCACTAATAATGATATCTTCAAGAGCCATTACACTTTGCATCTAAATATCGATTTATTAAATTCTCCGATGTGTTACGGAAAGTTATTTTCGTTTTTATTTATGCTAAATAACAGTACCTGGGCGGTAGACAAATCTTGGTACCAACGTGGAATACCAAGATTTTGCACCCGTTGCAGTAGAGCCTTCGCTAAGGAATACAAGAGAAACAGTGTACATGTATATACAGGGTGTCCCAAAATTACCTGACCAACGGGGTATGGTGGTGTTTGGGAGGCACCACTGTTCACGAAAATGACCTTCCTTTTGTCCGGAAGGTCATAGTTTTTAAATGGGAGCAGGTCAAAGTTGACCAATCAGAGGAAGGCGTCAAGAGAAACGTAGGCACCTACGAACTCTGAGTTTTCTTCCCTCGCTTTTGTTTCTCGGTAGCTTGTTTCTTGTTTCCAATAGGCATTTCTTCGGCTGACGGCATCCTGCCCGAAGCCACCGAGAAACAAAAGCGAGGGAAGAAAACTCAGAGTTCGTAGGTGCCTACGTTTCTCTTGACGCCTTCCTCTGATTGGTCAACTTTGACCTGCTCCCATTTAAAAACTATGACCTTCCTCTGATTGGTCAAGTTTGACCTGCTCCCATTTAAAAACTATGAACTTCCGGACAAAAGGAAGGTCATTTTCGTGATCAGTGGTACCTCCCGAACACCGCCATACCTCGTTGGTCAGGTAATTTTGGGACACCCTGTATATTTCTTATCTCATGTCTATATATGGATTTCAATGAAATATTTTTACATGTTGACAATGCTGATTTGTGCAGATTTAAGTGGCTTAAATTACCTTTTTTTTCTCCTATAGTAGCATTTTTGTTTCCTATTTCCACAAATGTTCTTTGCTTTTCATCTAGTATCGTATTTTTCGCAATTGCAATTTCATCCTCGTGATACCAAAGCAATGGACCAGTTAACGAAATACTGGGACTTCCGGCAGCAACATTCGGTATGGTTCCGGTTTTAGTTTTTGAACTTTTTCTTTTTGTTGACCACATTCGAGCTTTAATTGAATCTAAACGAACTTTTAATCCTGGACAACCATGAGTTGCATGACTTATTCCTGTCATTGATGACTTGAAAGGTGGATTGCGTTGATTATACTTCGTCATAAAATCATAATCATCCTTCGTGCAACAAAAATTAACTGGCTTAAAACCAACATTGATATTCTCCTCCTTCTTTCTAATGGAATAATTTCTTATTACTAAAATTATTGTAAATTAATAATAAGAAAAAAAATGGCAATTAATTCTGTATATACTTTCCGCGACGCAGTTGAGATCTTATAGATGCCCTGGATCTTGATGACTTTAACGAAATCTTTGACATTGTAAAATCGAAAAGTTTTCTTGTATGGATTTATTAAAATCTGTTATGTCAGCAATACGGGAATTTTACTTGCTAATTTATAAAATTTTTGTATAATATCTAAATAGGTTAATTATGTGGCAGTTGGCATTTCTGCCGATGGTTAATAATATCGGTAATGGTGGAATTTTTACATTCATATGTTTTATAAGTTGAAAAATACTAGTGTGTTCAACAGGTGTAATAAAGTTATGAAATTTCAAAATTTTTGAAGGATAATGAAAATTAAGGACTAAAAGGGACACTAAGGACCTTCACTATGATTGGATCTGATGTAAACCTAATTGTATAGCTTAGCGCTTAGAATCGTGCAGGTTGAATACACTCTCTGTCATTCATAGTTCTGTCGAATCTTCAACGACGAACTATAGAAAGTTGTAACCAAACCCACCCACTGATCAAGCCACATAGTAGTATAGTACGTGCTTGTTGGGTGTTGTCTGTTACTCGTTACGTTTGGAAAGTCTGTGTATGATTTTTGGATAAAAACAATCAAGAAAAATGCAGTGCAGGTGGAATAATAGTGCAGCAATGCTCCTAATACTTTCTGTTCTATTATGTTCACTCGTACGGAGTAATGGTAAATTATTATCTTACTACTTCAGTGATTTCCGAGACTTACGTTCGCACGTACTATGCTATAGCGTCACTTCAATTCATGAATTGAGGAAAGTTAGAAAAATTATAATTAAGATATTGATATCGTTGTGTAGAATTTTAGGTTAATATTTTATGTTATATTTTTTGATGCGTTTATAGAGTTTGAATTGAAATGTTTGATACTAAGAAATAGGTGAACTATTAAAATATAAGTGTAAACAAGACTGTGATTTTAAAATTAATGAGAATTAACAGTCGTATTCTTGTAATTTTTATTGGCTCTTTAATTACTCTGTTTATTTCGCTGGTTAAGTTGAGAAGAGATATCAATGTAAAGAAATTATAAGATTACAATCAGGGTATTTTGAGTGATCAGACAAGCATAATGGCTGCTACGAATGTATGGGCGTGAGCGCTTGAAGTTTTAATGGTGACTCATTAATGAATAAAAAATGGTCTGATAAATAAGATGTTTGTTGCAAAGTTACTAAGTCACTAAGTATATTATGTAAATAATAATGTAAGTTATATTTTGTTATATTAGGACAAAATCTCGATAGTACTGCTACGTGGTGTACAATATCTAACGAAGAGCAAAAGAAATGCGAAGCATTATCAAGAGCAGCCCACAGAGAAATTCGCTCTTTTGGATCGAGTTATGTTTCGTTGAAATGTTATCAAGCTTTCAATAAGGAAGAGTGTATGTCATTACTTGATGAGGGAAAGACACAGTTAACAACTCTCGATGCTGGAGAGGTTTTCATAGCTGGACGATACCATAGCTTGGTACCTATAATGCAAGAGATTCATGACAATGGTCTTCTCTATCAATATGCTGTTGCTGTAATTAAAAAAGGTTCATTGGCAGATGTTCAAACATTGCATAATCTTAGAGGGAAAAAAGCATGTTTTGCGGGAGTTGGTACTTTAGCTGGTTGGGTTATGCCAATTCATACTGTAAGTTTTGTCTCTAATATTAAAATTACTTATGTCTACCTGAATAAATTGATATTATACTTAAGGGTATATTTCTATATCTAGTTAATGAAAGATGGAGGTATGGAAGTTATTGATTGCAACAACCATGTAAAATCGACAATCAAATATTTTGGTCCTAGCTGTGCTGTGAATTCTTTGGTGGACAAGTATAATCCTTTAGGTAAGATAGTTTAATCTTGTTTACTTAATAATTATTCCAATAATGTTTAGAATTCAATAATATTTTACAACACAATAATATTTTACACAATAATATTTTAGGTGACAATTCCGATCATCTCTGCAAACTTTGTACTGGAAAAGTACCTGTTGGCAAATGTACCAATGCGGATCCATACTCAGGATATGAAGGAGCATTTTTGTGCCTTGTGGAAGCTGGTGATATTGCATTCCTAGTGCATACCATTGTCGATCAAATGACATCAACCAGCAGTACAATTAGTATGTTATCGTTAACTGTGGTACCTTCCGTAATTTATCTTAACTATTGCATATAGTAGTGTTTTTACTTTTCTTCTTTTACCTCTAGATTCTGTAACAAAAGATCAGTTTGAATTGTTGTGTCTTGACGGAACTCGTAGACCAATTGATGATTTTAGAACTTGCAATTGGGGAAATGTTGCATCGCGTGCAGTTGTAACATACTCAGCTACGAATATGGAAACTCGTGTATTATATCAAAAATTTTTGAAGAAGGCTGTGCAAATATTGGGCAATAATTCTTTTAATAGTAATCCTACAAATTTGTACCGTAACGAATTCCATTCACGGCAGGGTGTTTTTGAAAATAGACCAGGATTCGAAAATCGTTCCGGTGGAAATGGTTTTGATGATACCAAAAATCCCAATGGATACAATCAGAATTATAATTTTGATAACCGAAATGGCTACGATCGGAGCTTCGATGGCGGCCAGAACGGATTAAACTCATGGGATACTTTCGGTTCTAATGAGACAAATACATTTTTTAACAGAGATGATACATCATACGTTCCTAATGATTCTGCCACTATTCATCCAATCGAAACATTCCATCTATTTGAATCAGTTCCTAGATATGGTGACCAGTACAACCTTCTATTTTCGGTAAGATATGAATCTTTTTTCAATGGAAACACCTTCCGCTCATATTTTACTTTTTATACTTAAGGATACGGCCAGAGACTTTTTACAATTAAGCGAAAAGAATCAGACATATAAAGGATACTTAAAAGAGTCATTAGATGCTATATTGGCTGTACGACATTGCCCAGTAAATAAAATGACATTGTGTGTCACGTCAGAACCAGAGATGCAAAAATGCGTGCGAATGAAGGTGAGACTCAAATTTTCATGTACGTTATTATTTATAATAAAAATATTTAGCAATAATGATGAAAATACTTTGCAGACGGCATTAAAAGCACAACTACTAAAACCAGAATTAAGCTGTTACATGGGACAGAGTCAAATCAATTGTATGCAAGCCATACGGGGCGGGTACGATAAAAGTATTATTATTAAGTAAATATAATTAATCTCTAATTTTATTACAATAAAGTTCCACTTTATATTATTAGAAATGCAGACGTTGTCGTATTAGATGCTGGAGATATATATACGGCAGGATTACGTTACGAACTTATTCCATTTATTTCTGAAGTTTATAATCTGGGTACTCCTGATTATTACGTCGTAGCTGTTGCAAAGGAAGAGGATGACAATACTGACTTGACGTATCTGAAAAATAAATACTCTTGTCATACAGGCATAAATACAGCTGCCGGTTGGATTTATCCTTTAGCTTATTTGATATCCAACGGATGGATCCGAAGTTACGGCTGCGATTCAGTTCGCGCAGCTGCAGAATATTTCACGAAATCTTGCGTACCTGGTGCTCTGAGTACTGAATACAACATTGGTAAGATATAATTGATTCTATTATAAATTATATAAACAAAAAGTATTGAAAATTAAATTTTGCTTTACAGGTGTGCCTTATGATAATATGTGCGATCTATGTCATGGTACCAACTACAGATATTGTCGAAGAGATGCATCCGAGGTTTACTTTGGACACACTGGTGCTTTTAGATGTCTGGTAGAAGGTGGAGGTGACGTAGCATTCGTAAAACATACAACTGTGGCAGAAAATACAAATGGGAAGCGTCGAGAATTCTGGGCGAGAAATACCTTCACCAAGGACTTTCAGTTGCTATGCCCTGATGGAACACGACTTCCAACCAGCGAGTACAGACGATGTAACTTGGGCAAAGTGCCAGCAAATGCTATTGTTACACGTGGTGGTTATTATGGTTATAATGATACTCAAGTACAGGCTTATATAAATCTGTTCATTTACGCTCAGCAGTTTTATGGTAGAAAGGAGCAGGATGAGTTCAGCTTTAGTATGTTTTACAGTTTTCCGCCGCATAGCGATTTAATATTTCAAGATGCTGCGCAACAACTTCACGTTATTCCACCAGAAAAAAGAGAATTTAGCGCGTACTTAGGTCCAGATTTTATGAGAGCCAAAAGAATAGTAGACTGTGCGGCGTGTGCATCGGCCACTGAATATTCTTTATTTGGCACGTTAGTTATGGCCGTTTTTGCATTAATCCTTACTAGATAAATAATATCATTTTTTTATCTCTATATCTAGATACTCGTTCGAGAGCACACAATATCAAAGACTTTATAGATCGATTAATTTTTTCCATTTTGCACATGTCTCTGAGTCAAATACTCTACACGGTTGATATACAACAAAGAAGGGACAGGAAATCTCGAAATGATCTGAAAGTTTTTAACATTTTTCTATATTAACATTCTTCTTTCCAAATGTTGTACATAGTTTTTAATCGTTACGACGCAACAGAACAGTCTAATTTGATGATGAACTGCTGCAATTCCGCTTAGTGACATTCCGTCCCAACAATACATTCGTTTTAAATATTAACTTGTTATTTTATAAATGTTTTATATACGAACATTTTTTATAGTACAAGTGGGTTTGAGTCACGATGGTAAATGTATAGATAATAGTCTAGGATCAAAATAATTGCAAAAAGAAAAAAAACAGTGCCTTCTTGAATTTATAAATGATGTAATCATGTATTTTGCGAAGTTATTTAAAGTCTTATCGAGAATCGGTGAGCAAGTATAAGATCTATTGGTTAATGCATTTTAATCCGTCCATTTTTATTTATGGTACACTATGAGTAGCTATATATTTATATGATAGTACATGTATTTTATACTGTTTATACATGTTCAAACGAATAAAATGAGAAAAACTAGAAAATTTCCTAAAAATATTGTTATATCTATTTTACTGGAAGTTACTTTCATCAAACTTGATTTGACGTATTTTATAGTGAAGTTTTTCAAATTAATAACAATCGTAAATTTTCAACCTCACTATTGCATCGATTGAAATAGATTCCAGCTACCTTTGGTCTGGCTAATTCTTCCATTCTAGCTGAACAAATAGCATTTAAAGCTTGTCGGCTCACTTGGAATGGACTCCGTTTATCTTTGTCAATTCCATTTTCTGTTCGAAAGATTCTTGGCACCGCCAATTCATTTACTCTTTTGGTTGCTGCAAAGATTAAGTTTCAAGAAATCAAGTTTTAAAAAATGTTAATGAGAAGCACAAAAGTAGTTATGAAAATTTGTTTCTTAATATTCTAGTAGTATTTCTAATTAGTACTTTTAGGCTTTCTGATTTTTTAAAAATAATAATGCCCAAAATAAACCTGTAGCAAACAACGCCTTCTCGTTCACTCTTCCTAACTGATTGACTGCAATGGATTCTCGAATTTTGGGTTCAGCCAATTTAGCAATACGTGTTGATAAATTTATCGAAATATCAGTAGTTTTGCAGGTACGTGGTTCCTTCTGTCGATTCTTTGTTTCTTTTGGCTTTGCTAAATTTTTTATTCTCGATGAAGCTTCACATCTAAGAGCACTTTTTTGTACCTAAAATAAGGTAGTCATTAAAATCAATTATATGTTCTCATTGGGTGCTGTCAATTAAGAGTATCGTACTTTAAATGATTTTGATTCCTCCGTAACATTTTTTTCAATGCATAATCTAGGTCGTGATAATTCTTGGATCCGCTTACACCGTTGTAAGATACGCGATTTGGTTTTTCCACATTTGTGCGACTAAGAAATGTATAATACATATATACGTATACTTTTTTGTGCGTTTTTCACGCTAACAATAACGAGAACGATTTGATTAATTTACTGTGTTAATTCTTAATGAATTCTTCCTGTGCTTGGAAACTGATCTATTACACGTTTCTATTATTCTTCCCAAAGAATCGACGGCTCGTGTTTTTCTGGGCGTATTCCAGGAGATTGCGTTCTGTCTATATTTCTTCAAGTAAGTATCCGACATTACACCATAATGCGTATCATGACTGAGTGGGCAAAATAAGTAATTTTATTTACAATTCGTGAAGTACAAATTAAAAAATTACATCTGTCTTATTCTTACTTCAATGTTGGAGTTGGATTACTCATAAGAGAAAGTTTACTTTGATGACTCATTTTATTAAATAATTAAATAATGGTTCTATATAAATTAACTACTTTCAATTTATATTTGTTACGTTGTTCTTGTAATTTTATAATAAATTTTTTTCGAATGGATAATATGAAACTATTGCAATGAGAAGTGGACAGAGGTGTCTTTACGTTTAAAAAATTAAGGTTAGAACATGATGCATTGCTGGCTGCGTTTGAAACAGATTATTATAAAATAAGATTGTCGTTTTTTCATAGATAATCTATTACTATCTTCATACAAACACTTTTTGTCCGGCCTCAAAATTTATAAAGAATCTCAACAATTTCTTGTCTAAATTTAAAGTTCTAAACGTACGTTATCGATAAATGAAATTCTATTATCCAAATTTTTATTGACAAAGTCATGAACTCTAGTACAACAAGCTCGAAGACATCAAGATATGAGGAGTTAGCAATTCCTAAATCCAGAATTGATACGACTAGCAACTTTGATGCTTTTAAGGTATTTAAATTTACGTCATTGATCATTTGTGAATCAAGTAGTAGTAACGCACAGCATCAAACTAACTATTATTTTTCATAATTTTCATAATTCGTAGGTAAAACGTGGTGCACTATCTTACAAAATAACAGATTCTCTAAATAAGTTAGCACGGCCAAAATATTGCACAAGTACAACTGGTTCAATGGAAATTAATGAAACAAAAGAAAAGTCGCCATCGAAAGGGACGCGCATCAATAAGACAAGTAATAATTTGTATTCAACAATTAATCATACGAGATTCTAAACAAGAATTTTCTTAGGTGTCTTAAATAATAGAGGTTCTGTAAGTTTTGTTAATACTATAAAAGAGATGCAGGACCCTGGAAAGAAAAAAGGTCTGGAAACATATGCAAGGATTGCGGCAACTAACGATAGACGTTGTTCAAAGCATTTAAAAAATCTTGCAAAACCAAAAAGAAGTTTTTCTATGCGAAACCCGTCAGAAACACGATTTTAGATTACATTAATATTTATATAATAGATAGACTGGTACCAATGAAGAAAATAATATATACTATGAAATTTTGAATTTATGAATATCTATAGATTTAAATTGTGTTTTGATTGGGTACTGTTTCACTGCGCTAGTGAGTTTGGGTTTGAAGTGGATTTGGGTTTACTAAAACTTTGGTAATGTTATAGTCAATTTTCACTGATAGTTTTATTTTAATGGAATCGTCGTTAAATCAGAGTAAATTTCCACAGAAAAGTCACTTACGGTTCTTTTGTGCAAATTATCTGGAAGCTTTTAGTGAATAGTTAGGGTACAGTTATAATACATTGTAAGTAACATTACGGTATTTACACTAAATAATAACCATTTTTTCCCCTATATCACGATAAATCATTCTCTAAATTTTCTATTACAATTTTATGTGCACCTTTCCTTATATCAGGTTATAGTTTAGAGTAAAAACCTAATTTAATTTTAGTAAAAGTTTTAGTTTCATTTCGATTATTATGTTTGTTACGAACGGTCATTGCATCGAAATTATAGTAAGTTTTTACCGTGCAATTTCAGTAAATTTGTGGAGTATATGCAGTTATAGTTTTTGGGCAAGACATATTTTAGGAAACATGTGCGTTGGATCTTGATAGTAATCTGAATCGATCGTAATAAAATCGGAGTTTACTGTTCAAGAATTATTAGACATAAACTATGTTTCCATCGTAGACGATTTAGAAAGAAATAATCAATCATGTGTGATACACCAATAGTTTCAGATCAAATGTTTCACTTCCGCGATATACCTTAATAGTAACTGTATTCGAACTTTGAGCTCACGTTGTTTCCTCTTATTTAACATCGGTCGAATTGTCACGGCAGACTAACGAACGCACGTTCAGCTCCTCCTTTTATAGGAAACTCTTAAGGGGTAAAATGGGGCCGGGAGGTTTGGGAAATTTCTAGATCTCTTCTAGATTTCTAGAATCAATGTCAAGGTCCATGCATCTTCCAAACGGAGCGACTTACGTTCTAGAATATTCGAATGAACCTAGCCCTACCCCTACGAAGTTGCGTCGCGCGCTTACGTATATCCTACGAGTAATTTGACACCTCGGAGGATGAGGGACTGCATTCTCCACGCACGATTCTGCGAGATAACGTTTGGTATTGCGCATTTGAACAACCGATACATCGATTTTTCTAGAATCACTTTGACCCCGCCATTGTGCTTGCGAGAACCATTTTGACTTGCACGAACCTGCACGAGGCTTCCAAGGTTTTCCTGGAATTCTTTTGCATCGGTTCGAGCGATAAGACACCTACCCGAATTGCGCACTTCGAGCTCGAACTCTACATCAAAAAGTTTGCGAAGTGCACAAAGGGTCGCTTATCTTCTGCGAGTAATTCGATACCCTGAATAACAAGATCAAAACAGTGTCCGACTGCCGCCTGAAGTCTGCATGCGGGTCGGGGTAGTCATCGAAAGCTTCAGGGTGGGGGGCTGCCGTTTGAAACCTGCACGGAGGCGTCCTGGAATCGAATGGCTGAAGAGAGTCGACAAATTTCTTGGAATCGATGCTGCTGCTGCTGCATCTTTAATGCGCAATTCTGCGAGATAACGTTCAAGGTCAAAACGATTGAAGGCTGCCGTCTTTAATCTACACGGATCGAGGGGGAGGAAGGGGGTTCAACGAAGCTTGTTGAAGGCTCCCCGGGATGAAAGGCAAGGGGCTCCATCAAAACGTCGCGCGAGAGGACCGTCGACTCTGGGAGCAATCCTCCGCGACTTAGCATGGACACGTACTGTCGAAGCTTCTAGAAGGTTCTAGAAGGTTCGCGATCGTTATGTAATACCTAGAATCGAGCGAAAAATTCCCAGAATGTGACGCAAAATTCTTGGAATCGAACGTATATTCGTGAAATCGAGGGACCACGTCTTGATGACGTCACTTCCGGAAATTGTGGGCGCACACGTTGCCAACTTGGCACGGAGACCCACCTTCGAAGGTTCTCGAGTGTCGGTAAAGGTCGGTGCAGGAATCTGTATCCAGAATGCCCACAGCTGTACTACTTAGAATTTCACCTAAATCATTCGCCTAAAGTTTACGATAAATTGGGACAAAAGTTTTGGCACTTGTTGTGAATGTAGCGGGTGTAACAATTGTTTCCTTCAGTCTTTGGCAGATGCTGTATGTTTAAAATATTTTTAATTACGTTGCTGCAAATGATGCAGGTTTCAAATGATATAACGTAATTTAAAAGGTGCAAGTAATTTAGCTGTATTGACAGTTATGTCGTTTCTGCACGTTGCTGCAAATAATTCAGATTTCGATGTTGATTATTTTATAATTGGTAAAAAGGTAATTAAAAAATAATAATTTTAATAATGTTGCTGCATTGGTTGCTTCCCTCCCCCTCCCGGCAAAGCGGATATGTCAATCGGACAAACCAGATTGAGCTAAATATATCTTGACAATGATCGCAGAAGTAGCTGCCAAATCCTATCTATGAAGTACAGTTTTCATGTTTTCATCCAAATGTTGTACTGGTTGCACTGGATCCAGTCTTCGGATGGCCTATTAAAGCTTCTTGCTCTAGCGATAAAGGTGATATCAGAACTTGATAGTCTTACGTAAATGATCTTTTCTATCATTCGTAAAAACAATAGTAATTCTTTCCAATTTCTTTTACAGTATTCTGACTTGACATGCCGTTGTGAAGTTCTATAAGGTATGTTGTATTTTTTTTTGCTGCTGTTGTAATAGACTATTTTTTTCATTAACTCCATTCATGGCGCGTTTTAGGTTAGTCTCTGTCCATTTCAATTGACCTATTTTACTTTTGTATTGGAAAATCATCCTAAGCCAAAAAGAACTGCTATCACTATCCTCTTTACTCCCATCCGTTTTGCCCAAAGTTGCACTTGGTCCAAACATGGAAAGATTGGAATAGGTATGAGCACATGTGAAATATTTTTAACTGCCAATAGACTTTTAAAAATAGAGAATTCTTATTAAAAAACATCCACAGTGATTATGCAACAATTATTACTAATGATCAAGATACGTACCTTAACGAAAATCGCAAGAAAACACGAAATTTATTTTTTGCCAAAAAACTCATGAGAGCAATCACATATTTTTTCCCACTGTCATGGAGTCGGTGACCGGTTACTCCCTCTACATGCTAGAAACTTATAGCGCTACATACATGAACGAAAAAAAAGGCTATTCGCTTTGTTCAGGGCATTCGCTTCGCCCAGACTTCCCTTACATGAAATTGATCTACTATGCATTGGGAAAACAAAACTCTTATCCATCATGGGATCATGAATGTATTCGGTTGATTTAAGTGTCATTTTTATATTCGTACCACTTTTTGGCCAAATTAAATTTCCAAATTAACATGAATCCATATGTTTTGGCTCGCAAATACAAAAATTAAAATAAATACTTTAAATCATGGGGGAAATTATGAAATAACAGTGTAACTATGTGTAACCAAGTTTCAAGATTTATTCGAAATCCAATTTTAAAAAAGTCCTAAAATAATTTTCTTTTGAGTTTTGAGTATTCAGTTCATATAAAAATGCCACCTAAAGCTCCGCCACCTAAATCTCCGCCACCTAAAGGTGGCAAGGACAAAATGAATAAAGGAAAAAATAAGGGAAAGTATGTCTTACCCTAAACTGTTTCTACACAAATATATAAACTATTATTAAAAGTACACTCATATAATATTTCAATATATCACAGGCGTAAGAAGCACAGATTAAATCTGAAAGGATTTCTGAAGACGCCAGCCGACTGGGCAAGATTCGATGCCTGGGCAAAAGTCAATGCTCAACCCAGAAAACAACCTGAGCCAGAACCAATCGTATTATTTATTCCTGAACTTTAAAAAATATTTATAACTCAAATGAATATATATAACTAATTCTTATGACTTTCATCGTACAGGAAAGATCAGCGAAACCCTTAAGCTATTTTAAGAAAAGGCTTCAGGTCTTATCGAAACCGCATAAGAAACCGGATTCGAGTATTAATTGTCGATTGGCCCTTGAAGTCTCGAAGGCTGCATTGAAAGCGAAACCTTCGAAAAGAATAATAAAAATGTCGCTATTTGTCGCACGGGTGGTAGACTACGGTCGAGAATTTCCATTACAAATATCGCAGGCAGCTTTGCGTTACAAGCCGAGTCAAAGGATACTGGAAATAAGTCAGCCACATAAGTTCATCCCGGAGGAGTGCAAATCTTTGGAAATATCGAAAAATGCACTGAAGCATAAAACTACAGCCAGGGAGAGGAGAATGGCGATAGGGAAAAAAGCAATCGAATGTCCAGATCAACTCACCGATGAGGAACTTGATATTCTGATGACACCAACAGGAATTCGTAGAAGTGCTTTGAATTACAAGGTTAGTTTCTTTATTCCAATCAGTCGCCAATATGCATAATAAATTCTTATATTTCACAGTTTACGTCATGGATGCTATTGCTGTCTTTGCCTTCGTACCGATTTTTGAAAGAGAGAAGTGACGAGGATGCGAAGACATGGAAAAAGTTGCTGGTCGAAGAAAGTGAATCGCGTGGTAAAAGAGCATTGGAGGAGAAGAAGAAAAAGTTGAAACCAGAGAAATCAAAGGCGAAGCAAAAGAAAGCGTCGAAAAAGAGCGACGAGAGTCCTGAAAAAGAAGAGAAAGTTGGTGATCAGAAGGTAGAGAATATCGAAGAGGAGAAAAAGGAAGAGCTTAAAGAAGAACAGGATACGGAGAAACAGGTAGACGAAGAAAATAAAGTTATAGAAAATCAAGATCAGGTTGAGAAGCAAGAGAACTTGGACACCGAATCGAAGAAAGTTGAGAATACACCGGCCGAGGATACAAAGCCAAAAGTGATAGAACACCAACCAAAGAAGAGAAGAAGGAAGAACGTTCAAAAAGGAAAAGGAAAAGAGGAAGAAGCAAAGAAAAAGAAAGCTGAAAGAAATGCCTGGAGAACGGAACCATCACCTTGCAAAATGGAGGCATTTAGAGTGTCGAAGGCTGCTCTAAAAGGAAAAGGTACTTTTATATTATAATACACGCATAGCATAGTTAATATGTATATAAGTATATTCAACATAAAGTTACTAATTGATTTGTTTTGCCCTCGTTAGTCTCACCGCGAATGGCCGAATTGGCTAAACCGCATATCCACAAGACTGATTCCTGCAGGAAGAATCCATTTGCAGTTAAAAAAGGGGCTCTGTCAGCTCAGGCTTCCGGTCGCGTAATAGAAATGGCGCAACCAACTAGACCACGAGATACCGTAACGAGAGAACCACCTCGTGAGAAAGACCCATATGGTCGTCCCATATATCCAAAACCGGTAAATACTTATTAAACTTGAAAATATATTTATAATCGGTAACTGACATAAATAAAAAACCATGATTTTTTCCTATCTGTTTAGCCATATGGTAAACGCGTGCTTAGATTAAAACCATATGTCATGGGCAAGTGCAAGGACAAGGAAGAAAAGGTGGAAAAGCCAAAGAAAACAAAGCCAATAGATCCAATAGCTTATGCAACTACCATTGATCCTTGTATCGATCCTGAAGGAGCCAAAAGACAAGCCAGAGCCAGGAAGCGTGTTGAGCAGATGAAAAAAACAAAGCAGTCTCAAAAAACAAATGCAAAAGCTGAAAGTAATACGTCAAATACAAAAGACAATAAAGCTAAAACTAATACGTCAAATACAAAAGACAATAAAGCTGAAACTACTATATCAAATACAGAAGACAATAAAGCTGAAACAACTGTGTCAAAAACAGAAGACAATGAAGCAGAAACGTAAAAGACGGAATAATACGAAGAAAGGCTGTATTAATCAACAGGAAAAAGATCAATACTAAGAATACTCAATGGAAATAAGATTTACGATGTATGACGCATAAAAATAATATTACTGTAGGAATATCACCCAGAACTTGGTATTCTTACGTAAATGATAAATATTATAAAATATATATCTCTTAGCTCATAAAGAAAAATAACTAACATTTTTTTAACACATATTTTTCTTCGTATTTCAACATAGAAATAAAAACACAGTTTAATAGGCACTTATGCATAAACAAAAAGGTGTGCAGAGTTGAGTGTTGCATGAGGCCTCAGGAGGGAAAGCGAGAGCGGAAACTGATAGTCCACATGGTTAAAATTAATTTTTATCACTCAACACTCAAATGACACTTGGTGAAAATATCGATATGTTTGGCATGTGGATGAAGCATCGGATCCTTAGCCGGATACTCTGCTTCTTGATTGTCGATGCGATTAAGTATTTAACTCTTGTCATTATGTCGAGGTCAGCTGTAAGCGTAGCCCTCAAAGGTGCATTGCCTCCTTTATTGCTTCTGTGACAATGATTTATTCAGCCTCCTTGGACGATAGAACCACTGACGTTGCTTCTGGGATTCCCAGGAAAGAGTTGCTCCACCCAGGGCAAAAACATAGCCTGATCAGTTTCTTACATACACGTGCATACCCACTGTCTACCAACTTGACGAAGTCATCTATATGTATATTTCCTTCTTGAGACGGCACATACTGTCACCAGGGTCAAGACTGGCCATTATCCTCTTCACAAGACTTTCAACTTAGGTCCCGGGGCTCTTACCCGGGAAATATTTCTAAAAATATGATTTTAAACAACTCAGGGACCTTTGTAATTACTTCTTCATTATGGCTGCTATGCAAATATGCTGTCTTGATATCCGCTTATTGCATTTCAAGATCCACGTATAGAGCAAGAGCAACTAGTTATCGAATGATAATGAAATTTGAAATATCGGCGATAACTCTTGGCTGCTATTCGGTTTTTCCTTGTTATGCTATCTTATTTATTTTTAGAATTCAAGACCTACTACGCAGTCTTAATTTTTTTCTCATCGAATGATCTCCCAAGTATCATTCTTAATCAGAGTTGTAATCTCAGTGAGAATTATTTCCTCTCATTATTCGTAATGTTGTGTTTATGTATACCTACAGATTAACGTATGCGTCTTGTAAGCATGCTTATAACTGCGCTATAGTGCCGCCATTGTTATCTGTAGTATTTCAGAGTGACTAATAATTCGTGGTAAAATATTATTTCAAAAGATCGTTACGTATTAATCATTTCTGAAACAATAAAATGTTACTAATGCTATTTTACAACCGCGTCTATTGGCAACAATTCACATGATACGTATATAAAGTATATGTTATAAATAAGTAAGAAGTCCAAGAGCCAATGACAGTTTCAAACCACTCAGGAAAAAATTATTATAAAATAAAATCCAAAATTTGTCTCTATCTCATCATATAGAAAAATCTCATGAGAATTGAATGTGAAAATGTAAATTCTATATAAATAATATTCCCAAGGATCAGTTTTATGCATAAATGCGTTCAGATAGAGAGAAATTTTTGGTCCGAGTATATAATTTTATATGATTATATATAATTATTCTTTCTGAGCATGAAAAGAATCATGTAATTCTGATTAAAAGAGTGACGTGCAATGTTATCCATACGCAACAAGATATGACCTTGGTATGTGCAATGACTTCAATATTATGATTATATACATATATCACATGCGAGATAATATAAATCTAAGAGAAGAATCTGCTCATGAGCTTTGAAGCCATTCGAAAAGGCGTGTTTGGTAAAAGCAATGTAATAATGTATACATTAAAAATATATATACATATATAAAAGAGTAACCGGTATATAAGGCGTAGTAGATTGAAGTCTTGTGATTTTTACATTTAATATTACTATTTAACTTGTATAGTAAACAGTGTAAATGTGCTAGTTTAAATAATATATGTCTCTATTATGGCGCCTTTCAGGCTTTAATTCAAATGGCATTTCATTGTCCAAAGCGTCGTGAATAAAGAAGAAAGAACAAACGATTAGAGATTAAATACGTCTTGTGAAATAATAGGTAATCGTGACGTGGCTTAAGTATTTCGAATTTTCTATCATGTTATCGTTTGTAAATTACCTCACAAATGTATATACTGTTACTTTTATATATGACTGTGCATATACATACATATTTCGGATAATTAGAGTTTGGCTATTGTGATTTGGCCAAACAGTATTTACATTACCAGTTTTATCTCCAGCACTTCTTATGCGTAACTGTATCTTATAGTCGCTTAATATTTCCTGTTCATTTGATAACGAGAATGAAAAAATGCATGGGTTTATGTTTGCTGCTTATATAAATATAATTCCACAAATACATAACCTCTACAATGCTTGTGGCAAACTGTACCAACATTTTTCTTGGAAGGTAATTGTATTTCCCACGCATCTTCCTCATGGGGAGAGGTATATATGGTTTCACTTGACTCATACGAGCTTCAGTGTTTATCCAGACGTTGCAGTGGTCGTGCAGTCTGATAAATAACTTTCAATTTTGTGCGGACGCGAAATAGAAACTGTTGCTTATTCAAAATGCGTCGTGAATTCTTTTTGACTTTCCTAGGTGTCGCCATTGTTGCGATGGCGGGAAACGTCAAAGGAGATGAAGATCCAGAAGTGACAGCTCCTATTGGGAAAATTCGTGGTTCCCATATGACGAGTAGACTTGGTAAAAAAATTTATGCATTTCGTGGTGTTAGGTATGCCGAACCTCCCGTAGGACAACAACGATTCCAGGTCAGTTATAATATTTCTGTGTAAATTGCATTTAAATTTTTTATTATTTTTCTGCAAAACAAAACACTGTAGTTACCTGCATTATGTAATTATGCTATAATTCTCGACCATAAAGATACTGTCTGTAAAAGAGAATTTGTGAATAATTTTCCGTAATTAGGACGCGTTATTTGCCAAGAGTCTAACGAGTCTTTCCGTTGTAACGAGAGTCATAATACAGCTAGCAGCTTCTGATGATGAATCATGCTGAAGTCAATGGACAAAATTACGCGAATATACACGTCGCATAAAATTATTGGCAATTGGATCGACCTTCCTTACACAGCCATTATTCCAGAACCTTCTCATGTTTTGCACTTTAAAAATAGATTCATTTATTGACCAAGATCACGTTATTAGAATTTCTAATATTTTAATCATTATAGCAAGCCATAGCAGCTAAGCCTTGGTCTGATGTCTTCAATGCTTCCGTCGAAGGACCCTCGTGTCCTCAAAAATACACACAATTGGTCAATGAGGATTGTCTTCGATTAAACATTTACACGACAAAGGTAATGTTTCGACTTGTTTCATTATATATAAAAAATAGTGCATTCAATTATCTGTTGGTAAACAATCAAGTTTCCTTATAGGTACTGTTTAAATTCTTACTTGTTTTTTAGCAAATTCTGATAAGGTCTTACATGATTTCGACAAGAACAAATAAGAGTTTAAGACAAAGACTGTAAGGAAACTCTGAAGTCAGGCTGTACCGTAGTCACAATAATGATATAACAATAATACATAATACGGTATTGTTATATGAATGTCCTTCAGAGCGAATAATATTCTAGTGAGAAAATTTAAATGGTTAGAGGTTTTTACAGTTTGAAAGAATCGAGAACGGGATATTAACGTTGCATTAGACGAATTTGTAAAACAATTTTTCACTATACATTTTTGCGATACAAATTTTGCAATATGTAATGAAATATGTACGAAATAATAAATATACATGCAATAATGGATTACAATGGAATACCAAAAGTGCAATATAAATTTTTATAAAAAAAATTACAGTTGCCGCCGAAAGTTGGAACAAAGGGAAAACCTGTGAAGAGACCAGTTGTCGTATTTTTTCATCCAGGAGGATTTTACGGGGGCTCCGGACAAGGTTATATCTTTGGACCACAATATTGGTTGGATCAAGATATTGTATTGGTTACAACGAATTACCGTCTTGCGTCCTTGGGTACGTACATATACGTATATATTGACTATACTTTGGGATGGTTGAGGAAAAAAACGTTTATAGCACAGCGACACAAATTCTAAAAATACGCTTTGCGAATACAATTTCGCAGACTATAAAAGCACACACACACTACATATGTTCATCACGTTTGTTGCGTTGTGTTATTGCTTCAGGTTTTCTAAGCACCGGTGATTCCCTGGCTCCTGGCAATCTTGGTCTTAAAGATCAAGTCGAGGCTTTGCGTTGGATTAAGAAAAATATTGCCAGTTTTGGAGGCGATCCTGATTCCGTGACTATAACCGGTTACAGCGCTGGCTCTTGGAGTGTTACGCTGCATATGATTTCACCAATGTCTAAGGGCCTATTTCACAGAGCAATTGCAATGAGCGGTGCAGCCACTGTACAGGAACCACTTCCAACGCAGCAGAAACATTTGGCCAAAAAACAGGCGGAACTTCTTGGTTGTCCAACTGACACCACTGGAAATATGTTGATCTGTTTGAACACTAAGACGATTGAAGAGTTTGTTGATAGTTATGAAAAATTCTTTGTAAGTTTTTCGTTCTACATTGTTGGTTTTCGTTATTTGACTTGGTACGATTGGAATAATTTTTAATTATTTTCTAGGAATGGCATCGCGATCCTATTTTAGTTTGGTCTCCGGTCGTAGAACCTGAAGTAAATGGAGTAGAAAGATTTCTTCCAGCTCAACCTGTTGATTTAATTCGACAGGGAAAGATAAACGAAGTGCCATTGATTATCGGTGTTACAAAGGATGAGTTTGGTGGTGTAGTTACTTGTGAGTTTTAATTTCTTGTTGATATAAGATATAAGCAGTTTAGAATTGAATAATAATCTAAGTTCATGAATTCCTTTCTTTATGTAGCAATAATTGAAGAAGCACGCAAAGGAAATACTTCTACATTTGATGATCTTAATCAGAATTGGGATACTATTGCACCCATTAGTTTTCTTTATGAACGTGGTACACCTCGATCCAGAAGGATAAGTCAGGAACTGAAAAAGTTCTATTTGAATAATCAACCAGTTAGTCTAGACAATGTTGATGGACTTGCTCAAGTATGTATTAGATACTTATTTTTTAAATATGAAAGGAATATACACTTTACATTATACTTTCCTTTGGTTTATTATTTTAGCTCTATGCTGACGCTGTCATTGGATTTTCTGCTCATCGTTTTGTCAAATTGATCAGTGCTGCTTCGGCGAAACCAGTTTATTATTATAGATTTTCTTATCAAGGACGATTCAGTCACAGTGTATGGAGTGACACTAAAAAACCTTACGGTACCTAATATTATTGATAAACTTGGAAGAGTGACTGTCTATTAATACCGTATACTTTTTTATCAAATGCTTATTCCGTTTTCTTTTTTCTTAAAACAGGTGTGGTCCATCATGATGATCTATTGTATCTCTTCTACATAAGCTTTTTCCCCTATTTCAACGCAACGGATCCTGAAGTCGTCACTGTTAAACGATTAACCACAATGTGGACCAATTTTGCGAAAACTGGACAACCCATACCGACTAACAACGAAGACTTTAAGAACGTCAAGTGGCCGATATATACCGATAAGACTAAAGAGTATCTGGATATCGGAGATAATCTCGTCACAGATTGCGGCCTCTACCGAAACAGAATGAGCTTCTGGGATAACTTATTTCCGCTTAAACCTCATAATTTTGATGATACAGGCGTTAAGCAATAAACTCATACATGAAACGACGTATTTCGCATCAAACAATTGTTTTTTAACTGCTTGCTTGACATAGAGATTATCTGCTGCATAAAGATGGTAAATATATTATACCTAGTGTACACAAAAAACAACATTTTTTATTCATTAATGTAAACCAAGGTTCTACATTGCTACTTCAGCATTGCTACTTTAGAACAGATCTAAAGGTAAAGATATTTTTTGCAACTTATATAAAAAATAAAGATCCTGTCCTTATATCTTTGGATCTGAAACTTGTAGCTTCACCAAACCTTCACTCAATTCCCAAAATTTCTTGCCTTTCGATGGATCCTTTACACCTTCGGAAAGACCATATTCCTGGAAATAGATTAAATAATAATAGCAAGTCGAGTTAATGTTCAAGAAGAAAAGTATTAGGAATCTTTTTTTCTCACATGACAATCCAAGAAATATTTGCCATTAACGGCAGCAACTTCATTAGCGACTGCTAAATGGATACTTGTTTGTGCTCCCTGCTCAGGAGTTTTGAAGAAGCCTTTGATGATGAGATTCAAGCCCCAGGACAATGGCGCTGGTACGTTTCTCCATATTCCACTGTCTATCATTCCCGGATGAAGACAATTGGCCGTAACTCCTGAACCTTCCAAACGACGCGCGAGTTCCAAGGTGAAGACTATATTCGCGTACTTAGACACATAGTACAAATAGGCAGGAAACGTCGTCGTGGGATTCACATTATTCAGATTCAATGTGGCAAGACGGTACAATTCCGACGCCACAATTACTATACGACTGGGAGCCGATCGTTTAAGTAAATCTATAAAAAATAATATCATAATCAGTCAATATTCGGAACTATTCATAGAGCGACCAATTACTTATTCACATATGACCAAGTTTCGATCGACGCCATTTCATGATTGCGTCGTTGAAATTACCAATCAGAAGATGTGTCAGCAAAAACGGTCCATAATGGTTAGTTGCCATCGTCATCTCGAGGCCGTCATTAGTGACTTTTTTCCTGAACGTCTCGGCGGTTCCAGCATTATGTATTAATACGTCCAAACGTGATTCCTCTCTGTTTATTTGTTGAGCAAATTCTCTGACCGATTGCAAGGATGAGAGATCCAACTTTCGTACCAGCAGATTGCTGTTCCCAGTCTCCTTGATTAATTCATCTGCAAGAATGTTGCGTTACCATTACACAGGGTCGAAGATGTAGACTTTGATGCTGGCACGTGCTGTATTGTTTGAAATAATGAAGATTCTGTAATTTACATTTTCAAACAATGACACTATAGATAAACAAGTAATACCGGCAATTATATTAATGGGATATACAATCAATGAATTATTCGAAACGACCGGGTGAATAATTAAATAATTAGTTACATAGATTTCCATTTATCATAAATGTGTGTATTATCACAGTAAACTGAATACTACTGATTATGAGTACACTCAAGTAACGGTATTCATCTATACAGTCATTCAACGAGAAAATTTCATTCAAGAATATACCTTTGAGTTTATTTGCGCTGTCTACGTTCCGACATCCCATAATAACCTTGGCTCCTCTCTTAGCAAGGTCCTTGGCTGTCTCTTTTCCAATGCCAGAAGTGCATCCCGTAATGATTACTGTCTTGCCATCCATCTTATTTTTGCTCTTGCAAACTCCTAGCGTGTAATAAACGAAGAGACGTAATACGATGAGAAAGAGGAGAGCACCGCCAAGCACTGCAATGATGGCCAACCAGCACAAAGTGGGGCAATTGAGAATGTCCAAAATCATGATCTGTAATAATATTGATATCTCTGGTACCCAGAAAAGGACAAAAATAACGTCCATTCAAGTAGCAAATACAATGAAAGATGTTAAAGGTTAGAGCACCTTGCACTATTGCCCGCGTCTCAAAAAAATAGTGATATATTCAGTTATAACGTTTTTTTTTTTAATATTTGCATAAATTACGAAATGGAAATCGTAGTAGGAATATGATTTAAATATGCTACTTACTTAAGATTCCCTACGCATGTATGTGAATATTCTTTTAGCATTACGGTGATGCTGTTTTATGCTGCTATTATAGAAATTATATACATTCTTATGCTACGTAGCCAATCGTCCCAAACTTGATCAAGAGATATTTTACGTCCGGATGAGACCCTTCGATCACACATCAAGCTTTTTATCGTTATTTTGTTCAATGCAATGTATTATATCATGAGCAACAACAATCAGCCTTTATAATTCGCCGAAAATCTCTATCTATATGCTTCTAACAAACTATAGACTAAATATTAACTTACGCAGTCTTCTAACCCGCGGCCTACAGTACATATACAAAACAGCTGTCATTCACAGTTCTGTGACAGCCACAGCTAAGACGCCCGTGACTAGGACACCCTTCCTTGAGATATTATATTCACTAATGTCACGTATAAATCGAATAGCGATTACGCACCCTCAGCGTACTCAACTTTGTCGTATAATTTTCTATTATCAATCCTCCTTCAATTCCTAAAACGCCTATCCACACTCAACAATTACGTAAATTCCTAATTCGTGGTCAAGTGCACCACATCGTACGTAGAAGTTCAGTTTTATCAGTTTTCTTAATATAATAATTTCCAATTGTGGATTTAAATAGTTATCTCGGGCCGATCCTGGATAATCTTTCAAAAGTTAGACCCTAAACAGACCATTGTAACCATCCTCCCGACGTTGCACATTGCTTGTAAATATCCTACAGTAGAGTGGAAATAGTAGGCATTTGTAAACACATATTTTGCTAGGGTGAAGTTCACCGCTCCTCCAACTACTATCATACCTATTGTGTGCAACCGTCATCTGGATGTCACAGAAAGAGAAGACGCAAAAAAGTATCATTGCTTTGCTTCACGTCTGTACTCTGTAAGAATTGCGTCGAAAGTAGGTATTATTTTTTTTGTTTTATGCCACCCGTTAAACCATGTTTATGCTACGCAGCCACTGGTCATAAAATTGATCAAAAGAAAGACCAGACGGGAGAAAGTATTATTACGTTGCATCACGTGTGCAGTCTATAATAAGTTTAATTTAATGTGTATCAATATTAATAAGACTGCTTATCAATTTTTTATCAAAATTCGTTGACAATGTTTTTATTCGTTTTAATAGGATAGACTTCTATAGAGATTCTATGAAAATTCCTAAAAATTGTTTAAAACCATGGATATAGTATAATTTTTAAATAAGTCGCCTTAAATCTTAACTATTGCATCATTTATGCATGGGCCATATATAGATTAAAAAACCTTTGTATTGTTGGTATTATAAATTTGCTACGCCCTGCTTAAGAAAATCTATTAAAACTGATTAAAAATAGTTAATCGGAAATATCAGACATTTTGTATTGAATCTTATACATATTTACTACTGAGAATAAATGAGATTCCCATTGATTCGAATAAAAAAATTATTATTTAACGTGTAATCACCAATAAAATCGCATTGAACAAGATAACCCATTCATTCCAAATATTTTGCCCTGATTGAATCCGATTGTGATTGAATCGCATATTTATCGGTTTCTATTGATTAAATCGGATTCCTAAAGCAGGGTGTATTCATATATTGGATAAATAATACAAAATTCTTTATGTAAGTTACATGCTTGTGCGCAATCCTTACGTTGGGGTTAAAAGCCAATTTAACACTGGGAGTATGCTTTCTATATTACAATACTAGCATATAGTCCCACTGAAATTTGTTGACCCTAGACTTCAAGAATACTCGCACCATTTTTTTTACTTTCCTACATGTCAAGTAAGTCCAAGCATGATAATTTGTGGCTAAGATGAATTATCATACGTTTAAAATTTCATTAATGTACAGAAAAGTACTCACGTTGAGTTTATTGAAGATTTTCAGTCAATTTACCATAGATGAATAATATATTCCTCTTGCGAATAACACTTCTTCCTTGTAGAATCTTTACACGACTGGACATAGCAGTGCCTGACCGAGTAACAGGTATCCCCACTTTCCATTTGATACTTCCTGGAATCTAGAATGACCTTGACAGTGGGCTGACTTTCTACACGAAGAGAAAGAATATAATTTTGTGGATATGAGCATTAACAAATCAATGATTAATAATTTGCTGTTTTTTTTTAATGTAAAAGCGTTCTCAATACTTTAATTAAACTATTTGACATTACATTAGTTTTATGTGGTACCTATACAAGTCAGTCTTAACAAGGTTCTATGTCTATTCATTCCTTCTCAAAGGAAATAGAACAGAACGATACGACAGGTGGTTGTGCACAGGATAATGCACTTAAGAGTTTTAATGAATTTTCTCTCCATTTGAGAACGTCTGCCGGATATGGCACACTTCCTAATGCATTTAATGACCCTGTAAGATAATGCAGCAAGTGGAGGGTCCATTTTAATGATTGGATATTATGGTCGTTGCATGATTTGATTACTATGAGATATTATACATGTATATATAACCATTTAATAGAACAATTCAATGATTGATATCTATAATTAATTCTATAATAATGATATATACATTAATACAGTAAATAATTTGTAAGATTGTATATATTTGTACGATATTACACATCGTTACGAATATAATTAATTTTCATGAACTCAAAATATGAAAATTCAAGTTCTTTCAGACGGTCGTCATTTCACAGCGTCATAGCAGATTTCAACTATTTCGCGCGCCGTTTCACGGTCTTTCTATTAAGGATTCGCCTCACAATTAGCGATCAAGAAGAAATAAAATAGAAAAAATTGTATTCGTTTACTATTTGACTTGTTTCTTTTTTAAGATATGAGAGAATATATATTTTTACCTGAGAATTTTTTGAATATTTTCTAATTACCAATCATATTCGTTTTATACAATTAATTATACTTCGATCATTTTATAGCGATCATTATCGTCGCATGTATGAGCGCCGTAAACTCTACACGATTTATCCGAGGAAGCATCACAGATATAGATATATACAAGGTCAATGAACTTTTTGAAAGATTAGATTGGAAATCAGCAAATTATAAACAAGTGTAAACATAGTTAAACCGCTCTTTTGAAATGTGATCGTTATTACAATTTTGTCAGGAAAAACAATTCAAGGGCTTACCAGTTAACTAATTAATTGTGCCAGAATGGAGACAATTCCTAGCGAACACGAAATAACTGTTATACATATATCGGCAATACTATGACGTTATACTCAGGAATGTAATAGTTATATATTTCACTGATTGACATTTTGACATGATCAATACGTAATACTCACTTTGGGTTTACTAGATTAAACTTGGCAGCTTATAAATTAATTTTAAAGAATATTTTTAAATTTAAGTCATATTTACATAGTTTAATTCTTATCCTTTCTTTTCTTACTTTCACTTTGCATACTTACTAGTTCCTTTGAGGGATCTAACAAATTCGGTACTACAAATTGCATTGAACAGTTCACTGTTAGCGTGAAGTTTAACTTCATTGAATGTTTCTTTAGAATTCAAGTCATGAAAAGTCACGGTCACCAATTTTACTTCCAGGGTGTTGAGTACGTCGAGCAGAGACTGTTGGTACCCTTGATAAATTTACTCATGATAAACTGCCTTTTGACGATACTATTTTGAAAGTCATTGAGCTCAAAAAGCTCAAGAATCTTTTATTATAAAAATAATAAAATTAATAAACCTCATTTACTCTCTTGCAAAATGTGATCAGTCTATATTATATTTTTACAATAATTATTCATGAGAATCTTAAAGGGATTTGTAAATAATATTGAAAAAAATTAATGGTATTATATTTTTGATATTTTTAACTGACTCGAGCGTTTGGAATGAACGCTTCTACCATTTCCGTTGTTATCAGTCGGATTACTGATTTGCAGTGTTAAATGTGCAATGCGTACATTTTTAATCCTTAGCACTTTTCTTAAATGCGCAATTCTCTGATTCAAAGTAGAAATCGTATTAACTTTCTGGTGCAGTTCTTGTTTTAATTGCTCGTAGATAAAATGAGAGACTAATTCCTCTGTATCCGCAAATCCTTAAATCGTTTAAGTCAGATATTAGTAACGAATTTTTGTGAAATAAATGGAATCGAATTTCACCGTTTAATTACCAGATATCGTGCTGGGAACGTTAACTGAAGGTAACCATTCTTTGTTCGAACGACGAAAAATCCACGTCCAGAAAAAGAGGCCGGTGATTATCCATCCTCCAAGGATTGTAAATACATTCTTCAAATACTGACTAATTTTGAAATAAATATTGGACGCTTTGGTAGCCACCTGCATCGGACTTGATGGTTTGATTTTCAATAGCATTTCATTTTCATCCGTTTTTTGCTCTTTGTCGGTTTCTAATAAAGAATAATTTACGTAGCGAATATTATGAAAGATCTGTAATTAACTTATTGGATAATTGAATTGAGATAAAAAATTTGTAACTTTAACAATTAACTTTGTTTAATATTAATTTTAATTTTTTTCACAATAAAATGCCAGATGACCATATCAAAATTGTATTCGTGAAATTATTAAATATAAATTATTCAAGCATTCAATTCAATAGATATTAAATTTATCAATTTAAGCATCCGTCGTATGCACGAATTTTCACTGCTCATACCGTCAAACTTTTGGGATGATGAAGATCTAGTTATGAGGTCCGCTTCAATTTTGGATTTTAAATCCGTTAAAACTTTGTCAATAGTTCCTTGTTGAGAATTTACTAATTGGTTGATTACAGTGTTACTAAGCTTCATCTCAATTTTTGAAAAGACTTTTCTGTTTAAAGTATTCCAGTTCTCTTTTTTTGTACGTATGCTATTTGCTGGGGTGTAATTGTGACTGTCGACGTAATGAGGATAATATACCTTGAGGACTTCTGCCATTAAAACTAAAATGGCAAGTTAGTGATGGCATTCATGAGAAACAGTCTATAGTGGAGCCATGAAATCATTTCCTTTTTAGGCTTTAAATCTCGGGGGTTAGAATGTAATAGAGTACCTTAAATGTGACACCGATGTCACGACTCGACTATATAATGTTAATTATTATTGATATGTAATCACAGTTCTATACCTCCATCAGAAAAATCGCGCGAAATATTTTTTTTGGCCCCGGAGGACACAACTTCGTCGAGCCATGTATAAATTTCTTCGACATTGTCACTTTGATTTCTTTCGACTCCTTCGTTCGTCATCGTCTTCATTGAAATTAAGTGGGAACTTTGAAGTTCATCATCTTTCTCAGCAAACGCTATGTAATTTAATACTCCATGTATAATTTTTACAGTCTGTAACAGATGTACAATCAATTTAGTATAATAATTCTGATATTGGCGTTGGAAACAGGCGCTTTCCTGTGCAAGCTACAAATTGTAAAAAGTTAACTTCATTACGATACCGTTCTTTTATTCTATTTTGCAGTATAGAATTTTAATTTTGCCTAAAATAATTGGCAATGTAGGGTATGTTCCGAAATTCACTGCAAATCTGTGAATATCGTTGCGTCCCTGTTTATTTGCACGCAGTAGAGTAAGACACGAGCATGCATATTGGAATTAAGTAGATTTCGAAAGAATGTCAGTGCACAGTGCTGAAATGGAAAAAGATATTCAAAAAAATTCGGCATAAAATAGGAATTGTAGCTTTTTTTTGGATTTCCATTTGATGCAAAGAGGTTAGTGTCATATTGATATAATATTTATACCAACAACTTTTTATCCTGTAACTGTGCAACGAAATTATTTCATTGCACATATACATATGTATACATAATTTTTTATTAATACGTTCATGCCGGCGCATTCTTTTATATACTATACTATTTTGAACTAGCGGTAAGCCACCGGTTATACACGTTGGCAGGAACGTGTTAAACTGTTTATATCTATAATAATAGTAAATTAGGAGCAGTCATGTGACGATACACATTTCAGTACACTCTCTCGATACTGCTGCTATTGTGTCTCTCATTCCTATGTGATGTATAGAATTATACATACATAAAAATGACAGTGAGATATATAACTGCCTCATAGAGAGAGAGTCTACTGTACGATCTAATAATTGTAATTGGAACAAAAATTTTTTGTAAATAGAATAGATCAAGAAAATTATTTGCTCTTAAAGATGAACTTCGCTGAACCCGAAAATTGTCGTCATGTATATTTCTTATAAGGCATCAGAACAGTCATTATAACTCTGAAGTCATGTATGTATATATGCATATAACGTAATTTCTGAATTTGTTATTTTATTCCTTATCGAAGAAATTAATATTATACATTTATACTAATAAATGAAATTAATTTTATTATATTCACTTTTCGCTTTATGTTATTGTTATGCATTCACTTTATCTGAAAAAATGAAATCTTTTTTCATCGTTCAAGTATCGCTCTTTGTTCATCATTTACTTCGCAACTCAATTTCAAGACTTTTTTATAACCTTTACGTAATAACGTACTTTTTTTAAATACGGACGTACAATTTTTTACAGAATAAATTGGATACTAATTTCAACCGATGCTTCAATTTTGATTTCGACTGTTGACAATAAATTACTATTAAATATTTTGAATTTGCCGCACAATTCCTCGTGTTAATAGGTCGAGTCGCTCGAGTCCTCGAGTCCCTCTAGTCAGAGTCCGGACAACATCCGGAAGGGACGCCATGTTTAGGGCTTGTTTGGCGCCACCATGACATTGCGCGAGACTCGATCGAGTCTGGTGCCAAGTACAGTCAACCCGCCGTACAGGGCTTAACACTACCCACACTACATAATGCGAATCTCTCCCATATACGTATTCACACACACCATTCTATTCTGGAAAGAGCCCACAATATGGCGGAGCCAATCACTAAGAAGGCCCACCGTTTGCCGGACTCTGACTAGAGGGACTCTACGTGTTAAGCGACTACTGCTCTGCCCACCGGCCATGACTCGAAATTACCACCATTTTCTAAAAATACTACCATGTAGTTCGTGTGCAGAGATAAGTAGGGAGATGCACAACGCTATGACAGTCGTGTGTTTTCATGTTTGCTTTCATGTAACTTCGATAAATTCCCCCTGTGACCACAGACCACTTACTGCAGACACGGTACTCCCGTGCTTTTGACTGTTAGCACGAGCAGCAGCGCCACCTTATCGGTAGGTTATATCACTAATCTATGTTTCACACTCAACGGTTTTACTATAGCCCATTTGGAGTCTCACCCCCCTCCCTGTGACCAGAAAAGAAGATGCAGCAATGGCAGATCTGTTCAGTTGTCAAAATAAAATCTCAAGTTTTATAAAAATCTGTACTTATTATGGCAGTAACATGACAATAATTCGTATGCAAAATAAAAATATACTATTGTTCCGGTAATTTTTTAGTGTATTCTACTATTTGGGTATTTTTAATGACATTCATCAGGAATGAAAGTATTTTGGAAGAGTTTAAGACTTAAATATATTTTTATTTGTATTTTCATTACTTTTGGTATTTCTTGTTTGATAGGCATCACTCCGATCAGCATTGGTAAGTCACGTTTGTGTATATTGATTACAGATTATAATAAATACAAATTTATCTTTGGAGGTTAAGAAAGTTCCTTAAACACTATTCATTACTAAAAATCAAAGATCAAGACATTTTTTTAGATGAATGCAAATGTGATGCCAATGGAACATCCAACCATTATGGAAGTCATAGAATAATGAATAATAAGTCAAGGAAATCGAAACATCGTCTAGCTATTCTTGTGCCATTTAGAGATCGGTTTGAAGAGTTATTAATATTTGCACCACATATGCAAAAGTTCCTTGCTAAACAAGATTTAGATTACCACATATTTATATTGCATCAGGTATGTTTAATTGTGTCATTGTTCAATACAATATTGTGTATATTGCATTTAGAAACATTGATCAAGGAGCATTCTCTTCCAACATTTTCAGATTGACAGATATAGATTTAATAGAGCATCTCTTATAAATGTTGGATTTTTAGAAGTTAAGAAAGACTTCGATTATATAGCAATGCATGATGTAGATTTGCTGCCAATGAATAATGAACTGTTATACAATTATCCTGAAAAAGGTCCATTTCATGTATCATCACCAGAACTACATCCAAGATATCATTATCCCACGTTTGTTGGTGGAATATTACTTGTAAACAGGTATTAAAATATTTATATTAATATGAAAATTCGTTTTAAAAGTTTGAAACTAATAATATATACTATTATTTCAGAGGCCATTTTACTTTGGTTAATGGAATGTCAAACAAGTATTGGGGATGGGGATTAGAAGATGATGAATTTTATGTTCGGCTTAAAGAAGCAGGCCTAAAAGTAACTAGGCCACAAAATGTATCCACTGGAACACAAAATACTTTCAAGTAAGGTTGAATCAGTAATCATAAAATATATATTTATCCAAAATCTCTTTTACAATATTATAACGACCAATATTATTATAATATGCTACTACCAGTCTTCAATATTACCTCTACACAGTTATATAATAGATACGTGTAATTTTCGTATGTTTCATTAGACATATACATGATAGAAGTCATCGAAAAAGGGATATGACTAAATGCTTTAATCAGCGTGAAGTCACAAGAAAAAGAGATCGTCAGACTGGACTCAATAACGTCTCCTATAAATTAACAGGTACTATTAAAATGACGATTGCTGATACAGCATTGACTGTTTTAAACATTTCTCTTATGTGTGATAAATCTATTACGCCTTGGTGCGAATGTGATAAAATGGATGGTCCTACAGAAGTAAAACAGAAAGAAAGAAAGAGGAGTGAGTCTATGTAAATTAGCCACTAAATTTCACCTGTATCCACCAATATTGTTTCAAATACAATCTAAAGTATAAACAAGATAATAATGGACGTCTTTTATTTTAAATATACAATTTTACTCCAAACTCTTACACCCTGCTGTGGGTCTACTCTGAGTTTATTTACAATAAAAAGAAAAGATCTGCAACTGTTATATGTCACAAAGTAATGTTCTGGTTGATAAATCGAATTTCTAATTACTGCTGAATACGCAAGAATATGCCTATTCCTCCAGATCTTGTAAAGGTGTATAAGTATGTTGATACACAGAGAGAACGTTATATACAGGAATTACGCTCAATTGTATCGATTGAAAGTATCAGTAGCAATATCAATTTAAGATGTAAGATCTCATTGATAATCAAATGGATGGCCACACGTTTAAAAAAATTAGGTTTCAAAGTTCAGCTTTTGGAGATTGGGAAGTATATTCCGGAGAGACATAATAAAGAGGCATTTTTTATTTATATTTGGAAAATTTTATAAATCATTCATAAAATGAAATAAAATGTATTGACAGTATGCTTTGTATACATACAGGTGAAAATACCAACATTGATCTTGGGAACTTTAGGCAAAGAGACTCATAAGAAGGTGCTTCTTTATTATTGCCATTTAGACGTCGTAGAAGTCAATCGTGAGAAGTGGACCACTGATCCTTTTGTATTAACTGAGAAAAATGGAAAATTGTATGGCCGTGGTACTGCGAAAATGAAGGGATCTCTATTATGCTTTCTTCACGCTATAGAGTGTTATCAAGCATTAGGCATAGAACTGCCAATTAATATAAAGATAATATGCGGTATGCCACACAAACCCATGATATATCCTAATAAAATAAAATACGCCTTAGTTTTATTATACTTTTATTATAGAGTCTCTAAATGAATGTATGAGCGCTGGCCTTCCACGAATTTTGGCTGATCTCAAGACAAGTTTTCTCACACGTGTTGATTGTATTTTGGTAACGGATGGAAAATGGGTTGGTCGACATTATCCATGCATTCTTTACGGGTGCCGAGGTGTTTGCTATTTCAACATATCAATAGATGGTCTACTTGAGGATCTCCATAGTGGCGATTATGGAGGAATAGTTTATGAACCTCTACAAGATTTACTGTTTCTTCTAAGCAATCTCGTGGATCCATTTGGGCACATAAAGGTACCTGGATTCTATAAGGATGTTATGCAAGTGACACCGGATGAAGAAGATGTTTATGGACAATTAAAAATAAATATGAATGAGTATAAAGAAGATGCAGGTATTAAAAATCTTGCTTATGGTGAAGACATTACTGAAACTTTCATGCATGTCTGGCGACATCCCACTTACAATTTACATTATATCAATACTTCAGTTCAATGCGATTGTTCTGATAGATTGTTGATCCCAAAGAATGTTGATGCCAAATTTTCTATTCGGTAAGAAATTCCTGATTAACATGTTTTCGCCGGATGAATGTTCGATATGCATTCTTTTCTATGATTGCGAATGCATAAAGTCGAAAATTTTGAGCTAATTTATTATTGCTGTTTAATAACTTCAGTGTATTCCTTGAAACAGAATCGTTCCTTATCAAACCCCGGAAAAAGTATCTTGCATGGTACTTGATTACCTGAATAAATTAATGTACGAAAGATGTACTCCTAACAAGCTGAAAATCACTGTAGACAGTGTATTGAAACCATGGTATGAAAATCACCTTCACTGGAACTATGAAGCTGCAAAGGAAGCTACAAAACAGGTTTTCTTATAGAATTATAACATTATGTGATTTAAAAAAAATAATTCTGACAGTATTGACACTTGTTCTAAAATTGATATTCATTATTAAATCAGTGAGGAATAAGAACTCTTATTAACAGGTATATAAAGAAGACGCAAATTTCATTCGTGATGGTAATGGAATTTCAATTCTTTTGGAATTGCATAAAATATTACCAAAGAAAAATATACTTTTGTTACCATTGGTGAATAGCGAAGCAAACATTCACAGTGAAGATGAAAATATTTCACTACGATGTTATTTTGAAAGCACAAAACTATTGGCTAGTTACTTTCACAACCTTGAAAACCACGCACAAAAACAAGAACTCGAAAAAAGAATTCGACATCATAATATTTGTGATTTATGAATTGATATCGATTAACTGATTTAAACGTATTCAATTACTTATCATATTCTAGTGAATTTCTTAAATGTTTTGTACATATATTTACAATAAAAATGTTTAAAGCACTTGACTGATACAGCGAAAATGATACTTTAAAACAGGGCTGTCCAGCTGTCCGCGGAGCGGGCCTCTAAATGTATAAATTACCCTCAAATAAAATTAGAATAATAATACAAACGCGTTTTTTCTTTGTATACCATACCTATTAAAACTCACTGATAAAGTTGCATACGAAGTATTTTATAAGGCGGCCCTCCAAACAGCATTTTTTTTTAAAGCGGCCCTTGGGGCACTTGCAGTTAGACAGACCTGCTTTAAAACACTTACATGACTATCATATAATAGGATGACAACAAAATATTAAACTACTGAGTAATATCCGCACTGCGAGAATAAAATAGTTACAAAAGCAAATGATTATCTTTTAAAAATAGATGGTTTCAAATTTACAAATTAGCATTTAACTGCATAATAAAGTGTTCACTCAATTCACTTGAATTTAAATCATCAGCATCGTTATTTTCATCGAAAATGTCCTGCACAGTTCCTGTAACAGTTTCTAAAATGTCCACTTGTTCCATACCATTACTTTCATTAACATTCAACTCAGGTGTGATTGTTTCGATAATTTCGCTAGATTCTGGATCTACAGTCTCTTTTTGATGATTACCGTCAGCTCTATCAGATTCTGACAAGGGAGTCTCCAACTTTTCTTCATTCCAGTCATCCTCTGTCATCCCTTCTTTTAAAAAACGTTTACGTAATGTTCTTAAAGATGGGAGCGGAAAATCATAGCTAAGTAATTTCTCATAACCCTTCTCTCCACATAAATTTTTAATATCCATTGCAGTTAACAAGGATGCCTCCGAGAAGTCATGTTTAGCATTATCTATCAACATTTCTTTAAACTGACCGTTTCTTTCATCCAAAAGTTTTTGTCGTCTGAGCATGGTTTGCATTCGCGTCATTTTCTTTTTGTAGGTGTTGGTATTCTTTTCTGCTCGTTCAAGGAACTTTGCTGCTTTATCCAGTTTCCAATTTAGTTCCTTTATTCGATCATCTTTTTGTTTGATTTGTGCTTCTAATTTTCGCTTATTTTGAGATTCCAGTGTTACTGTTTTCATTAGTTTCTTATTCATTTCATCCAACTGATCAATTCTTGTAGATAAATCATGAATCTGCTTTTGCTTTGCTTCGAGATCCTTCCGATTGCCGTGTTTATCTTGAACAGAAGCTGACTTCTTATTTGTTTTACGTGATAGTTCATCAATCTCTTTATTCTTCAATTGCAATTCTAAATTTACTCTGTTTAACTTATTCTCTAGATCTTTATACATGATTAACTGGTTACTTAGCCTATTAATCACTTCCTGTTGCACGCCCACTTTCCGTTGGAGTTCTTTATAGAAATGCGAAGACCCGTTTGCATAATTTGGCTTGAATGGTGATCCACTTTTTTTAATTTGATTTTGCGTATCGGCTGCTATACATGGATCTGAACTATCGCACTTCCTTATGTTACTCCATGAAACATATTTAATGTTTGTATCTTTTGCTCTTTCATGTTCTTGGACATGTTGCAGATTTTCATTGAATCTTAACACGCGTTCAGCCCTATTACTTCTTGGTGGGGCCAGTGCTTCTGATGCAATATATTCCTTCTGCTCATTTGATGTTGTATTCTCTATATCTTCGCTATTCTCATCATCTTTAAAACCATCCAGATCCCCTTCTTGAACAGCAATTACTGATGTAATAAAAGAATTACCTTCGTCATCACAAAAAGGGATATTTAGCTTCTCTCCAGAATCATACGTCACATTGGATTTGGTTTCTAATCCTTTGATTATGTCAGTCACATAATCAGATACACCAGTTACTTTAATTGTGAACTTTGTTTTGTTTGATGCTAATGAATCAGTGTCTCTAGAGTTTGACAATAATTTGTGCAATGCTCGTTTTTTATCGTTCCTCTTGTGAGACTTTTCAGGCATTACAACAGTCTGATTATAAGGCTTAAGATCTACTTCAGATATGGATCCAATTGTCTTTTCTATCGATTTCATAATTTCTTCTCTGGTTCTCCTTTTTCGCTTCATAGCTGCCCGCATATTTGGTATCACATGTACTTCGTCCCTTCCAAAATTTTCCAAATCCTCAGCAAAGACTTGTCTTATATTGTTGAGACTCATATTTTCATCTTGTAACATAGTTGTCTTTTTGTTATTTGGATCCTTAGGCACTTCGGGATTTACAACAGAATTTTTATGATTCTGAGCCAAATAAGATCGAGTTTCGTTTGTACTTTCATTTTCGCTATCCCCAAAAATATTTTCTATGTTTCCCGACGACTGCCCTATATTTTTTTTAATTGGACCATTTTTCGTAATAATTGATTTTTTATTAACATTTTTTTCAATTTTCTTCTCTATCATGTAAGCACTTTTAATATCGTTCGGACTGCCATCTCCGTCACATATTTGTTTTAACTTTTCCTCTATCTCGTCATAATTATGATCAAACGTGCTTTGATCCTCCTCACTGTCACCAATAACTTCTACTTTTGCAGTACCACTGTTTTTTTCTGCAAAGGTATTATCGTTCATAATAAGTTGACCGATTTCTTTGTCATTCTCATCAGCCACTATGATAAAGCTATTGTCATGTATCAGTTTCCGAATTTCACGTGTGTTTTTCTCTGATACTATAATAACATTATCTTCATCAACTTGCTGTAGAATATTTTCAGAGAGCATTTGATAATCATCATCAGAAGAATACTTTTCATCTTTTATTATAATTTCTGAAGCTATTTCTACCGTTTGCGGGTTTGAGACTTCGCTTTCATTTGTACCATTACTCATTCCTTGAGCAAATACATCTGCAGGATATTCCAACTTATGTTCTAGATAGTTCACTGTATAACCTGCTTGTTCACCATCATACATTATGGCATTATCCCACTTCCTTCTCTTTCTTGGTGACTTTCTTGTTGAAGTGATGGTGAATATGGACGGCAGAGCATCTTTCTTTAATTTAACTTTTCCATCATTTGTTACAATCCATTGTTCTGGAGTAAAGTGCATATGGCAAAGAAAAGAATTATTAGATGGTTCCCAATCAGCTCTGCCAACACGCTCTGTCCAAATTTTTCTGAGCTTTGGATTACGAGGAAAACATTTCATAGTATAACCCTTTTCACTGCGGTTATTGCAGCCCACTGCTGCACAGCCTGGCATTGCAAATTGCTAAATAAAATCTTGTATTACAACTGAAGCTTTGCATCAGGGATCCATCATCGTCGCAGACATAGTTTGAAGAAAGTTACTCATGGAATGTCTACAACAAGAATAACATTATCTTAAATTAGTTTACAGAGCTATTTATGTTATTTAAATTATAATTATATTTTTCACATTTAATTTTAACACACATTTATTATTAGAATATTTAGACTGAAATTTTTCAGTAGTATAAAAATTAATCCTTTGCACTGCACTGGATCCACTAGGATGACATGTTGCTCGTATAAAATAATTCTTGGAGTGTAAAACCTTAAATTTGATTCAGTTCATATAAGTTATCGCTTGTATAATCAGAATCATTTTTATTTTATACAAGTCAAAAGTATGTAATTTGATATTATGACAAACGCATGATAGTTGATATTTGAAATCCTATACAGTATTCTATGATAATTTATAATAAATGTTAAACTGTCAATGACATTCGAATAAGTTTTGAATTACCTCACAAACCTCACAACATACTTCGGCTTTACTTGATTGTGTAATAAGTAAAAGTGAGTACATTATTAATCTCTTCACACGTGCACACTACTAACACTTAATTAACGTTTCACCGTTATGTTATTGTTAGAATTTTGTGTATTTCGCAAAGGTTAAGTTAGATAGTAAACGCTGAAAATCGGTCATGAACGGGCAACAATAAATGGTAGAACCGCTTGCTGTAAAATAGTTGAATTACTGCCATCTAGCGTTTTGTAAAATATGAAATCTATTCCATTATTTCAAGAACAAAATGTTATTTTATGCACAAATATGTTGTTCTAAATCATTCATGATGTGACGTGGATCTATTAATCATTTAGTTTGACATGTTAAAATCTTCATTACATAAATACTGAAAACTCTCTTTCTTTCCCCACATTCCTATCTTTTGCAAGAATTCGAGTGGTAAAACTGCAGTATACGATTCCGAACTGAAGTTCGCTGCTAGTGACTTAGATTTTTTGAGGTAACGCCATCTGCCGGATATAATGTGAATCGCATGGAATAGTAACGCCGCCTATTAGAAAAAAAGTTAACCATATTTAAAATTATAAAACCAATTTATTTTTATTGGAATACACATATGTATCAATTAATGAAGATCTAACAAAATATATTATACATAAATTTATATAATTTACTTACAAATTTCGAAGCTGAAACCTCTTCGTTCATCTTACGCAAAATACTGTGAATCGAGAAGTTGATGCTACGTAAATAATTGGTGGCTCTGAAAAGTGCCGATTTTTTGGGATTTCCTCAATAGAAGGTTTCTCACCTACTTTGAACAAATCTACGAACCGTATCACCATTGCAATCGATCACACATAATCCAATTTAAGCAAAAGAAATAATAGCACACTTGTGTTACACGCTTTGCGAGCTACTAACGAAAATCATGCTTCTACATGTTTTACGAAAGCAGACGATACATTGTAGCAAAAAAATCTCGAAGCAGTAGATCAAATTTAATGCTTAATGTACAATCACGAACTTGCACTTATACATACTTATATTTTTAAATAATATTATTTATAAATTAAATATACACATATTTAATATGAAAATATGTAATAATATCTTCATATCAAAATATATGTATACATAATAAGTGCCAACCTGTGTGACATAGCACGAAAATTAAACGAAAAAAATCTCCAAACATGGAATATTGTGATTACTAGATCATATTTCGTGAAAATATATTTTTATAACAAGATAATGTATATGATAACAGTAAAAATATATTCATTTCAAATTTTTAAAGATAGTTGCGTTTTTTTCCGATCAGGAGGCGCCTTTTCCATACAATTCGCATTACATTTGATAGATGGCGCTACGTTAAAAATCTAAGTCACTAGCAGCCAACTTCAGTTCGGAGTCGTATACTGCAGTTTACCCATTCGAGTTGTGACATGGCGGCTGCCAGACGCTTTTTTCCGATCAGGAGGCGCCACTATTCTATACAATTCGCATTACATTTGATAGATGGCGCTACGTTAAAAATCTAAGTCACTAGCAGCCAACTTCAGTTCGGAGTCGTATACTGCAGTTTACCCATTCGAGTTGTGACATGGCGGCTGCCAGGTCACAGTTGTATAAACACTTGTAAGCATAATTGTAGTGTTCGTGCTAGATTTCGATCCAGTTTTACGATGATTTCAGTTATTCGGTGTGAAAAAATTGGATAAAATAATAACGATTAGCAAAGATTCTTTGGGAAAATGGCAGCTGTTAACAATGTATTTAAAGCTGTAGAAAATCTACGACTACTTCGTGAATCGAATTCACTATCGGAGGATTATATAGCCAGGTATAAACAAAAATCAACTATATTTTTTAAGAACTGTCAGTGAATGATTATCATTCTGTCACCACTAGGTTTTTCAGAATAACATCACAATATTACACTTCATTGTTTCATTTAATTCTTGTATTTGATAATTCTATCATAATTGTAAAACTTGAAATTATTTGATTATATCAGAATATGTATTATAAATAGATTTAATTTTCATTGTAGAAAAAAGGAAAAGATTGCCAATTGTGTAATGATCGCTGATGGAGTTTGTTCATCAACTGTCAAAGTAGCATCAAAATTTCCAGATATTTTTAATAAGTCTATAGAAATTTTATTGGCTCTTTGCGATGATTCTGAGTCTGATGTAAGAACTGTAGCTGAAGAATGCCTGAACAAAATTATACGGGTATTGAATTTTATGTTTAATTATATATCATACTTCTCTGGATAAACAAGGATGTTTTCTATGTACAAATTATTATTACAATGCAAGTCTGTTTATTAGACAATGGCAGATGGGAATATCATAAAAGTTCAAGTGAAATTATATTATGAAATCAAAAGAAATGGGTCAGCTCGTTCATTGCGAGCTGCATTATGGCGTTTTGCCCAACTGAGTGAAGTGATAAGGCCAGTTAAAGGCAAGGCGTATGTATCTAACTTAATTCCCTGTATTGTTGCAATTGCTCAACGCAAAGAAGAATCTGTAATTGAGACATTAGCCAATACTTTACCTTTAATTCTAAAAACATTGGGTGCTTTCACAACAGATAATGATATAAAGGTAATGAGATGATGTTAATACAATTAAACAACTATTTAAATTACAACATATGGTATAATAGAGTTACAGATTTGAATTTAAAATGTATACAACTTTGTTGTAGACTTTACTGAAAGCATTCTTCCATAATATATCATCACCTGAGCCAGTGTTCCGAAGGACTGCAGCAAGCATGATCTTAACGACTTGTTTAAACTCTCGGAAACCTGAGGCTTTTCTGTGTTATGTATTGAATTTTCTCATAGGTAATGAATTGTTTAGCTTATTCTGAATTAGTTAATTACATTTTAAAGGTATTGTTACACAACAGATAGGGTTGTTCCTGTGGCTGACGACAAAGAAAATTTGACTACCGTTATGGGAGTATTCGGATGCTTGCGTATAGTTTTACCTCATATGAATGAGATGACAACAGGGATAGAAGTTGACAATTCACAGAAAGTTGACAGTTTAATACAGATTTACGAGTTGTGCTTACATTATGCAAAATGGCACGCTGATCATAATGTAATAAATGCGGCCCTGGAGACATTGGCGCAGCTTTTGCAATCTCCCTCGAAGGAATTCGCATCCATACTACTATCAAAGGATGGGATCACTCGTAGTAGAATCTGGTTGAATGAAAGCGCAGCACGCTTGTCGTTAGGACAAATGAGTTTCTCCACGACAACTGTATCTGGAGAGAATTCGGATTCAGCGCTAAATTTGTTCGAGTCTGAAATCCCTGAAATTGAACCTAAGATCGAAAAATGGATTGCGGAATCAGAGAGCGCATTGCCTGTAATTCAAAGACCACAAATACGGCAAGCAGTTCCAAGTGAAATTATAGAGATGAGAGGGAAGACGCTAGAGAATTACAGTAATTTGACCATAGGCTCTATCGACAGTAAGTAAAGATGTAACTAAGATGTATATACTAGGAAACACGTATATCTTTTGATATTTTTTAAGGTGACGGGGTTGAGGAAGGAAGTGACGTCGGTAGTGAAATTGAAAAATCGGAAACCGTTCCGGAATCAGTTAGTCTAATGACGCAACCATCCAAAGATGAAGACTCCTCAGATGAGAGAGGTTTGTCGATTGCGTCGCCTCACAAATCCTTGTTAAATATTCCATTTGCGGAAATTGATATTGGCAATTTTACAAATGCTGATATACCGTTAAAATATTGTTGCCGCTATTTAGCATCGTCGTTTTTGTTAACGGGAAGTGTCGGTCAATTAATTCCTGACCGAATGTTTCGTGTCAGTGTGAAGTCGCTAGCTTTAACATGTATTGGTCACATTTTAAGGCTTTACCCACGTTTATTATTATCTACGGTCGCCAAAGAACAAAAATATGATGAAAGCCCACAATTCATGTCGGATATTTTACTTTTTGCGGATCATCCTGATCCCCAGATACGAGGACATGTGATGATGCTTATTGGCTGTTTTTTGAAAGCAGTTTTCGTTCAATTTGGCGGGAGATACTCTGATGTAATATCGGGGGATCTTACCGTTTCTGATAAAAAGGAGTACTGTAGGACTTTACCCTTGGATAATCTTGTCAAATTAATTTTAAAGGTGAGCTTAGTAGAGTACCTACGATCATAATCTTGTTTTCTAATGTGCTAAAAATGTATACATTTCTTCTATAGGGCATAGAAGACGAGTCTGCTACAACATGCCGGCAAACTTTAATGGCGCTCGGCATATGTCTTGTCGATCTACTGGAATCTGTTGACAATAAGTGCGGAATTCCAATATTAACGATATTACCCCGTCTTGTTAAGAATCCATACTTCCTTGTAAAAGTCAAATTAGCCGAAGTATTGGCCATATTACCATATTCTACTATAGAACACATAACTGGCGGATCACAATTTCAAGAGAACGTTATTAAAGTACTAATCAAGTTGCTGAGTGATCAGGATCAGAGAGTGCGGCACGTAACGAGTAACTCTATTGTTAAGTAAGCCAAATTCATTTAATTAAAATTATTATGTATCATGTTAATCGTGTAAGTAAATTTACATTTTTCATTACAGGATCATTCCTATGTTGTATTATCGAAATCCAAACGAAGACGCGATAACTAGAAAAGCTTCTCAATATACAGAAGAATATTTATCTTCCAGTGTATTGAATCCTCTGGAGACTTCTAATTATGAAATTGGTGATAACAGGTTACTAGTTAACAGTTTGGTTGAACCATTTAACTTTTTGTATACTCAAAATAACATACAATTCAACGAAAGAATAGATAATGCCCTGTCACAAATCGTCAGCGTATTAACAGAAACTGTCATCATGGACTTCTCTAAGTATTTAACTTACGGCTGTTGCGAAGCTCTAACTAGATTAAGTGAGAGCTATTTCACGACGATATATCCTAAAGCATGGGACTGTCTAGTTCCAAAGCCTCCAGCCAAGAAAACATATAGAAGATCAAACAGTCGAGGGGACGTTAACGATAACAGTTTGTTAAATGATATAGTATTACCGATCTGCAATGGTCTAATGCCTTTTACTATATCATTATTATCTTCATCGCAAATAAGTCTGGATCTATCAACACACAGGCATTTAATCCTTCTGGCTGGAAATCTCGCATCGGGAATGGCATTTTGCAATTTGAAGCCTAGTGAACCCATTCACAAAAATGACACGGATACCGTGAAATTGTGGGGGTTATTCAAGGATAAGCAAATGTATCAATACTTGGAGCTCTTACTCATCCATGTGGCAAGAGTGTTGAATGTTTTTGTTCACGTTATTGATGAGATACAGTTGACGCAGCCCAGTACGAAATCATCATTGCCTTCCTTGCCAACACCGCAGAGTTTATCCCCAAAAAGAAAAACTGCAGCAGAGGCGAAACCGAAGGAAAAAGAGGAGCGAAAGACAACTTTAAAATTCGGAAAGGAACAGATGGGAGCGTTTTCGAATATTCCACATTATATGAAACTATATGATATATTGAAAGCAGCCAATGCAAATTATAAAGTGACACTTGACTCAGAAGCTAGCGAGATGTATATTTCTTTATTGAATGCGACGCTAGAAGTGCTTTCGCAAATACTTGAAATAGCGAGTATTCATGAAACTGGTAGGATAGCTGAGGAAATTTTGCATTATCTGCAGACTACCGTTGTGTTATGCCCGACTTCAACTGTTCGATGTGTTCAGCAGTTATTGAAATGTTTATTTGGTGCAAATTTAAGTGCCCAATGGAGTGAATTTGATATACAGAGAAACTTGGATCGAACCAGTGTTTCCAGAGATGATGCTAAAGGCTTTTACAATCAGTGCTTTCAAAGACCAGCTAGACAAATGGCTGAAGCGATAAAAGCTATAGGAAATAATTGCAGAGGTGGAAATGAACCCGACACAGGGTAAGTAATCGGGAGTATAAATGCATCTGTATTATGGACGGTACAATGATACTCCTGTAATATTGCAGATGGATCGGTTTACTACGAAGAAAAGGAGAAAGGAAAATGTCAACAGTTTCTAAAAGTTTAACGCGATCGATGGATCAGAAAGTTTCGGTAGCTTCGTTTATACGTCTCTTTGAACCGATGGTTATAAAATCCTTAAAGCAGTACACTGTGACAAGTTCGGTTTCTCTTCAATGCCAAGTTCTAATGCTAGTGAGTCAGTTGGTACAGTTACACGTAAACTACTGTCTTCTGGATTCGGATATGATTTTTAAAGATTTTATAATCAAGCAATTTGAATTCATCGAAGAGGGTCAGATACCTCATACAGAAGATCTCTTGCCAAAGATATTCAATTTCCTGGTACATCTGTCCTACAATAAATATCACACAAAAATAATAATTGGAGTACCAGAAATCATTCAGTTATGTGATAGATTAATGGCTAGTGGTCAACCACCTCTTACGCATTGTATACCGGCTCTTACACCCGTTGTTGAAGATATATTTTTGGCAAGAAATGCAAGATCCAGTTCATCGGAGCAAAAGGAACTTGAAACAACCCGGGAAGTCCTGGTGTCAATGCTCCTCAAATTGGTTGAACATCATCAAGTGATTGAACTTCTAGCTGTTTGTCTCACGGAGTCACGATTCAGTGGTGATGGCAATGGTGAAGAAAAATGGCGCCGATGGTCTAGATTAACGACAGACACTGTACTGCCTATGTTAGCCGATGGAAAAATTAGAATTGAAACTAAGGATGCTCATGCTGCTTTAGTGAAACTGTTCGCAGCTGTTTCTCCGACTGTTTTCAGACCAGTTGATCCACTGCTTAAAGTACTGTTTTCCGTACCACCCAATGCCGACGAGCCAATTATTAAGCTACAACGTTGGTTAGGCATGATCAATGTTGTATTATTAACCTTAATATCCTACGCAAAGGAGGAAGTCATGTTGGCTAGGCTTTCAGATTGCAGTACATACATGACGGACATGGCACGATTATTGATGTTGCCAGATTCTGTTTATCAATCGACAGAAATCATGGTGGATCCATTGAATGTACTAAATGCACAAAGCTTTAATGTACCACCCGAAAGGATTTTAGCCAGATTTATATTCCGAGTGATTGAATTGATTGGTGCCAGAGTATACAAGCTTCTTGGACTGATTAATAATAAAGTCGAGAATTCTCTGGCAAATTCAACTGAGAGTTTGACTTGTGATGATTATTTGATACACCAGTTCGCATTATTTTTACAATTATGCATTCACATGTTTGAGTCTGGCAGTCATTGCAAGGTAGCAAACGCAACTATGCAAATGATACAAGGTCGTAATATCCCTGATGATGAAATATTGCCACTGATGGATCTAAATACGTTTATGTTAGAAATTGCTAACAAATGTCCTCTTCTTACATGTCAGTGGGCATATTTGATGACACTTCTGGGTTACAATGAAATGATCTTCTGGTCTAAAGTCCTGGGTATACATTCGTCGAGTTACGTTGTCCGGTATAGTCCAAGTACAATGAAGCCAAACCCGAGTGATGATAACAGCAGTATAAACATTGATATTGTCAGGAAAGGTGGTACCATATTATTCTGTGATTACGTGTGCGAGAATCTCAGTGATGCAGAACCTCTTACGTGGTTGCTGGTCAATCACATCGAGGAAACCATAAATTTGGCTACTGAGTCACCCGTTAGAGAATTAGTAGCAGCTGCTGTACATAGAAATCCAGCAGCTAGTGGCCTCCTGGTGCAGGCTATTGCAGCAAAATGCTTAGATCTGTCGAAACCAAGTTTCGTAAAAAAGTTGTTACTTTGCGTCGAAGGCGCACATAATTCTCAAAGTGGACCATTAATATTGGCACTGGTACCAAGACTGTTGGCTTCCAAACATTTAGCGTTATCTAGAATGGCTGCTAAAATAGCAAGTCGTAAGGCGGAAACATTGTTGACACTCAGCATGGATGAGGCTAATGAACAATTACCGAAAGAAGATCTTATCAAAACTATGGACATTTTACAGTCTACTAAATTAGCGAAAAAACATAGCAGTCTTGTTATCTTATTGAATAAGCTTGGTGCCAAGCATTATGATCTGTCACCTTTAGAATTGGAACAATGTCGACCATTCAATCCATCGACCATCAGAAGTATCAAATTAGATAAAAATTGGTTTTTCACGCAAACCAAATATCGTTGCTGTCATCCAAGCATTAATTATGGTTCATATGAATCAGCTCAGTTATTAAGTAACCTAGATTTTGATGATATTATTGACATTATTACGTGCAGGGAGTTCAGTGTCAAGATCTTGAAAGAATGCATTAAATTAGGTGTAAGGAAAACGCTCGAGACATGTCAGGATTTGGAACTTGGTCAAGATGTGAAGGAAGAAAGTTTTGAATTCAAAGAAAATCCTCTGTACACTGCTGCCAAGCAATGTCTACTACAGCACGTGCAATATATTGTGGAGATGATGCCAAAACCTCATCATGCTTACAATCCACTTAATCGTGATTCAAGTGGAAAGGAAGGGAAGCACGCAAAAAATTCATATATGTCTAGATTTACAGAATTGCTAACAGATTCTGAATACTGGGATTTTTTATTCATGATAGTACCATCAGTGATAACGTATATGCGTACACTGTCTAAGTTGTCAAAATTCAACCTATGCGAAATCGACGTTAAGTATGAAGAACACCTAGCTAAGTTTGCCCTACTCTGTTTCGACGTATCTCATTGGATAATTCATAATCATGAGAATGATAACAAAAAGATGAAGCCTCATGAGCTGCATTTGACGATGAACTGCGCTGAAGAAATCTTGAGGCAACCTTGCTTGACTAAAGTATTCGGTTCCAGTACACATTACTCGTGGGTTTGTTCAGCAGCTGCTACCCTGACAAGAATCGTTGAGCATCTATTAACAATTATCAATCCTTTACCGGTGATAAATACTTCTGGATTACAGGCTGCGTTAGATAGCGACGAAACCAGACCATATGCTGAAGCGTGTAAACAAATGGCTACATTAGTTGCGTGGCTAGAAGAGTGCCAAATGGAAAACTCCCCTGAAAACATTCCACCATTTTTATTCAATTGTATCAAAAATTTAATCATAAGCATTAGCAGGCAACCTCTGGTCAATTCTTTTGTACTGACGCCTCCATTGGCCTGGAAGCAAGGATGGCGACCTAGTACTTCCAGTGCTACTAAGTGTCGCGTACCATTGTTGTCCTCTGAGTCGAATTTCTTACAAGAGATTGATATTCTGGAACAATTTATATACCGGGTGACCTTATTGGGTTGGACATCGCGATTGCAGTTTGAAGAAATGTGGATGGCGTTTCTGAGTGTACTGAATGTTGCACCGAACAAAAATATGCCCCAGGAGGAAATTGCTAATTTGAGTCGTGCTACTAGTCTAGCTGTACAGGCTATTACGAGACTCCTAATGCAGACTCTACTTCTGCCACATCCTGGAAATCCTGGCACCAGCACCCCTATTCATCATTCACGAGATCCGCAACTCTCATTGTATAAAATTAGCTCCCGGAAACTCTTTATTATACAGGATACCCTACTGTGGAAATATGAGTGTATGAATGACTCAAGAAACGTTCATGGATTGAAATTAGAGCATATTTTCTCGCGAGGAAATATCGAACGTGTTGGCAATTCCCATGCGTTTACATATAGTCAGTTATCTGTTCCTTACTTGTGGGCTTCGTGTTATCTACATGAAGATAAATTGAGTTCTAGTGTATTGACATTGAAAAACAGAAGAAACGACGCCCTGATGTCTATGTCTCTGGACTTGAATTCCTGTCTTCGATTTTTAATAGAATTATATTCTTCGTGGATATTACCACAATCCAACACACCTCTACGACTGCTGAATGAGGTCATCAAATCAATTTTATCCATTTCCGAGTTATTTGTTGAAAGAGGGCAGTACCAATGGATGCTGGATACTTGTTTAGAGATTTCAAGGACACACCCAGTGGAAAATGAAATATTACATCAGTACATTGTTATCGCAGCTTGTAAAGCTGCAGCTGTTTTAACACCACTGGTAAACATAACTGTCAAATGATACCTAATTTTTAAAACGATTTTACATGTCTTTTTATTTTTTTTAGGATGTTGAAACCTTAGAGAAAGTAAAGCGATTGGTCGACATTAATTTAAAGTCGGACTTTTTACCAGCCGGAGTATCTGCGCTACATGGAACTCTCTATTTACTACAAAGTGCAGTGCTGGCCGATTGTGAGGAAACTATGAATATGATACACCCACTAGCTATAGAATATATTCAAAAGCATATCGATACACAAGACTCAAATGGGTATGTCAGATCTTCAGAAACTTACAACGTAAGCAGAATCAGAAGAACTAATAAATGCCATATTGGATTTTTAGAGTGTTAAGTCAAAGTGAAGAACACCAAGGAATCATGTGGGCTTTGGTATTTTTCTTGTTGGAACATGCTGATGATACTCCACCAGATTCGGAAGCTCCTGCAGTGTTAGAACTTGTTCTTTCCTTAGTAACAACGAAGAATATATCGATTGCTCTCCATCAAACACTTCTACATGTAATGCTTTACGAATTTTCTTTTCTTCAAATTGAAAAATTCATGACGATATATCATTGCTTTCTAGGGATTGGAAAGGCTCGTTACCACGAAAAGCGTTGTAGGGAAGGTCACAGAGCAAATAGTCAAAGTAGCAATTGATCGTTTGAGACAAGCAAATCCCATGCTGGCTCTGCCTGCCTTGCAACTGTTGTTAACGTGTATGTATACTGAGGCAGCCGATCGATTGAATCAACCGGATGTGGAGGAACCTCTACCTGATGCTGAACCAGAAGCACTTATACGATCTATTGAGAGGACTTCGGGAATCTTTGATCGAATAAAGAGAGGATATCCAATGGAGGTTGAAATATTGTGTGCAGTTTTGTCTGGGGTTCTGGGTGATTTCTTTCCACCGTCCGAAATTTTGACTAGGGTTATTGGAGAATTTCTTTCACCACAACAACCGCATCCTAGGTTGTTATCTGCTGTTGTTTTTCAGGTTAGTAACTTTTTGGTACGCAGCACTTAGGATGATGAAAACAGATTATCTTTTGTGCTACTTGATTAAATAAACGGATTCATGTTAAACCTTAAATAGTCATGTAAAATTGTTATATGGTCCATATATTTTATAGTCTCTCAGACACCACATTACCGGTTGAGGGTTAATATACGACATTTTGTTTTTCTAGGTTTGCCAGAGGGCATGTAATGGTCCTCAATTGGGTTTGCTTCAAGACTGGGTACTTTTTAGTTTACCCAATTTTATTCAAAGCTTACCAGTTGCTATGTCGACTTGGTGTTTATCGTGTTTCTTTATAAGCGCTTCGACCAATCAGTGGTTAAGAGCCTTGTATCCTTTTTGATTCTTAATGTTACTTCAGGTTTCAAAAATATAAATAAGGAAATGTTTATAATTGGTCAGCAATTATTACTATTGTTTCTTAATATATCATTAACAGATTTCCTCACGTTCAATCCAGAATTGGCAAATATGAATATGAAGATAAGAAGATATTATGCATTGCTGCAGCGGACTTCTATCACCAGGTACTTTACCACATTGTCTCTTTATTGAAAAGTTTGATTTATTAAATTACAATCTTCAATGTCTTTTAGCTTTCCAACGAGAGTCAAAGGAAAGCCTTTGTGGAAACTTTCGAGACGGCTGCCAAGAGACCTGATACACCGTTCAGTTACATTTTAGCATCTTTCTAAGATAGTATCATAGTCGTAAATTCTACCTCGTATTAGAAAGAGTCGACAAAATGTATATGTAGAATTAAGCAGTGCCCAACTATTTCATTGTATATACAGTAAAGTATTCTAAAGTGTTCTGACGTTATAAAGACATGTGTATATTTGTATGTATACAATATCTATTTATCGTGTACCACATCAAAGTGTAATGCAATTGTTTTACAACAAACTTTATTTTTTAAATACTAAATGCGCATCAGCTCATTTCAAACATACCATTCTCATCAAATTTCTGATTTCGGATGTAAAAGAAAAATGAAATTCAAGTGAATCAACTGGTTAGTAAAAAACTTCCCAACTGTTATTATTGTTATGTTTCCCAACTGTATATGTATATGTTATTTTGCACAACTAAAAAGTGCAAAATTATTTTCATATTTCAGGATAATTAATAACAAAATTCTTATTGCCTTGTATTTTGTCATGAAATAACACTTATTTATCACTAATAATATGTTACAATTATCTGCGTTATAATGATTTTCATTGTGTTATCCTTTTTTTTAGACATGTTCTGATGGTACAGATGGAAGTGCCTTATACAGTCACCATCCAAACAGAAAATGTGAACGGAGGCATTTACGATCACGAATCAATGCAGGAGTGCAAATATTTACATTCAAAATTTAGAAAAAACTGACGAATAAATGAAATTGCAATTGACAGAAACAATCGAATTTCGAATTTAGACGTGATAGTAATATTTACAGACATTGAGCACTTCCGTCTTCAACTTAGCGCATGTATGTACAAAATAACTTTTCCTTTTGCATTGGCAAAAGCGCGCATGGCTTATATTTATATTCTCCCTGTATGAATAATCTTTAATTTTCTTAAATCTTGCTTCTATATTAAAATTATGGATAATTATCAAGATAGGACCATAAATAATAAATAAAAGTGGTTTCAGTACTAAACGCAAATATGAAAACAAGTGTTATTTGTTCGTAATAAATGTTTTAATGTATATAAGATCAAATTAAAAATTAAATGGAATTCAACATTCATATTATTACTATTGCACTATAGCAGCTAATTGAAAAATTTACTACGACGTGAAATTGAAGTTTACCACGCGATAGGTAACGTTATTGCAGCTTGGAATGCAATTGAGACATCTGCTGATGTTCTTCTTCGAAATCACTGTGGTATTTACCAAACGTTATCGTTTGCATCGAAGTTATTGAGCACTGCAGATAAAAACTTTGGCAACGATGAACAAACGCCAGAAGTTATATTACTTATCTCAAATGGGTGCAATTTAAATAAAGATCAGTGGATTAGCGGAGTAAAATACTATTGAAGAAATATCAGATCTTTCACGACGCTAAATGCATAGAGCGCCACCGTATGCTGCCTTTATATTTGCGGTTGAGTTTCAAAGCAATCATGATAGTTGGTGTATTATTCCGAAATCACTTTTGTTTGTTCTAATTTTTCGCCACATATCAACATACATACTACATTTGTTAAACATACCGCTCATGTGTTATATATTATTGCAGTCATTCAGTATATTTGATTTTTTATCTTCGTATTTTTTTATGGCACACGTTTTCTTTTTTGTTGGTTAAGTTTCACTATATACCAAAACAATCGTAGAGTTGCATAGTAAAATATTTCGATGAAAGATATTATGCTGGCTCCAACAAATAACCCTGCTGCACCGCCCACAGCAGCTATGAAGTATTTCGTGTGTAGTATAATTATTTCAATATAATAATATTTATCTTTCTTACCTAGAAAGTCAGTTAATCCGAAATGAAGAATCCGGTACTGTATATCGTATGGAAAATTTAAAGTAATACTTATGTCAGTTTTGCCCATAGCTATAGGGCCCCTACGAATTTACGTTATATGTATATTTAACATATCATATATTAATCATTTGCCCTAAGTAATTAATTACATAACTTACATTTCTACCGACGAAAAGCTTAGTAGGGTATATCTAACCATATCACAGTCTTGAATGCAATTACTATATTGTAAATTCTTCAAGTCATTATTTACAACATTCGCTACATTTTCTCCTATACATCGAAGTTGTTCAGCATTACAAATGGGAACATTGGCTAAAACGTTAATAAAATGAAGATCAATATTATCACGTATAGACAGTTATTCAAGAGTATTGAATCACCTGAACTTGGTCCTACCAAAGAAATCAGATACTGTAGTACCTATATGTATATAGGCATACACAGTGGAACTTCGATAACTCGAAACTCAAGGGAAACGAAATATGCTTCGAGCTATCGTAGTTTCGGTCTATCGAAGTTTCCAAGTTATAACGGTGAAACATTACAAAATTCAAAGGTTCATAGTGCGATAGAGTTTTTGACTTATAGAAATTCGAGTTGTCGGAGTCCCATTGTACAAATATACACACATAAAGTTAAGTAGGACAGTACATTCTCTAAAATAGATCATAGGCTACACAAAAAAAAGTCGTAGACTAATATTTACGCATAGGTCTAGCAAAATGCGGAAGGCAATTGCAAAACTGTCGAATCCTTTTCATTTTGTATTCAAAGAAGCACATTGCACGAGAATAAATTGGCCACATAGTTAATCCGCCGTCTTCAGGAAAACCACAATGCCTTTGATATTGAGGCAAAAACTTAAGCTCATCGTGTGTCATGATTTCTTGAACTTCGACAGACACGCTTACTTTTCGCGTACCGCTAATGTGAAACATTTCACCGCCATAATACATAACATTGGCCGGATAGAACAGTGCAACCTATTTTTGTAAAAGACAATATTAATGATTTGAAATAATCGATTAAATTCAACATTCTTTTTTATACTTTTTATACTTTCTTTGGCGTCGAGTCCTTTAATTAAATAGTTTTTAGGAACTGTACGAGTTTCATAATTGACTGACGGTAACGTCTCTATATCGATTGGAAAGGTCGTCCAATTGTTAGTTCGCCAGTACCTATCGAAGAGTTTCGCATTCGATTTGATATTCATTCTCCAATTTGAATTATAGAATTTAATTATCATAAATGGTCTTACTGCATAGTGGAGTATATTCCAGTGGGATTCGCGAAAGCTTTGCATATTCCCACTTCTGTAACAATGTTATCAATCGTTTCAGTGAATTCTCTTCGTCCGAAACTTGGATAGATTTGAACATCTGTCCACAAGTCATGAAGTATTTCTAACCAGAGTGACGATGGTACTTCTTCGTAATTCATGACATTAATCATTGTATCGTAAGTGACATTTGAAATGAACGTAAAGAATTCTCTTGCTTTTGGAGTGTCTTGTATATCGTATCTGGGAAGATGATATTTTAGTATAATAATTCGTAGTGAATAATTGAAAGTGTAAAGTAATATTAATATATTATTTGGCTGTGCTTGCTTTTTGAAAACTGCTGGAAATTTTTTGTTATCAATTTGACTGATGGGACATACGATGACAGATGGACTTGGAATTTGGAAATTTCTATAGTCATGATTTAGTGTAATGCTAGTTGCTTCATATTGATATCTATTCCAAAATGTCCACGACAACAGTGCCAAGCAGATTAAAGCCCCAGCGACGAAAAGACCAGCTAGAAATCTTTTTAATATGGAATTAAGTAATTTGAGATATTCTAAAAAAAATTTGTTGATCTTATAAGCGAATTACTTCAATATACCTTTCTACAGGGTGTCTTCGACGGGCTACTATATGGTTCAAGCCATGAATGGTCGAGTTATGCGCAAAATCGACCAAGTATTTTCCAAGAGCTGTCTTGGCACGCATTTTTTCAGTTCCCAATTGAACAGTGGTCGTTTTTAATTCACCCACGTCCTTTACCTTAGCGAGACTTTTCGTAATGGCATCGGAGACAATTTCCTCGAGACAGATTATCGGCAAAGGATTCTCTTGATTCGGCGAGACAGTTCTTTTCATTCTCCGATGCATCCTTTAAGGTTTATTCCTTTTCTGAGAGGCGTTCCTCGTTTTCGCTTGAATAATTTTCGAAATTGCTTTCGAAATGATAAAAATATTTAATACCTCGGCAATCTCACTTGACATCAAATGAGCATGAACATAATATCGCCGGTCCTTTTGGTAATAAAATATACATAAATCACGTGCAAGTGGATGCTGAATATTTTAATATAAGTTACACGCAATGGTACGTTCGACGATAACATGTAAAAGATTTAATAAATTATTTAGTGATGAGTATAATATATTTGTATATAATATATAATACTATACAATATCAAAGATTGTAAAGCGGTAAAAGGGCACATTATAAATTTACATTTGTGTTTCGTTCATTCATTATTGGCTGATCGAATTTTTATTGTCTTCACTTCTATATCGAAAGATGGCAGCAGCGTCGATGAAGTTTTAACACGGTAAAAACATTCAGTGTCGTAGCATGCTTTTTCGCATATACAAAAAACATACAAAAATTTATCGATTTGTCCCACTTGCTGACTGATCCAATTGATCAATCACCTATAAAGCAAAAAGCTGCAGCGAAACATTCTAAGAAAACTATTAAGATTCAAAATGAGTAGCATTCTGTGACATATAGAGTACAAGATAGCTGAAGAAACTAACGCATACGCACTTTTTATTACACAGGTTTATTTGATAGTACATAACATTCATATGATTCCTGTATTATATTTATTATTAGATAATATTTTGAATTAAAGTTCGTATTTAAATTAAAGGCCCTTCGCATCTTTCTGTTAACGTAATCTACACACTTTATTGACTACATATATAAAAAGATTTTCAAATGGTGTTATTACTATCACACTTTTATGATAATTAATAATTTTATTATTAATAGGTTTACTTAAGAAGACAGTAAATATATCATTAACGAAGAACTTCTGTCATACTTGTAATTGTTATCTTCAACGTACAACTCAATACTCAAATCAGTTCATTTTTAGCCGCATTCCTTCTCAGTATATGTAGATAGCAGACAATTTCTCAAAATTACAGTTATAGATTTTATGTCAACCCTAACTCCAACTGAAATACTATTCGCGGTATTATCACAGATAGTTGACATTCCGTTTTTGATTTACATACATATTAGTCAGTCCACGAATTTAATGTGTTTCCCTGACAAATAAAGAACAACGAAGACTCTAGCAAGTGACACTTGGTTTTGCATAAAACTTTCGTTACAAAGTATGCATGTACATGATTTTGTACTGAGGTATCTCTTATTTTTCTACACTATTATTTATTTGCTATCGATTGCATTATTGCAAGATTACATAACGCATCATTGCAAATGCAAACAATTGTTTGCAAATTGTTTGCAATACAGAGAGGAAATTAAATGCAGATGTCGCATGACTATCGAAGGAGCAATAGAATATAGAATGTAGAATTTTAGAAAATAGAAAATGTTCTAGATACAATATCGTGTTCTCATTATTTTAGGATTACGCAATATCCCTCTACAATATATACTATTCACAACGTAAACTGCGCTACCTCAGAAAAGCCTGAATTCGTGTTATAATAGATGCACGAAAACGTATATGAATAATACATTTTTCATCCAGTATAAAAATGATATCAATTACCGATCGTACTTTTTTTAATATCATTGACAGATGACGTACACAGCTTGAAACAGCATTCATACTTTCTAAACAATGCTCGTCCCTCCATTGCGTGGTAATGCATTTTTTTACATTTAATTTATCCAACCCTCTTTCGATATATAACGGCAAAACGTGCCAAAAGCTCTCGCGCTCATGTTCACGAGTACGCGCCCGAAGCTTTTAACGAGAGCCCGATTCGCGTTGGGTATTGTGTGCGAGGCACACTGGCCAAAAATTAGATCAAGTAACCAAGATGCCTCGAAACGCAGCAGACACGGTTAGAGACACCTAGAATTAAAGAGAGCCATGATTAGTTAAAAATTGTTTTCTATCACTGTTTAATAACTATTTAACGTACTTAGGAGTCTAACGAGACGGACTACCATCAGACCGAAGAATTATATCGCAGAACACCTTACCCACCGCAAAAATCAATGGTACGTCAGTCGTACGATACGACCAGACGAGAATCTTGTGCCAGATGTGACCCGCCAATGATGCAGTTTGAGAGCAGGGAAGCGTCACGTCGCAAACGAAAAACGAAAAATCATCTTCAACACTGCCCATCCTGCCATTGTCCACCTTATAGTATGAAATACTCACCAGCCAGAACAAGGTTGGAACAAAAAGTAACGGTAAGGTGGTCATGATCTTGGCAATCAATCATTTTCTTTCTTCACCTGTCAGGAACACTGAAAATGTTTATGCACTACTGGACCAGTACGAACAATTTCTTGCAAAGTCCATGCATCCAGGGAGAAAATTACAAAGTCCACGATCTCCAAGATCAGCCTCTCGGTGCAGACCCTCCACTATAGTGCATTGTTCGAGGAAGGGAAATTCTGGAGGTAATCAGCAGTTGAAAACGACTGAGACCGATCCTATACTTCAGGAGTTGATGAGGGACATGGTCAAGACAGGATTGGCGGACGAGGATACTAAGGGTTACCCTAGATACGAATGTGCGCCGATTAAGAGCATTCACAAGAAAGATAACTCATGGCAACAGCAGCAGGTGCGTGAGAGATTTTCTGAGGAATGCCTTGATGAGGCAACAGGTGCTGAAAAGTTATTCTAAATAATTATGGAAGAGACGATACCACGTTACAATCCACTCGTAATTATTGTACCTGGGTAAATAGTCGTTTGTGGGAACTCGTTGGGAAAATGAATTAGTCGCTATTGTGTAATGTGTGTAGGGACGTAATGGGACCCTCGAGTTTGGTTAGCTTTGCGTACATTTTCAAGGATAAGATAAAGTAGTTTACAGTAGAGGTTGTGCTAGGTTCGAGTTAACAATAGTGTAAATATACCTCTGTACACAGGACGAATCGGATGAGGAGAGTATTCGGCCGATTAAGCATGTACATGATTATCCGCATACAAAAAAGCAATCGAGTGTGGAGTCTCAAAAACGGGACGGTACTTCCCAACCCATAGAAAAGTATGACATTCAAAAGGATGAAGAGTGGAAGCAACTTCAGCGAGACAGAGAAGAGTTAAATGAATTAGATTCAGAGGTGCGTGAATTTGAAAAGTGGAAAAATATTAGACAGGAAGATAAGGACGCTAATACGACCGAGAAGCGGAAAGTTAATTTCTTGCCAAGTAAACTTCCGGTGCCACAATTCAGTAACGTTCGGCCAGGTGCATTTGATACTTCAAGAAGTAAAAGTCCCAAAGACCAGGTATATTAGTATCCTGGATTTCCAATTAACGATTGAGCTAATTAACCATTTCCTTTGTAGGCAAAGGATCGTGTACGCAATGTAGAGGCTAGTACGAGTTATCACTCCATGTTAACGGCAGACAAGAACTTGAAGGCCACATCAGAGTTCATGGAACAGTTGGACCTCACAAAGGATGAGAATCTGGAACAGGAGTTGAAGAGCATACCGTACTGTGAAACGTATCGCTGTCCATCCCTTCCAAATTCGCAATCGATAAAACCAAAAGTGGAGCGTCCTAGCACTGATAACAATTTGATCAATGATAATCAAGCGGATGCAAATCTTACTGAAAAAAATGTCTACGCCGGTGGTGGTGATCTCGATTTTCATAGCAGCAAGTGTTACATCGTCGACCTCATAGACAGGGCGCTCAGCCGAGAGCTGGCAACTATTCCGCAAGAGAAAAAGGTATAAGCCCACCCAGGGTACATAAATCTGTCTAAGTACTACAGCGTTCTCGTTGCATTTAGCTGGATGATCTCGTGGGACAGCGAGAAATAACACGAACCCTCCAGGGCGATTGCTGCCAGTCACTACCACATTGTCTGAGCAATCAAGAGACTCCGGACTACGTGAGACAGTTGAAAGTCCTTCGCTGGGCATACCTAAATCACATTCAGGATGAGCTAAGAAAACTCCAGGATCTGGAACGCTTTCTTGATACGTGCTCACCTCGGCAATCTCTACCAATTTTGCACGCACAAACGACGACCAGCGACACTAAGAGAGAACACATGTCTACCCCGTAATCAGATTTGGCGACTGTAGTTTTAAATTCTAAAGGTGCTCATTGTAAAATGTGTTTTTCCTTGTATTTATGCATGATATACAATACACGTTGGGCGTAAGTGCCAGTAAATGTCGAACGAGGTCGAGATCGAAGTTCTCTCCTCATTCTCCTCCACAGCGCCCTTAACTGTTCTTCTTTTTTCTTTGTCACTTTCATCCCTGCAATTCTTCTTTTGACCCTACAGAGCTACATGACCTAGAAATATCGAGGAGCAGCGTAGCTCCTGAGGCTTATAGCGATCAATCATGACTCTGGTATACTTTGCGAAGTGCATTGGGGAGTGTGTTTGCACCCCCTATAATTTGCACCGAAATGTCCCGTTGCTCATTTTCGCCTAGGGAATTGCACTGTAATCTTGTCGATTAATGTCCAGCATCGACCGTTACGAACGTAGCCTCGGCCTGATTTGAATCCAGCGAACAATATTAAATTTGAATTTGACTTCAGTTCGTAAAATCAAAACTTTTCACACTGTTAAGCCACCATTAATCCTTGACTGCGATTGGTAAAATAATCTACTGTACACAAGTATTGGTAAAAAGAAATTAAAAAATACTATTAAATGTTGCTTGCAGACGTAACTGACGCTGCAAATGGGTCGTAAAATTTCCCAAGTGAAGTTAGCAGCTTTAAGGATAACCCTTGAAATATCGAAGTACATAGTATATGCACTTTATAAAGGCACTCGGGGCATTATGTAATATATTGTTTTATAGTTGAAATATTTTTTATAAAAAGCTCAATTTACTCCTGCATTCTATTATCGTTTGATCAGCTACACTCGGATACTGGTTTGTCGATTTTCAGTTAATCATTGAGCGCCATAAATATTATAGGGAATTATTGAAATTGCATACCTTCGCAATTTCCTTACAATAACCAGCTTGTCCATTACGTTAATATATACCAATCGAAAATCACTGACCGTTATAAACAAATTACTAAAGCTCGATTAGTCGATAAAGAAATCGATTAGTCTCAATCAAAGAAACCCAAATATAAGGGTTTCGAAACTTTGTAATATGCAATCCTTAAACTCCCTGGAGATGTTTCGGAACAATCTGGTACATTATATTTCGTATCAGTCATGTCAAATAAACACTTGAGATATGGGTCTAATATAGTATGCTGTATATATGTATATACATATATATATAATCATGTAACAAGTATAGTTTGAGGACCCAGGCGATTAAGGGGCATTCACAATAGTAAGCTAACGTTTTTTTTAGCTAATACCCTCACGCATCACAGCATTGAAATTCTAACCTAATCTAACCTAACCTAACGAAACACTTTCTAAGCTCATCACAACTCCGGATGCCTAGCATTAAAAAAAAGTAAACAAATTTGGTGTGACAGTCGCTTTATGGGCCTCAAAACATACATTATGTTGAAAAAACTTTGAGGTCCGACCCGAAACTATACAATTGTTCTCAAACTAGCGGCTGTATTATTCAAACTGTCTCCAAACTATACTTTATTAATATTTATATTAATATATTATGTGTGTATACATATACATATATAGTATATGTATATAGTATATGTACGCAAGTACATACGACTATCGAATATAGGACAATGAATAGCGTCGCTTGTAAAGAAGTGACTAATTGTAAGAGTATTTCGTGAAGATTTCAGAAATAAGATATACCGTAAGGTGAATTTAATTATAATGACGCGACGTGGTGCTGGAGTTTTGAAATATGAGAATTTGATGAAGGAGAAAAGAGAAAAAGAAACGCAAAACAATAAAAGGAGATTAAAAGTTAAAAAATGAAAATTCATTCTCTATCGAAATCTTATTGAAAAGATCAAAAGTACGTACTGGTATGAACAATAATTTGTGAAAGAAAAAGAATTTCGTTCGTTATTATTATTATTATTATGAAAGAAATTTATAATCAAACGGCCATCGCCGTATTTATATAAATTGTTGCTTTTTTTTCAGTATTTTTTTCCGCTATTCATTTTGCGATTTATATTCAGAACAAACACCCGTGTGTAAGATTATTCGTCGTGTGTAACGTTAACACTGGTACATTTGAACTTGTCGCGAATTGCGTGCGCGTACGACGTTTGTTCATAAAAATAATTGAAAAGCAGGTCCGCAGGGATTTCAGGGTTTAGCCTGTTCTAAATATAAGAGTGAAAAATTTTAAAATTTTACGCCTATCTGTATACAAATCAATTTTAACGAAGGTAGCCAAAATTTAAAGTAGACTCAAGCTTTACATCGTTTGGATCGCTTTACCTGAAGGTGAATGAAAATCTAGTGGAATTTCGATGATAACGACAATCGTATGTGCACCCTAGCATTAAAAAAAAGTAAACAAATTTGGTGTGACAGTCGCTTTATGGGCCTCAAAACATACATTATGTTGAAAAAACTTTGAGGTCCGACCCGAAACTATACAATTGTTCTCAAACTAGCGGCTGTATTATTCAAACTGTCTCCAAACTATACTTTATTAATATTTATATTAATATATTATGTGTGTATACATATACATATATAGTATATGTATATAGTATATGTACGCAAGTACATACGACTATCGAATATAGGACAATGAATAGCGTCGCTTGTAAAGAAGTGACTAATTGTAAGAGTATTTCGTGAAGATTTCAGAAATAAGATATACCGTAAGGTGAATTTAATTATAATGACGCGACGTGGTGCTGGAGTTTTGAAATATGAGAATTTGATGAAGGAGAAAAGAGAAAAAGAAACGCAAAACAATAAAAGGAGATTAAAAGTTAAAAAATGAAAATTCATTCTCTATCGAAATCTTATTGAAAAGATCAAAAGTACGTACTGGTATGAACAATAATTTGTGAAAGAAAAAGAATTTCGTTCGTTATTATTATTATTATTATGAAAGAAATTTATAATCAAACGGCCATCGCCGTATTTATATAAATTGTTGCTTTTTTTTCAGTATTTTTTTCCGCTATTCATTTTGCGATTTATATTCAGAACAAACACCCGTGTGTAAGATTATTCGTCGTGTGTAACGTTAACACTGGTACATTTGAACTTGTCGCGAATTGCGTGCGCGTACGACGTTTGTTCATAAAAATAATTGAAAAGCAGGTCCGCAGGGATTTCAGGGTTTAGCCTGTTCTAAATATAAGAGTGAAAAATTTTAAAATTTTACGCCTATCTGTATACAAATCAATTTTAACGAAGGTAGCCAAAATTTAAAGTAGACTCAAGCTTTACATCGTTTGGATCGCTTTACCTGAAGGTGAATGAAAATCTAGTGGAATTTCGATGATAACGACAATCGTATGTGCACGTATATAAATTACGAGGAAAAGTTGAAAATTAAATTAGCTGCTTTTACATTCGTTAATTCACTTTGAATTACAGAAGTTGCGTTCGCTCTTGCTGAAAGGGAAGCAACTGGAGTCTCATATATTTATTACGTAACGCACACGTGCACTCTGCACGTATTCTGATACAATTGTTCTCTCACATGAGAGCTCATATGGATCATCTTGTAGGTACCCATGTATAGTTAGAAACACTCTGCAGCATCCCTCTTGGCATAATGAATTGGTACGCGTACCCATTCTCTGCTAGCTTATTTCAGTGCACTGACTATACACACCGTGTTTCCCATTCAAGTATAGAATCCACCCCATGACTGGTTTTTTCAAGCTCTCATGTATCTACACACTGCTGCGAATTCGCACTGGCGGTTTTCAACTTTTCTTTCTACCTCTATAAAATCGACTGCTCTATTTTTGTGGTTAAACATTTTTTTTTTTCCTAAACGTCATTCTTACCATTTGATTGGGTACATTTGAAGCTTTGACGCCCGTTTTCTTCGACGCGGTTCAATGCGTAAACTCGGTTTAACTGTGCTATTAGCCAATCAGGCACTTGTATTTTGAATATAAACGGAGTTTATGCATTGAACCGCGTTGAAGAAAACGAGCCTAAAAGGCATAAATAACAAAATTGAAATTCATAATTTTCAACAAAGCATATAAGCTGTGAAGAATCTTCGATTAAAATAAATTTGTAAACGAGGGATTAAATTTGTTTGAAAGTGTGTATTACCTTCGAGAACGTGGTTATGGTTCAAGTCCATATTTATTCAGGGTGGAGCTTTCGTTGTGATTAGTCAACGTGGTCATCTCCATTTTGGGCGCGAATCAATGATGCAGCAGCTTGTTTAAACCGTTGAGAGAAGAGGCTGTGAACGAGAGAGAAGAAAGATAGACAGGAAGAGAGAGAGAATGAGAGAGTCATAATGATTGAGATTGCGCGTTTACGGGAGGGAGAGAAAGAGAGAGGGGGGGGGTAGGGGGGAGAGAGAGCGAAAAGATAACGCCATCTCTCCCATTTGGTTTGATAACGCCTATCGGAACTTGTGCATTTAGACCTCAATTAGTTTTCTACAATGACAAACCTTGTACCTTGTGACTAATGAAATCGCTACTGCCATTGGGATATATGTATGCACTGTGCTCTCTATAGAGATAAGAGCGCCGAGTGGAGGCCCAGGGGGTTGTTTCTGGGATTTTCAGTTGGCGCGCGACCACCGTGCAGTAAGCACGCTTTTCCTTCTATAGGATATATAAACGCGTTTAATATTTTTGTTCTATAATTTATAAAGAAAAGTCCAGTGGCCATTTTTATTATTCATTATTAATTTTGACTTTGATCATTTTCACCAGCGAATTCTTGCGAGGTCTACTTGACACAGTGAAACGTAAAGATATCGAGGTGAAATTTCACGTAAATAATTTATTATGATAAGAATTATTGACGAATGTAATTATTGTGGATAACGTTATTTGGAGATATTGAAAAGCACTTTTACGCATATTATATAATTGTAGTGTTACTCTTTAATTGTATTGCCAATGATAAATCAACAATTGGACTGGACATAGAAGTTACCATGCTAGAGAGGAAACAGCTATTTGTCGTCTGCATTTGTTCAATACAGTTATAAAACTGTCGCGTGACGAGCAACCAGCTAATACTGGTAGTACCTTTGCAGCAGTGTATTCAATTGTGGCATTAGGTGATATAAATAACATAGATCGAGTATTCATGACGAATGATCCGCATAATGCAAAATTGAGTTTCGAACTGAATTATTATCGGCTGAAGTGAGAAAGTTTTATATGCCGTCGTGGTCGCGTGACCTGACAATTCGTTTGAAATATTGATACAGTCCTACCGTAGATAACTCTATCCTACGGTGAAACTGGCAAAAGGACAAAGGTGAGATATCATGTGATAAATAAAAATCGAAAAGATTTTGGTGAAGATGATCGATTGAAATACTAAAAAAAATCTCACAAGAGACATCAAAAGGACCTCGTCCAGAAGCGGTGAAGCCTTATCACTTGCGTATGTACTTAAGTATAATATATCCGTAATAAATGTATGGATCATTAAGTTTTTCATAGAGAAACCGCTAGATTGAATAGTTGAAAATACGAAGGATTAGGACGTAGCTTAAAGGGGTCGTCCCGAATGATTAGCGACGGGCAATTCAATTACGCGTATGTTTCCTTCAAAGGATCCCTGTTTTTGTATCACTCCATACTAGTTATACGAAAACCGTTCGTCTGCGTCGTTATTTCAACCCATGGTCGTCAATTTTCAGTTCGTGTCCCAATTCCAATTAATTTCGAGCAAGTTGTAAATATAGCACTGAGATCTACTGGGACTGCGAATATCCAAGTAAATTCAATTTCAATTAACGATTCGTCCATTAACTTCGAGAAATTTGTATGAATTTAAGGTACAAGACACATAGTCTTATACCGTACGTATATCCAACCGTATGGCAGCAGTTAACTGGGTTCTGGAGTGTGGCTCGGTTCCATCGTCCATTCTTTCTATTCATCCATTGATCGATTTGCTTGTTCTTATTTGTCTCCTCTTTTTATAATGTTTTTCAAGCAATTTGCTACTTTGCCGGGAATTGGACAAAGTACAGTTTCATTTAATTAAGTTTCATCTTGGCGTGGGACTACGGGTAGCGTTCGATTTGAATCAGACTGAACGATGCAAATGGAATATTGAACCGCGAAGTGGAAAAGGAGAGAAATGGAGAAAAGAATGTTGTGAATTTACAGAATTACATTTCCGCGTACTTGGACGTTATTAGAATACTGAAACTATAATGTATGCATTGCTAAAGTTAAAACCGCATTACACGTTTCTAACGAAACATGTAAGACACGTGTATGCAGTGAACGACATAAGTTCAGCCATTCAAGTTGATAAGGAGGTAGAGACTTTAGTTGGCAAATTGTGTTTGTTGAGAACATCTGTTTTTCCAGCCATTATCAAGAAGTGTAGAAAGAGCGAATAGAAAGTACGCAAGCAAGTATGGAAAGAAAAAAGAGAACGAAAGTACGAACTTATTATACCGACCGAGTCTGGGCTTCTAGAAGGTTTTCACATTAATCTGTGAATATTATCCTCGTTCTGTTTCAACGCGGCAATATCTCATTTTTGAACATTTTGAATTGTTTTACAACATACGACCTTCCGCGTAGAGCCAAACAAACAGGAAAATAGAACAAAGTAACTGCAAAGTACACTTTATAAAAGCAAGAATAAAAAAACATAAAAGAAATATTTGTTTTTCGCACGATCGTCATACTGGTAGCTCGTGTCGCTTTTTCACGAAACATAAAAAACATTCGATTTTACATTACCAAATTTTGAGGTTATCGTTTATCAGATATTCCCGGCACCTCCTCGATAGGAGCCATTAGGTAAGCCTTCGTTAAGTATCTACCAAGTACTTCCAGATAAATCTAAATTTCCTCGTAGTATAACTTGCCCGAGTTTCAGTAATCACTTAATTAATTACAAGCTTAACTTAAGTTTCACCTCGTTGATACTTAGCGACTAAAAGTGAATAGGAGTCCATGAACTCTTCCTCGTGACTGTAGCAAGATTCTGGGTTCCTGTATCTTATATGTAAACTTGAGTCTTCCTCATTCAAAAATATCCTTTGAAATTTTGCCCGGGTCCTAAGATTATACACATGATTATTCTTGGACGTTACTAATTTCATTAGGTAATTTATCTCGTAGTACCTAATGGCTTTCTTGGCATTTTTAAACATGGCGAAGCCCAACCTTCGAGAAAGTAATCAGGCCGTAGACAAAGCTTAGCTTTTTCGGTCCAGTACCCTGGGCTCCCCTGTGATATTGTATCGCGAATATATGCGTGGATTCGTATGAATATGAATATGTATGCCGAGTACCCTGGTTCGTATATGTACAAAAAATGCGACACGATATACTCATGATACGTCATGAAAATAAATAAGGCACTCCGAATACTTTCATTCATTTTACTCGTAATGTTAACTTGCGCTCGCCTTGCTTCACTTTTCTTCGTAGAATTTATCTCTGCTATTCGTATGTCTGTGTTTTTATATATACTTATGTAGCACGTGTGATATAAGTTCACAATGCGAGTATTACATGGATACACAATGCTGCACAATACTTCCTTGACATTTAATGTCTATGGCCTTTTATTATTACGTAAATGCTATATATATACTTGAATAAAGTTATGCTGCAAGGTCTATGCCGTCTTTTTCATGTTTTTAATATTACGTAAACTTAGGTAAAGTTGACTCATAATAAAAATGTGGGGTTAGACCATTTTCTTCCATATAAAAAAAAAAACAGTCATAAATCTCACTTTAAACGACTATTAATCTTACAGTTTTGTTGCTAATCAAGTGAGAGTATAATATAGACCTTTAACCGGAAGCGGAAGATATGAAATAGATTTTTTAGGAGTCTGCAGAGTCACGATACGTTTGAGATTCCTTTGAGAAGGATATCGAAGATGATATAGTTGAAAGTGGACATGGAAAGATCCTTTGGGGATATCAGGCATGTACATCCTAGATTTTTGAATGGATTGTGTAAGTTGGTAAAATGGTAAGATCGATTTCTGCTACATAGGCAGGATTGTAGCATTCAATTTTAAGGAAATACTCGAAGCCCCCGGCGATCTTCAATAATAAATTCAATCTATGGAAATGACTTGGAAGCAGAACACAGAATTCTTGTCTAAGTGGGAACTACGAGAAAGGATTGAACATTAAAGTTTCATGAATCTTTATAATGTTTTTATACCTGATATGATTGCCCGAAGAAAAAGCATTGCTTAGTATCCATGAATGGTTAGGAAGCCATGTTGGTACAGCTTTAGAAGAAATAAATTAAAAGAATACCATTATTCAGCTATAGCTATAGTTCATAGTATTCATATCAGCACCTTGTTATATTCATCAATAATCCAGACAACAAAAATCCCAGTGCATATGCTACAGGTCGTTTCAATAGATTCCTGAAAAATGAATTAAGAATTTTTCTTGTCTTTTTTTGCCTTATTCGTAAATTTACTCCTATCAGGATACCGTGGTTTCAGCGTGAATATTTTGACAGAAAACGAATATTTGACAAATATATTGAATATGTTGACAAAAATTTTTTGACGCGTGAAACTAACGCAGCAAAAGAGCGTATTCATTTTATACAAGAAACATTGCACTATAGTGAAACAGCTTCTAATTTTTCACATAAATATACACTTATGGGACAATAACAAAAATACACCATTTTATCTGAAAAAAAAGTTAGAACGGTATTCACACTTTTCCGATATAATTTTCAAAACCACCCATTTGAAAAATATATATATGGATTATTTACAAATTATATAGGATCTCTTATATATAATTCAAATAAAAAATTATATATGTAGGTATAGATAATATATGCCAAAAGCACCAGCACCGGCAAGTTGGACTCCAATGTGTGGACATAGCAGTGCGACCGATTCACATAAACGCATACTGACAGTTTGCGTAACAATAAGTTAGGTTATTGAAATATTTCAGTAGTTACGTTACTAAAATAACTAGTTAATATTAACATTGTAATGACAAAATGTAATATCAGTTAACATTTATTTTTACAGCAGATGGCAATAACTCTCAGGACAGTTTCAGGATATCTAAAAGGGGGATTGACAGGAGTATTAGGTTATTTCTGGAAATTCGTAAGAATTTATAAATAGAATATGGACCCAGAAGAGGCTTACCAGAGAATGATGGAAAATCCGAGGACCTGGATTTTTTCAATTTTCATGTCTTCGCTCCTTCCTCAGTCAATGGCAGGAGGAGGTTGTTAATTATTTCAGTAACCTAACTATTGAAATAATGAATAATCTAAGTTATTGCTATGCGAACTGTCAGTGTGCGCTTATGTGAATCGGTCACAGTGAACTAGCTGTCATTTTTTCGAGAGCTTACACTACGTGTAGGCCACTTGCGCCTAACTGCTGGTGGATTTGTACCATTTGTACTGACTAACTCTATGTATATACATATAACTTTTTTACATGGACGCCCTCAACTTTTTCCGTACTACATTTGGTATATTTTGAGCGAGTTTATCAACTAGTATAAATATACAAAGTTACAAGTTGTTTCGCCATAGTGCAGATTTGACAATACTCTTGTAAATGTACGTTACAGAGTATATAATGAGATGTGAAAGTATGCGTCACTATGAAAGTACGTGGTTTGAACAATTCTTTGAAACGATCATTTTTAATTCAACAAAAGGAAGCGACTGTGTTTACGAGATGCTCGAGTTATTTTCACTCAAGGATGCTTTCACTTATCTTTTTAAGAAATATCCTTGCCTTTATACCGGGCGGTGTCGCGGTACTGCAATCTACAAGCTGTGTGTAGATGTCCAATTATTATTATTGTCTGCAGATTCAAGGAAATTACTATTTCTACTCTCTTCGACTGTAACGAGACTAGACTTTGTGGACAATGCTCTTCCGGTATAGTAGATAAATTTTCGCAAGTCTATTGTATTTATTTTTAATTAGGATTTCTTTACTTCTGTATATTTTTAATTCCCACTTTCCTTTGTTATCGCCGAATGGATTAGTTAAACCTCTTTAATTTACATCAGTGACAAATTTTAAGGATTTCCATATATCTCGTGGTGGATATTTGGTGTATATGAAAAATATGAAAACTTTAAATATCACATTTATATACTATATATAAAATTTAACAGCGATCGAAATTAGTCCAGAGACTCTGCATTGTGAAACTTATATTATTGTTATATTTCACATTTGTTGAGCACGTAGTTTATAATTTCATTATTAAATGGCTGCCACATACAATTTGCGTCGAACGAATATTATTTCCGCAGCAGAAGATAATTAGACAAATTTCGAGAACGAGAAACACGTGCCTAAAATTTATAAAAGAAATTTGCTACTTTGACATTTGTAATAAAATTATTGAAAGATAAAAAATTTAGTGATAATGACTA